TATCTAACTTAAACCCCACACTGACTCTTATGAAGGGTAAATGACCCATGATCCAAGTTTAGGAAAATTTGATTTATTTTGTATTAACTATGAGGTAAGTGTGTTGAGAAGTGAGTTGGTTTAATTTGTTCAGCTTCAATACAAGTATTAGGCAAGGTACAGTTTAAAATTTGATTTATTTTGTGTTTACAATTCAACTATTGAGTGATTGAAAAGGGTTTAATTAGTACAGCTTTGGTGCACTGCATGTGACAGTCAAGTTGTTAATATTGAGCCAAACACTGTCAATATATTTTGTGCCACACTGGTTTTGGATAGCTTGCAGTGTCCATTCTTCAAAAACAACAAGAATGCACTATTCTTTGTTACTACTCTACATTCTTTAAGGTCAAAAAGGTGTTCAAATTGACCATTTTTTCAAAATGATCTTCAAGGTCTCAGAAATTCAAATCTGACTATATTTGACAATTGACCTTCAATGACCTTCTCAAGATAAAGAGGGTCTAAAATCTGACTTTTGATTTGACATTTGACCTCATTCTCAAGTTCAAAAAGATCAAAAGGGTATTTTTCAACTTGCTTCAAATAACCAAATATTTTCAAGATTTGACTTGAACTACAAGGTGATGGCATTTTGTAATGTTAATGCCTTGTTCTGTATGTTGTTATTTCATGATTTCTTTACGAAGTATTGGCTTCATACCTCGTACCCATGTACATGTGTCGTGATACAGTTTTTGAAGGGTTCAATTTCTAAAGTTTAAAAAGATTATTCAATCTAATGCTATCCGAGGTATTAATACATTCATAGTATCCATAGATGTGAAATTCGTCTAGTCAAAGATAGATAGATAGATATACACTGTAGAGTCATAAAATAAAGCCAGAATTGTTAATTTTAGGTTTTTTATTGCTTGTCAAAATAGCGCCATTCAAAGGACTGTCCAACAGAGAAAATCTATTCTAAATTAGTTCTAAATATGTTGGGGTATTCTGTGTTTCATTTTATTTAATCACAGCATGAATAAATATAATTTTAGTCTCAGGAATCGTAAATTCACCCCAACACACGACAGTCTAATTTGTGCAGTTGTGCTTAACAATGGATGATGATTCGATATTCCATATTGAATGATGGGGAGCAATCTAAATGTGGCAATATAGGTGACACCTTTTAGACGACTTCCTGGAATTTCCCACCAAATACAAAACATTTTAGTGTAGATTGGTTCTATAGTGAACGAGCATTTCAATTAGGCATTTTTTATGAAGGATAAAATAGCAAAGATAAACAATTTTGCAATTCTGGCCTTATTTTATGACTAGAAAAATGTTAGATCTATAAGACATACACGTAGGTCTACGAGTTCATTAATGCACCTACAATTCATATAATCTGAATAATCTGAAACGTTAGAATTGAAGTCTTCAAAGAATGTATTATGCCCCAAGTATGTGGGTACGTGGGTACGAGGTATAAGTTTTTTTATACAAAGCCCGAAGTATTGACTGAGGGAATAGAGTGGTCGAGTGACAATATCATAATTACACAAGGCAATATATCTATTGTCAAAGAGTAAAACCCATAGCATTAAACTGTTTATTCCATAAAAATCCTGGGATACCCAATCAGCAAAAACAATCCAATATAATTTGAAATGAACAAAAAATGCAACAAATGTTTGGCCAAACCATTGGAGAAAATTATTATTTGCATGTACATTGTGTACAATGGTACCTGTATCAATACCTACTACATATACCACTATTCAAAAGATCATTAACAGCAAACCCCTTTACAGAAGGCACTTGCAAAACATCCAAGATGGTTGATGATAAAGAAAGATACACATGGGAAGAGTTAATTCAAATAAGATGGTATTGAATCATGTTTGTTGAAACATCGCAAATGTGTAATATTTCAAATATTCACTTAACTATACAATACAAATATATAAACAAGTATTTTATCTTATGTGTTTTACTAGGTGTTAAACACATTTATGTTTTACTGTACATACTTTACAGGACACAGTCATGTTGACATATCCATGCTCATTTCTATAATACGCAATTATGCAACAATGAATACACAGGGCATTAAGCACTCACCCTTGTAGAATATATCATGCCATCTATGGAACATATATAACTCTATCTATAAACATCATTGCATAAAATAGGGTACATCTTAATGTCGCTCTAAGTGACATCTTTTCATACACTTTACACTACGGTCATTTACAGATCATTATCATACAGATAGAGCATTCGGTCTCAAATGATGTGGGATGGATAAAATCCAGTCTCCAAGTCCATAGGCGTTTCAAAGGGTCAACATCCATTCACAAAAGCCATCGCCATAATCCATAAAACACAATAATTCACGATGGTCATCAGGAGAAAACTATGGCTGGTTTCGATCCCTATTTCTCAACCATTAATGCCATAGGCGGGATCCACTTCAAAAGGTGCCAAGTGAAAATATTGTGAGTTCAGCGCCAATGTCTTAAACAATTCCTACATCCTTCAGCATCTCAAGTGGTAAAACTTGAAACTTCGAAATTAATGATTTGTATTTTTCAGCAAAGCCCAGAAAGTATTTCTTAGGCTTTATACAAGTATAACCTTGACCTAACAGTTTGATCACTAAAGTATTGTGTCTTGACTTAAAATCTAAATATTTAGAGCATGCCCTGCCATATCTAAAAACTGGGTTTAATGGAATATTACTGTCTAAATGGGGAAAATTCACAATGTCAAAGTTGAAATCATCTCGTTTATCATACAACTTACAATATATACTGTTGTCTTGTTCAGTGTTAATGAGAAGGTCAAGATAAGGCGCATTTATGTTGGATTCATTGGTCTTTTTTAACTCTAACTCGGAAGGGTATATCTCATTTACAAAATCTTCAAATCCAGGGTTGTCCAAACTCAACAGGTCATCTATATGCCTATCTGTTTTATTAAAAAGTTTAGCTATGTGGAATTTTGTCTTATCTTTCATCATCTTTTGCAAAAATTTATATTCATACGAGAATAGAAAAAGGTCTGCCAAAAGAGGAGCACAATCTGTCCCCATTGGTATTCCTATATTTTGATATAAAACTGTATTTCCAAACTTTACATAAATGTTATCAATCAAAAAGCCTAAAATCTCACAAAGTTGTATTGCAGTAAAAGAAATATACTTTTCATGTTGATCACTAGAAAAGAAAGCTCTATTTGAACTACAATTTACAAAGATCCAGATAAGATATGGCAAGCATTTTTGAAAGTGCTATATCTTTAGTTCTAAGAATACTTTAACCACAAAAACAAATGGTTATGTTAGATCCATGCCTTATCTTCAATAAATGACATTAGGATGATAATCAAGTTGATTGGATTATCTCTTAAGCTGTCCCTAATCCACCCATCTTCACCAATTTTCCCTAATTCTGACGCAATTTTCACCAAAAGTGCAGCATTTTATTTCAGCTTTTATGGCAAAATTACAATTTATTGTAAGGAATGATTTACCTCTAAAAAGGAAAACTTAATTACTTTGGGATTAGGATAATCCGAAAACAATAACTTTTTTAGGCCGAATTTTCGACCTAAAAGTAGCAATTTTTCAATAAGTTTAATGCACGAAAACATTGAGCTATGTAACATGATTGATCTCCAAAAAGCAAAAATGATCTAAATGAGATAAGCATTATCTGATAATCCATTTGTCATTTTTATCTCACAGGTTCACACACAGCTATGCTCACTCGTGAAATTTTAGGGCACTGGGGCTACCCCTATTTGCACACCCTCCATATTCCCCAGACCGTGCATCCAGTGACTTTTACTTATATGCAGAACTCAAGCGTGACTTGAGAGGAAATAAATTTGGAAGCACTGATGAACTCAGATCACATGTCTTTGCAAGGCTTCAGGAAATGGGCAAGAATGGGTTTGAAAGTATGTTTAGAGAGTTGGTGAATAGGCATAAGAAGTGTATACCTATAGAGATGTTCATTATGTTGGATAGCTTATTTTCATAACAATGGAACTTTAGGACTGTTTTATATTGTATTTGTGGTAGTAATAGACCTGGGAGTATGAATAAAGCTATCAGAAAGAATAAATATGTTTTGGAAAGTTGTGACGTAAAAAAAGTTGCCCCGCCTTTTTGTTGTTTCGGTTGCTATAGCAACCACAACTCTGGCCAATCAAATATAAGACGCTTTAAATTCACAGAATAAAGGTAAAAAGGTTTGGGCTACAAACTCTGAAAATTTCATCAAGATTGGTGCAATATTAAGAAAGTTACAATATCTTTCACCTTATTTATTGGACGCCCTGTATTGTAATGACTTCAGTATGAATGAAATGTCCCTTGGTCTTCTGGTCTTGGATTGTGATATTAGTTCTTGAATGGTGGGGGGAAAGGGGGTATTAGACATTGTTTCTTTTCACGTTAGATCATGGTTTTGGGCTATATGGGGTCTGTTTTTCTTATGATTGGTATATACTTAAGAGTTTGCTTTTTCTTGCTAAGTTCCATTACAACTTTTGGTCCTTTCCCTTTGGCACTTGTGCTTATATGTATATATTAAATAGTCGGTGGCACATCACACAGGTAGTGTCACATCAAATGGTTTGTGGCGCATCAAATAAATGGCGAGTGGCATATCATATGTTTTTTGCCATATGGTTAACCCCCATTAAATTGATGGGGGAAGATAGCCATAGCCTAAAAGTGTACAGCAATAGCCTTTCTGTACATGTAATTATGTGTATTTATTCATGTGTAGAATGAGAACATAGAAATTAGCCAACAAAACAAACTATTTATTTATACACACATATTTCTTAATTCATAATCAAAATTGTGTATACATATTAATTTATAATCGTGGAATGTTTAGAGTGTTTCAGTATTCCCATGTGTTGGTATTATTAACATTATGGTGATGATGTTGTCAAAACCAATCACCATCATAATTGTGTTGTTCTGTTGAAGATTAGAAGTCCCATGGCACAAACTCTGGCTTGTCTGTACTCAATACATTTGCTGGAACAATCCCAGCTATGAGATAATCATTTACCTCTCCATTAGTCCATCCAGAAGGGCAGTAGCCAAACTGAAGAGTAGAAAATATGAATTTTCATTTTCAACAAAATTTCATCTTCAGTAGGCCTTTTCAGTATGCTTATATCCAATAATGTCAATATCTACATACATTTATGGAGGAATCAAAAGTTGATTGACTGATAAGAAACAAAATAAATCTAAAACTGAACTGGGAAGTTTGATTTAGTTTTTTTTTGTCTATAAAACATAAACTTTGTTTCAACGTTTATTGATTATGAAAGTTACATTTCTTTATGAATTGAAAATATTTTAGGGTTATTTTAGATGAGAATTACAGCTTTTAGTCATTTGATATCACAAAAGTATCAATATACAAGAAGGCAAATTTTTGAAATTTTTTTTGCACAATCCCTCCCCTTCCCTATCAAAGTTAAAGCAAGGTGTCTGCATCATCAATATACTTTAAGATAAACATACTATCTCTTAATGGGTAAGTCACAGTTCCTTGAGAATAAAAGATATTTCAATAGAATCCTTTCCATCACACTTCATGCATCTCCCATCAATAAAGTAACCTCACAAAATAGTAACATTTGAGATGTCAAAATAATGGCAAGGGATGACTAGGGTGGGATGGGCAAGTCACAGTTCATTAAGAATAAAAAATATTTCAATAGAATTCTTTCCATCACACTTCATGCATCTCCCATCAATAAAGTAACCTCACAAAATAGTAACATTTGAGATGTCAAAATAATGATAAGGGATGACTAGGGTGGGATTTGATTCTATGAATCAGTCATCATTTACTAAGCCCTTCTTAGACATAAATTGTAGTTCATTGCATGTCAGTAGTTTAACTTACCTCATAATAATAAGATGGTCTCACAACTCCAAGTCTGAATGGGCACTTGCTACCAACAATGGCTAAAATGAATTAGTTTTCTATTTTATTGATTTAATTGTGTATTTATTCAGGGTATAAAATCAGTATATGCTTGCTACTGGTTAAGTTCATATGTATTCTTTATCATATGGACTCATACAGTGAAACCTGTAAAATGGAACAACTCTTAGTGAAACACTTTTCAGAGACCCAATAGGCTACAAGGCCAACTGACTTGATATAATATGGACTCTATTCATACAGTGAAACCTGTGAAATGGAACACCTCTTAGTGAAACACCTCTTAGTGAAACACTTTTCAGAGACCCAATAGGCTACAAGGCCAACTGACTTAATATAGTATGGACTCTATTCATACAGTGAAACCTGTAAAGTGGAACACCTCTTAGTGAAACACGTTTCAGAGACTCGAGGCCATCTGACTTAATGTTATAAATGAGCCTCTGTAAGGAAGTCAAAAAACTTCTAAGTGAAACACTTTTTAGAGTCCTAAGACCCACCGACTTAATGTTAAATTAACCTCCATAAGTGGAACAACTCCCAAATGAAACACTTTAGAGGTTCCAAAGGCGTTCTCCAGGTTTTACTATAACATTAATACTTCTTTCGAATAAACATTTCCAAACAGTCATATAGTGCAAAGTTATTTTATCCAGATTCCAAGATTTAATATTGGTTCATTAAGAAAAAGTATTGTGAAAGAAATGCAACATAAAATTAGCATGATAAACAATTAAAAACACTCACAGGAAGAAAATTCTCCATCCTTTGTATCAGTAAAACCATTACTGTTTACTCCAATTAGGGTGGTTTGGTTATCTCTCAGGGTAAAGACAAATCTCACCCGAACTGCAGGATCGAATGCCTTTAAGTGAAGAAATGTAAACTTAATTAATAATTACAGATAATTTTCTAATTTTTGCATTCATGATCATGATCAACCTTATGTGTAATGTGAGATCAGATCTTCCCCTGATTCTTTGCTTACTCTGTCTCTTTCAATTTTTGTACACTTCAATAACACAGATGCAAGCAGATAGTTACCAGCTTCACCACCAGGTGACTCATTCGTGTCAGATAACATGCCGGGTATAGTAGAAAGTTCCCTTTAACTTAAATATTCATGAGTTTTTGTGGTTCAATTTTCATATCATCCTTATGTATCTAATAGTTATGCAAATTAAAGTATGTCCAGTAAAAGAAAATATTATCTGTCCAATTCAAGAAAAGATGTTTCACTTTTTATGATTTTATAACATGAGGTCTATGGGGAATCTTTCCAAACTATAAGACAAATTGTCAAAAAATTAAATTTTCACAGAGTTGATAAACAATTTTCGAAACCATAGATGTACATATACTTTTTCTAGATGTACTTTTACATGTAGATTTCAAATATGATTTCATTTTGACTGAATTTAATGACATAAATTAAGATTATTTCTACTTGCATCCAGTCTTCCTATTAAAAATCAGAAGTCAGTGAAATTATTATTGCCTTGATTTTGAAACATTTATACTTACTTTTACGTCAAATGTTGTGCCATCAATAGTAGCAGTAAGACCAGCTATATTATTATATGTAAATGATATTGTGGCAGGGGTGTCACCATTGTTGTCAAACACAATTCCTCCAGGGAAAGAATCAATATCAAATTCACCAAAGAATGTAGCCTCATCTCCAAAGAATGCTTTTTGTGTGGCGAAGATTTCTGCAGGATCAATTATTCCACTAACATCATCTTCACAAGCTAGTTGCCCCGAACCTGCTTCACAGTTACCAGGAGTCATCTGCACATCTTGGTTAATATCTACTAGAGGTGTTGGGTCATCAAATGTCCATTCAGTGCAACCACAGTTTGCTTGAAATAAAGAGGTACAGATGATCATAAACTAATAAGGCCTCAATCATATTTGCTGTAAGTCAGCTATAGCTTTACAAAATCGATATAGAGAATCAACATCACACAAGTGCGCTACAATACCCGGGAATTTTTCATTCAGTACATTTCTATTATAGTGCGCAGTGAGCGCTTTGCTTACCAGTGTTATAAAATATTGGATAATAACATTTATGTGTGCGCGCGCAGCTCATCCACTGAACGAAACGAAACTTCCCGCTGAAATCACCGGGTATTGATTTTTCCCTTGCTTCACATTGCTTATCCTATTATTTTATGCTGCATATTTTGGCACGTTATGGTCATAGGTCAAATGTGACTGAGGCAGAATGCTTAGTTGTGATATGGATGTGCAATACAATACACTAACAGTTTATAAATTAATATTAGGGAGTTTAAGCTTGTATATAAAATCGAAACGCCAACCTATACGTATCACAAATCGTACAAATGCATTGTTTTAATATTTTTTTGTTCAATTTTTGGCACAATTCAGCATATTGTTTAGAGATGCATTATATTTTTAGTTTCCACAAACTGATTGCACTGTCAATTTCTGATTTTTGTATTTTGTACTCATTACTTTTCATTATGTTTTATGTCACTGTGATAAGTGGGGACATATTGTTATGCTCTCAAACTTATTAATGAATGGTGTTCAGTGTTTGGTGGTTAGTGTTCATCAGTTGATGTTTGGCGATTGACATTTAGGTTCTGTAACAAATGGCAGGTGGTGACATTTTGCAAGTTAATGCCTTGTATTCTTTCGTCCTTTATACTTACTGTGTGGATATTTGCATGCACAGAATTTCTGGCTGAAGTTCAGTCCTTCTGGGCATTCGCTAGAAAAGTTACAAGATGGGATGGAGTATGAAAGGCCACTGGGGTCAGAAAGGTTCTTGATAACTTTATATCCGTATCCTACTGTATGGTTATCATATGTGATGCCATTCAAACAACATTCGCCAGCAGCTGTGTTAGCCATACATTCATCAGGCGTTACTGGTGCATCTGTAGAAATAAATTGAAATAATTTTTTGTATAACATGTATTTACTGATTGGGTAATGGCATACATTTGAAAATATCATGTGCAAAATATTACAGTTGGTAAAAATCTGTCAACATTATATCCAATATGATATTTTTATGACATATTCACTTATGACTAAATAGGTTCAGTAATAGTGTTAGTAAAATACTCTCTGTCCTTCACAATCTCGTATATTATTCGGTAACTGTATTGCCTAAAAAGCATGGCTCTTTACCCCAACAGGTTTTGTTAGTAGGATCACAGGCTCCCATAGTGTAGTTGAAATCACAGGCACACAGCTCATCATTCCAGTATAATGGTTCCATACATTTTCTGTCATAGGCATATTCTTTATCTTCAGTACATTGACGATAGCTACAACAGTCCCCTTGGGGCTCTTGGTAATAGCCAGTCTTGCAAAGATCTGTAACATTGAAAGAGTCTTAATAAAAAATATATTACATGAAAGATTTTCACTGAAATGCAAATATTGACAATGATATGGAATTGCATATTTTGCAGTTATCAGGTGCAATTGCAAATATTTGTTACAATTAAAGACTCTGTCACATTTAGTCTAATGCTGCCATATTTCACAAAATCGATAAAGAAAATTTACATCATACTGCACCCTATTTTATGCAATGTTTTTTTCTCAAATTCAAGAAGCTACGGCCATTGTACTGTTGCCGTAGATCAAATGTGACTGAGGCATAATGAGTGTTGTAATCCAGGAATATGTTTGAGACAAATACTATTTAGATTTTAGGTTTTCTCTAATATATTGTTTGTTATTAACTTACCAGGATTAGGTACAGGAGAGGCTACAATAAAGATTCACAAAATACAATAGTTAATAATTTTTAATTCACAAATAGCTAGGCATAATAAATCAGTTTCCAGCCAATCTGAACATGGTGTTCTGATTGAATTTTGTTTTCTGTTATTTCAGACAAAACCTTTTGCTCAGTATGTAAATGGTTTAAGTACATTTAAGCATGATTGGTGGTGATTTAATGCACTTGAGTCTTGGATGATAGCCTTTCAATTTGGGTTCCCACTTTCATTCAGTCTCATCCAAAATCCTTGTGCTTATCCATGATCCATGGAGCCCTGGGCCCCGGGGGTTCACTCCAAATAATTTGGGTAGGTATGTGCAGCACGGCCGATTTTGGCTTTGAGCATAAAACATGGAAATTGGCCAATCTGAGAGGAAAAAAACATGTAAAATTCTCTTAGAAAGTACCAAAAGTCAAAATTTAGTTTTTCTACAAAAAATTATATTAGATTCATCAAATGAAGCCTGGAATATATCACTAGAACAATTGATTTTTTAGTCAATTATAAGTCACAGAGGAATTAAACATGGAAACCTTCAATTATGAGAGGATGTTGACATAGAAAAAATGCTCAAAAAGGGGGTCTTTGGGGTGGCACATAGGTATTAAGAAGTATATTGGAGTGAAACCCCCGGGCCCTGGGCTTAAGCCCTTCACTATTTTCATTTTATTTTTATTTATTTATTTTTTATTTGATCTTGAAATCAATATGCAGAACAATTAAAACACACACAAGTAATACCTTATATGAAAAAGGAAAGGAAACAGTTTGCAAATTCTAATATTTTTTGTTAATAATAAAGCTGATAAACTAAGTGCAAATTTAGCTTTCTATCTTTGAATTTTATAATTTATTTGCTAACATGCTTGAGTGGCCCGTGCAGTTTTGTAACATTGTCAATCCTTGTGATATGATTACTAAAGATCTCAATTATCTAAAAAAAACACTACTGTACATGAAATTAGAATGAGGAGTATTTAACAGTTAATTCTTACGTGTTAACATGTCATATGTGGGTACTCCTTGTACCACAGTGTACATGCAAACCAGAGCCAAAATTCTCAACATCTGCAAATTAAAACACATTTCTTGAGGAGTCTAAGCTCCAAATTGATACAGGAAACCCTTTTATGAAATGTGCTATTGAAAAATTTATCAAAACCTATCAATGTGATCAATAGCAGGTCCTAGAAGAATATATTTTAGTGTATATTTTTATTATACCAAATGAGTGTGATAGTGTCAAAACATTTAGGTAGAAATAAGGCACAATTTTAGGAGATGTTTTTTGGGATGATGTATTTTTAACAATCTTGTTTTTAAATATAAAACAAAATATGATATAAATTAAAATTATAAAATTTTCCTAAACATAATCATTTTCTCCATAATTAATTAAGAATCTCGACTTACCTTGACTGTGAACCAAAAGTGAAATGATTTAGACCCATATCAGAGGAGATTATATAACCCAGAATTGTCTTGCAGCGATCATCAAAATCATTTATGCCTCGTATATGCCTCATTCCTGCCAATCAATCAATATTTTGCTATCGTAAGATTTCGTAACTGATTTAAGGACAATTGTGAAGTGCTTTGATGTACATTGAATTATATACATGAATTTTTCATAATTTTTAGCAAAATGTAGAAAGCCTTATAGCTGAACTAGTTTATAAATAAGGAAAGATGGGCCATATTGTATATACCCAATTTTTAGGCCTATAAAAGAGCTATTTCAGTATGTACATGTAGTTGTATTTTTCGTACAAGGGTCTTTCTCTGCAAATCAAGTAATTCAATGCAGGATTAGATTACATTAAGCACCTTTTCCGGGAGCCTTTATGAACATTTTGGGTAAATATTAAAACCTGTTTAAAACCCATTTAATTTCAAGTCTTTAGCTCTGTGAAAATGGGGCTGAGGGATATCCCTCAAAGAAACTTTTTCTGGAAAATAACTTAGCATTCAATTGGCGCGTGATATTACAAAACAACAAGAATGTCAATGTCAGGCTTAACTACGTTTGTTGACAGTTTTATTAGATAACAACATTTCTAAAATGTTAAATAGCATTTACATCTGTCAGCTAGCATCCGGTGAGCTGTAAAATGTTAAAAGTGATCAATAAGGACTCTCACCAATAGTCGGAGGCATATCAAATGGGTTTTGTTATTTTAAATAGTTGGTGGCACTAAATGATTGGCATCATATTGGTAGTGTCACATTAAATGGTTAGTGGTGCAACAAATTAATGGCAAATGGCATATCAAATGGGTTTTGTTATATTAAATAGTCATTGGCACAAATAGCATCACACTGGTAGTGTCACATTAAATGGTTAGTGGTGCAACAAATTAATGGCAAATGGCATATCAAATGGGTTTTGTTATATTAAATAGTCATTGGCACTAAATGGTTGGCATCACACTGGTAGTGTCACATTAAATGGTTAGTGGCTCAACAAAATAATGGCAAATGGCATATCAAATGGGTTTTTTATATTAAATAGTTGGTGGCACTAAATGGTTGGCATCACACTGGTAGTGTCACATTAAATGGTTAGTGGCTCAACAAAATAATGGCAAATGGCATATCAAATGGGTTTTGTTATATTAAATAGTTGGTGGCACTAAATGGTTGGCATCACACTGGTAGTGTCACATTAAATGGTTAGTGGCTCAACAAAATAATGGCAAATGGCATATCAAATGGGTTTTGTTATATTAAATAGTTGGTGGCACTAAATGGTTGGCATCACACTGGTAGTGTCACATTAAATGGTTAGTGGCTCAACAAAATAATGGCAAATGGCATATCAAATGGTTTTTTTATATTAAATAGTTGGTGGCACTAAATGGTTGGCATCACGCTGGTAGTGTCACATTTAATGGTTAGTGGCGCATCAAAGTAATGGCGATTGGCATATCAATTTTTTGGCCATATGTTTAACCCCCATTTCTATTTTCTTTACTGCTATCAAAAACTTCAACAGTTAGAGACATATAAATATCAAGTTTGTCATAAAGAAAACCCCTTCTTAGCACCACTTGATTTTTTTAGCACCACTTGATGATAAGAATCATAAGATATTGTCTTTGCACGCAAGCATTTTATCACTTTTTCCAAAATGCTATATTGGGAGAGTGTCGGGGCCACAAGTTTTGTCATAAAAAAAACAAGGAAAACTGTTTACCTGTTTAACTTCAAATTTTTCATAGATGCAAGAAGACTAGTAGTCTAGTACTAAGATCTGATTAAGTTTTGGGTATGATGGTAGTAACCATTTTGAATTTTTTGATTAAAAGTGTGAACGTTTTCAGAATTTGACAACTTAAAGGCAAGACACATTCAATGTAAATCTTTCCCAATAAGCCAATTCTGATTTGAACTTATTTACTACCATGTTTAGTATACCACAAACTTAAAAGGAGACACTGAATGCTGCACGTAGGCATGTCAATTTGATGTATTTATTATACCATGAATGTCATTCATTTGCCATTTGTAAAATTCTGCTGGAAACAACAAAATATAATTATAACATTTTTTTTAATGATCTTAATTATAAAAGTTCAAGAATTATGCCTATACTGATTTTGTTAACTGAAAAAGAAATTATTCAGATTACACATATATTCTTTTTATTTTTATGTAATTTTTTTTTTTATTAGGCCAGATAATCATTTTTCTACATATGTGATTAATATTTGTAATTACATGTATATTACGAGTGGGTCAGTCTTAAGTTGGCATACTTTCTTGAGTAAAACGTTAATTACTAATATCCTAAAAAAAATTGGTTTATAGTCTTATATATCTTTCTGAAAACATTCAGCAGCTCTGGTAAATCATCATTCACAGTTGTAGAATGATCGTATTTAGTGTAATGAAATAAATAAAATGTTGAATGACACATTGAAGAGAATCTACATTTGTATATATCTGCTATAGTTTTTTGCTAGGAAAATGGAAAATAAAGGAGCATGTAGGTTATCGCAAAAAAGTTCAGAAATTAGGTCAACATTTTTGAAAAAGTATGTTGATTGGTCCATTCCCCCTTCAATATCGCTTAGGTCTGATTAACTAAATTATCATTGTATATACTTTTCTTGAAGATAATGAATGCATCTAAAAGATACACCCATGCTCATGATCAGAAAATATTGATAATTCAAGTTAGAATCGTTTGAAATTGGTTGCGCTAACTTACGTGCTCCTTTCAAAAATTTCTTTGTGTAATATTTTTTCAAAATGTATTGGGGACTCAGGTCTACATATAATAAGGAAATTTCTTTATTATAAGGACTCTAAAAATGTTTCATGGACTCGAATATTATTAAAGACTTGCAACAAATGTTGGGACTCCAAACATTTGTTAACTTCTGAGTCCCTAACAAGTCATGCATAGTCTGAAAGAAAAGCTTATGGCCAATACGTAATCGTATGCTGTGATGTCTTACTATTTGCAATTGTTTGGACTCATTTGAATACAATACTTGGATCTGTGATAGTTAAAATGATTGACATATTAGCCTACTTAAATTCAAAATGGCCTATCAATGGCCTGTCTTTTCTCTGTGTGATGACCATTTTGGAAACTTGTTTGAACTAGTCAGTCCCAATTAGGATTCTTTATATTATTTCATATATTGATTTATTGATTTAATAAAACCCTTTACTGCTCCTTTGTGTATTGGATGGGGGTTTCAGAATGTTTTTACTGTATGTACAGGTTTATATTATACAGTCATGAATTAGAATATGATTTTATTAAATACATGTATTAGTTTATTCTCAAATAAGTGTTTTGTATATGTATTTTTATATTCTGAGGGCTGATGTTAGCACTGTTGTAGAAAAATAATTATGGGCTTAACACCCTCATCCCCTTTTATATTGACATTTTCCCTTTCACTTGAAAGACATAAAATCAACATTTTCACAATGAAAAAGATGTTTACCCCCACCCCTTTTTGGTGCAGAACTACCATGAGTATGTACTTGAAAATGTATATACATGTATTTTAACTGCATTTATTTTATTTTCATAGATTGCTGGTGGAAATGAAAATAGTGTTATGCTGCCAAGCTGGACGAGCGATAATGAACTTCTATATGTTGGTGACCAATCAGATTGGTGGAATCTGTACCATGTGACTAAATCTGGTGACCATGTGAATCTTCGGGAAGTTGAAAAAGAGTGTGGGATGCCGAATTGGATATTCGGGTGGCAGACCTATGATCAAGATCCCTCTGGAAATGGTGATATAGCTGTACTGTATGCTGGAGTATGTATTTTTTGTAATACTTGTGATATTATATCGTCACCAAAACTGGTAAATTAGTGACATATTGTTATGATCTCCATTCTTTTCTAACTGCTGTTGGTGTCCAGCATCTGGTGTTGCGTATCTGTAGCAATTGGCAGGGTAGGTGGTGACATTTTGCATGTTAATACCTTGTTATACACTTAATAATATACTGAAAATATCATGCTAGTATCTTGTCACTTTGTTATAGTTTCTTTCACAAATGAGTATATGTCATTGACTAAAGATATTACATATATATATGGTTTGAATATGGAAGATAAATAAATGTTGTACATGTATGTTGATGCCCTCGGCAAAACAACTGACCAACTGGTTTTGAAGTAGTATACAATTAGCCCTTTGTACGATAGATGCTGTATGATATGGAATAGAGTTTGATATTGAAAACATGAGGCTTTATAAATATTTTTTATGTTCCAGGAACTAGGCATTCTTAACTTGAGGACTAGAGAATATAGAACAGTTGAAACTGGCTTCAAATCTCATGAATTTCTTGCATTCCAAGGCAATCAAAAGATATGCGGTGTTGGTGGTAGCCCCACGCAATTTCCTTGTGTAATATCAGTGAACACTAACTCTGGGAATGTGAGTATCAAACAATAATTAATATCAAGCAGTAATTAAACAAAACAAATATAAATGGGAAACAATATTTTATTGTTTAGAGTCAGAAAAATGCTCCTGATTTTGGTTGCAGGGAATAGAGTTGACCTTGAGGGGTCTCTGCTAATATGTTAAGGTATTGTCAAGGACTTCTGAAAATGATTATTCAAATTCATAATAATCTTGAACTAATTTTCCTTCTTCTTCATGCAATCTTTTTGCTCAGAAAATTATGAATTTGTTTAAAACTAAATTTTAGAGGGGAAATTTGAATGTTCTCCAAAATCTCTAAAATAACTTAAAGTCATGACAAATAGTAAATAAATGATAAAAAGATATTTTCAAACTTTACATGGTGTCTTTAAAACAGAAGATAAAATCCGAAACCCTAACCAGAAACAAGAATTCTCTCTCTCTCATTCTTATATGAAAACATTTAATGATGATAATATCTGTGAAATAAAATATGAAAATAAAGATAAAAAAGATGAAGAAATTCTGGCTGTGTGTGTGGAGTTCAGAGCCCTCATTATCCGGTCAGCGCTAAATGAGCGTTGCAATTTGCGTTGCGCTTGCGAATCAACATTATTCGCAAGCGCAAATCATGGTTTGCGTCGTATTACGCGCTTCACGCAGATGCAACGCAGACGCAACAGTATGCTAATCGCAAATAAATTGGAAACGCGGGAAATTAAACTTAGAGCTCAAAATAGATTTATCGATTTTTTAATGTCTATGTATATGTTTACGCCAGTGCGGATGTGTCAATCAATGTTATGTAAAAATATTTATCGCATACTTGGACGTGTTATAGGTACATAAAGCTGGTTTGTAAAAACGTTTATTCCATACTTAGTAGTGTTATAGGTATATAACATGCGGGAATATAACTGATATGTGACGTGAGCGGGAGATATATATTTATCCTACACTTAGTGTACTAAATGTATAATAACATGACATAATAAATTTGATATTTATTGGCAAAATGAATATCCGGAGGATATCGTTACGATATACTCCGGAAAACCCAATATACGGAGGATATTGTGACGATATACTCCGCTAGTTGATTTCCCGTCAAATTGACTCTATTTGGCATGAAATTCATTTTACAATGATATTTTATACATTCAGTACACTCCTTGTAAGTGTAGGATAATAAGAACATCCTATGATTTTTTTCAGAATATCATTTTAATCTACTCGGTGATATTGATATGTGCACTCGTTCGCTTCGCTCTCTCGTGCAGATATCAATATCACCTCGTAGATAAAAATGATATTCCTCAAAATCATAGGATATCCTATAAATCTCCCGCTCAGCAGATCTACGACGTCATAAATTCAGGGAGTAGAAACTGAGCCAGGGGACTTTGCTATTATTCCTCACAATCTACTAAGTATAGAATAAATCAGTTATTAAATGCTCGATTTTTGATACAGGGTATATCCCTCGGTAAATACAATATATCAATATATTGTATTTCCATCAGATATACCCTGTATCAAAAACCTCCCATTAAATAACCTCTATATATTTCCATCAGCGGTCAGATATAGCTATACGTCCCGCTCTGAGCGGGCAGATATAGTATATCTGCCCGCTGACGTCATAATCGCCGTTCGCATATTGGTTCATTTTTGTAACATGCGCATAATTACTGTAAACGTTAATGGAGAAAAGGCAGACAATCGCGATCTGTTTGAAGAAAGGAAATGAGCGTATCCCTGTTAAACAAGGATTTCAGAAATAAATGTGGATGAATATCTGAAAATCAGGCTGAACTCCGGCCAATTGAACAGCGTGAACAAAATGACCAAGATTGGTATGGGATAAACAGATCATCCTATAGTCGGTTCATGATATTGGGATTAAATAAATGTGGATGAATATCTGAAAATCAGGCTATTCTAAATGAATTCTTACGGTTTGTTGGACGTTTTCTGAACTCCGGCCAATTGAACAGCGTGAACAAAATGACCAAGATTGGTATGGGATAAACAGATCATCCTATAGTTCAATATCCTGAACCTCATATAGGATAATCTTTATTTATCCCATGATACTACTAATTCCCGATGAATAACCGGGATTATTCCATAATAACATGTTTTCCCTGGGAAAATAACAGGGAATAAAAGTGTTATTTGAAAAATCCCGTATCAGCCAAAATCCCGTATCAGATCCCGTATTGGATCCCGTATCAGCAAAAATCCCGTATCAGATCCCGTATCAGAAATATTCCCGGTAATTTCTCTTGAGTTTTACGCTTTTCGTCTAGCACATCTCTACAGGAAGTAAAAAAATCGTTTGGAAAATTGAAATTATTGAAATTACGTTATCATCTAGTTTACGTCTATTACTGTGACAAAGGTCTATTACTGTGACAAATATCTCTAGGTATGCAACAGAGGATGTTGATGACTTCATTAAAGGTCAAGAAAATATCAATACTTCGAAGAAAACTAAAAGTGACATAAAAATCCTAGTAGATTTTTTACGTAGTGAGAGGAATGAACTCAGACCGATCGAGGAGATAGATCCCCATGATCTTAATGACCACCTCAAACATTTTTTCATTAACATAAGAAAGAAGGATGGTGCAGAATATCAACCATCAACCTTAAGAGCTTTTATGAGCAGCATCGCAAGATATCTCAAGGATAAAGAATACATGGAAGATTTGCTGAAGTCCATCGTATTTGATAAGTGCTGAACTGCTCTAAAATCAAAGCAGAAGAATTTGAAAAGTCAAGGTCTTGGAGATAAGCCGCGCCGTTTGCTGCAGCAAGCCTTGACAATGACGAAATAAGATGTAGACATTCTTGAAAAGTACATACATGTAGGCCCATTCTACATCCACATGTTTCATTAAGACGTTTCATGATATTGTGTTTATTTTGCCATATTATGAGCCATTTTATTGTTATAAATTATTTATATTTTTAAGTAAAACTTGATAAAAATATTATGAAATAAATAGGTTATTGATGGTCGTGATGGAATATGGATTTATTCCTTGAGAAAATATGATATTGGCCTCAGAAAATATCATATTGACACTAGGGCTATCGCCCTCGGTCAATATGATATTTTCCTTGGCCAATATCATATTTTCCCTCGGAATAAAATCCATATTCCATCCCTCCCATTAAATAACCTCTATATATTTTTGATATTGAGAAAAAATCGTATTGAAAATTTTTGCCAAACAAAGCTTCCTCTTTCAATCAGTTGGGTCGATATAGCATGCTAAAATGATGTTCTTATGTGAAAAACGAATTCCAGTTTTATCATCATCGCTCTGACACAGACAAAAATGCTTACGTATTGCTGAATGTTTTGATGTTGATGTGTTTATGTTACACATGTACAATAATTTTTTTATATTTAAAAATATCATAAAGCTAAGTCATATTTTCTTGATTAAATATACCATTTTTTCATAGAAAAATCTAACTAATGATTTTATGAAGACAGTTATGAATATCATGGAATAAAAAGTTAATTTACTGGTCGAGATTAAATATGGGTTTATTCCTCATGACAATTTGATATTTCACATATTGTGAGGGACAATTTGGTATTTCCCTCTGACCCTCCGGGCTCTCGGTAGATATCATATTGTCCATCATTATAAAACCCATATTGAATCCCTCCCACTACATAACCTATATATATCTTGCGAAAATCTAGATCTGTCACTGGAAGGCAGCCCATCTTGAAAACAAGACACGGTGTCTTTGTAATTAGTCCGACTGATATAGCCTACCTAGAGAAAACCGCCGATACCTCAGCAACAATGTTCGAAACAGTAGGTTGGGATACCCCGAATATATCTCCATTTATCATTTGCATACAACCTGTAGCATAAAATCGTAATGAAATGAATACTTTTAGCTGACATGGAATTGCCTGAGGATTCCTTGTTCTTGACGCTAGATCCCCATCTAATATATTAATCAACTCAAGAATGAGTGGCCTCGGCATGCGATATCTGTTTAATATCTCATCGTCAGTCATCTCTAACGGCTGACTCCTGTCTCTGAATAAGCGTAAACCTCTTCTATTGTGAACATCCTGGAATAATATGCGCCACATTTTCCAGCTTGATCGAACCCTAATATTTTAATTTTAGCAGACGATATTTGCGAAATTGAATTGCGATATTTATTATAGATTTCACAAAACCAAGGTAGCATAATCGTGCACTTTCAGACTTGATTTTGATAAGTTTTGGTTATTTGTGTCTCTAATGTTTTTCAACCTATTTTTAGTTGGATGTCTCAAAGGGCACTTCCTAGATTTCTACAACGATAATGTTAATTTAAATAGGAAAACTATCAAGATTCTTGATGATATGTTTGCGATTTATATTGCGGCAGGGTCAGGGATGCCGCAAATAAAGTGGAGTTTGCGACATAAAAATCAACTGATTTACGTGGACGCAACTGTGCGATGGCTGCATAATACCAATTTGCGTGCGGTTAGCAGTGTATTTGCGATGCGAAATGAAAATAGCGATGCGTCTACCGTGTAATAAGAAAACTGCGATTTGCGCTAAAGACGCAAAACGGCAATGAATTTGCGCTAGAGTGCCTTTGAGATGACCTCATAATATCGTTTTGCGTACGATTCGCTAAATATTTACGTTGCGATTGCGATTTGCGGTGCGTCGACCGGATAATGAGGCCTCTGCCCACTGAATTGTATAGAATCGACACCAAAAGCCTTGAGCTAAAGAAATGCAACAATACCTATCAATGAAACATCCTCTCTGCATTATATTCTTTGTAATTCTACGTTCCCCTCTCTTGCATTTAAAATAATCTCCATGACAATTTCATGGCACAGGACATTACAATAAGTTAATAATAAAAAGGATAAACCTCAACATATAGAGAGGAATCACTGACCAATGACAGCTGAAGCATAGGCATCTAGAGAACGACATCAATATGAATGACATTAATGAGACTAAAATATGTCACTTGAATAGCCAGAAGTGGAAAAAGTAAACTACTCAATGAAAAACATAGTCACTAAGATGCAGATGAAAAAATTGTAGCTTAGATCAGACAGCTTAAAATGTATTGATTTTATCAAATTCTCTTGAAAGATTTGTTGCATTAACTAAATAGAAATAAAAAGGTATGCCATGGAATTATAATGAAATATTCATGGTCACACAAAAATGTTATTCTTGAATTTTCTGCCTCATTCCTGTTTGTTTTCATTTAAGTGTAATAAGTGGTTAAACTTTTATAAATGCAACCACTGGTAGGTAGTGACATTTTGTAATGTGAATGGGTTGTCTGATTTAAAATCTCTTGAAGTCATCTGCTTAGATTGTGCCCGCTATTCTATATAACAGTGTATTATGAAGCGTGAATCACATTTACCTAGATAAGGAAACAGATTTGAAAGTGGACTTCCAAAAAAATTATTACATTATTTCTTACTCATGCGGTATTAACTTTGACCGCCTCTCTGTTGGTACATTATTCTGATATACAGAGTCCTTACTTCCAGCGGCATTTTGGTCCAGCTGTGAAAAGGCTTAGTAACAGCTGGGGACCAAAACGCTGCTAAAACGAGGGACTCCTTAAAATAAAGCAATGCACCAACAGAAAGGCAAGTTTGTTTTGCTTTGAATGGAACAAGTTTGAAGAAAAATGGTGCAGTATGTGACTCGCAATCCTTGATTTTTAAACATCTGTAGCTCAAAAACTCAAATTAACGATCAAAGTTAGTTCCGCATGTTACTGTTAAAACAGTTTTGCACATCACTGTTTGTCGATGATGCAGACTAGGGTTGTACTAATCTCTGTTATTTGAAATAATCTTTGCAGACGGAGGTATTACGTGAATCAAAGAAGGTTGCAATAGATAAAGAGTACTTCAGTATTCCTACTGAGATAAAGTGGCCGACAGCAAACGATGCTATCTCATATGGATACTTCTATCCACCAAAGGTAAGATGCAACTCATTCTCATTGTAATAATATTAAATTTTTACCTCTCTTGATGTTGGCTGTCCAAATTATATCCTGACACTTTTAACTGAAACATTCGGTCAAGGCTTAAAGTGAAGGATACAGTTTTGACAGTCAACTGAATGGGAATGTCTCCAGTTTGGAAATCAGTATTGTAATTGGTACAACAAAATGGATTCAACATAACATTATGGGGTTTTACTTAAGGGCTTCATATACATATATTATCAACTCTTGTTCCTACTGTTTTATTCAATGTTTTTTTTATTCAAACCTGTCTTTCTATTAAAATTTTCCTAAAATCTTGAACATTTAAATACTGCACATCTGTATCATTGAAGTATAAAGTTAGATATTGCATCCATGTTTCAGCATTTCTGCCTACTGAGGAAACAATTTCATCATAAGAAATGATCTGGCCATTTTTGCAAACATCACATATAAAATTTATTCAACGCTTAATCCAGCTTTGAAAATACAATTCTTTACCTGTAGCTTTGATATTTTTATTATGCCAAAAATAGAGCTGTCTTTGAACTTATTGTTTGATTTCTATAGATATAATAGTTCTCTATAAAATCCTAACAATTTGCAAGTATTCACAATGTTTTTAAAATCATTATCACATTGAAATATGCTTACATCTTTACATAGGGTACCATACAAATACAGAGGTATTTTCCTCCAACTGCCATTTCCATTTTCTTGCAGCTGTTTGACCCATTTAAATGCTAGAGCGTATTGCATATCAAATGTTTTTATCATTTTTAATCCTCCATTTTTAAAGTCTTGTACAATTATTTCCCGTTTAACTCTTTCTGGAACATATTTTCAATAATCTTCTTCGTTGAATTTCCCTTTCGTCCCATATAAATTTAAATATCACTCTCTTAATTCTTCTAAGAAGATGTTCAGGCAATATAAAACTTTGCAGTAAATATGAAAATTGTGAGGAAAGAAAATACTTTGCTAATGTTATCTTGCCTAATAATGTGAGACATCTCTGAGACCAAGATTTCATTATATTAACACATTTTTGTACTTTTTGGCTCAAAATTGTCCTGTACAAGATCTGTAACACTGGTAGTTGTACTAAATGTAATACCCAAAATGTTATTAAACAAATACTGGATGACCATGAGGTGGATATGCCAGAATACCTATCCTCAAAAAAAATACTATTATATTTTTTTCCTCGGATAGGTATTCTGGCATCCACCTCATGGTCATTCAGTATTTATTTTATTATGCACCTCGCTTGGTTAATATCATATTCCTTCGATTAATTTACCACCCTATGCAGACAGAGCCTGTGGGAAATATTGGGTGCGGAGCAAATGAGCGGAGGGTGCGGAGCTAACGGTCATTTTTGAATTTAGATTTGGGATATTTCTGAAACTAAGCCGTTTTGGGACTTCAAATATACCAAGATATGTGTATTTGACACCAAATATCAATACAATTGTAAAAATAGTAGTGAAATTCATTTTATAGCGACGCAGTATGCCTTTAACATTTCCCAGACCTATATATTTTGAGACTATCCTTTTAATACTGCGTCCCCAGCATTCATAAAAAATGGTGTTCAAGATACACTACCTATGCAAATTATTTTTGCATCTTGGAAGCCAGGCAGTATCTGTGTGATTTTATAAAAATTCGGAAATGTTCTTCAGATATGAGCCCCCTCTAAATATTGGGTGCGGGGGTACGTTTATGTAGATAAATAAAAGATGCTGCCACGTATGGCAATAGACCTTGCAGCTCTTAACCAATCAGATTTGAGTATTTTAATGAGGTGCTTAATAATATTTATTACATACCGGTATGTATTTATTTAGATATATTGTTAGCAGCTTATTTCAATCAACTCCACTATTAAATAATTGCTTATTCATTAATGAATCATCATCTTTACATTTTCAGCATTTAGTTATTATTTCATATTGTAGAGCAAATATTTATCTGGGCCTAAAGGGAGCCTTCCACCATTACTTGGTCTGATGATCAAATCTACCAATGAATCTGTATTAGGTTTAAGTTTTTAATACTTTAAGCATTGTTATTATTTCAACTTGCAGAACAAAGATTACTCTGGACCCGAAGGAAGCCTTCCACCATTGCTTGTTAAAGTACATGGTGGACCAACTGCAGCTACTTCCTCAGAACTTAACTTAGAATATGCTTACTTCACTAGCCGTGGTTTTGCCATCTTGGATGTAAATTACAGGGGTAGTACGGGCTATGGGAAACAGTATCGCAATGCCCAAAAATTAAAGTATGTTTAGTATTGTATCCCAATCAATGTCTTTGAGTGAAATGTCATGGTGCTTGGTGCTTTTAATTGGTCTCATATTTTGCTTCTACCTGTAGCATGGGGGCTCTGAAAATATGTATGTGAGCTCCATTGAAAATTTAAGCCAGGAAGATTTTGAATCTTCGCATATGACCCACCATTTCCTCAAAAGAGATGACATTTGAGAATATTGGGGATAAAATTTCCATATTCTGGTCAAAATTGGCATAGGTGTGGTCAACATTTTTAGAATGGCAAAAATTAAAGACCTCTTGAAAAATAAAGAGCCCTTATTCTTGGACAATAACAGGTTGGAATGGGAATTCTCTCAAATACTAAAGTAACTTGATCCAGTATTTCAGAAAATATCAAATTAGATGATATATTTTGAATTATACTTACTTATACATGACCCCCATAATGACTCTCCTGCAGATACCTTATCTCTTTTAACATTCTCTCTCTAATGTTAACATGAGTACAGCCGAGGCAGTGATCTCCCCAGCATTAAAGCAAGTGGGCCCAGAAACCCCTGAGATTTTGAAAACATGCCTGAAAATCCATTAGCACCCACTTGAAAATGAGAAAATCATGAAAAATTGGCATGTTTTGCCAATTTTGGTGGTCTGCATTGTGACAATGAGAATTTTGCACCCACTTGAGAAAAAATCCTGTGGAGACTACTGCAAGAAGAAAAAAATAATTGTCCGATATTAGAAAGGGATAGTATTGCAAATTAGACTATGTATTGTACTTTATAGTCAAACATTATATGTTGTAACCAACACTTTGTAATATACTCACCAATGCTTTGTAATGTACATTTTCCCCAATTGTGTTGATGTTCTTTCTAGCTTTAGAAATAGCTGGGCAGATATCAATTTGATGTTTTGTGAAAGTAATTTACTATTTGAAAAGGATAACAAAAATATACTAAATCTACCATCCATAAACATTAAGAATGAAGAAGGAAATGGTTCATCTATCCTTAGATTACTTTCTCAATGAAAATTGACATTTTGTCCTGGAGTTTTTCTAGTGTGTACCAGAATTGCATATTATATAGTAATGTCATATTAGTAAGATTATGCTTGATATCATTAGAATAAAGACTTCACTGGGCCAGAGGATTCCTTACCCCCCTTGCTAGTTAGAGTACATGGTGGTCCAACATCGCGGTGCTCAAGCAATTTGTCCCTAACCTACCAATACTTTACCACTCGCGGCTTTGCAGTTCTAGATGTAAACTATAGAGGGAGCACAGGGTATGGGAAGCAATATCGAAATGCTTTGAGGATGAAGTAAGTGAAGAAGATTGATCAAATTCCAATGCTTTTATTGCCTTAAAGTGACAATTTTTGGAAGACTTTCCAAATCCAATCATTTTAGTTACAATGTCAAATATTATTTTGAACATTACCAGTTTATGATCTCTTATTCTATTCAATATACAGGGTGTCAAAAAACAACGGCACCCCCCTCTACAGCAAAAAGTCCTTAATGTTCCATATCGTGTCATACCTCATTTGAAAGATAATTTAATTCTGGAGTTACTCATCAAATTTCATTTGATAAAACTAAATATTAAAAATGCCACATCGTTTCAAAGTTTGCTTCTTCGGCACTTTGTTTGCTGTTCTGTTACTGGTTAAAAGTCAAATCTTCAGAAAGTGAAATATGAAAGAATTACCCCAGAATTCAACTGCACTGAACATATGGGTTCATTTCTGAAAAACAGGGTATAGGAACTGATGGACAAAGAGCCTCTTGAAAAAAGATACAGTAAGGGTGTAATTCGGAAGAATGTGAGGAAAGTGCTAAGAGGATTATGCAATGCTACACCTTTATGTGAATTTTTATTGAAATCCTATCCATCAAGATATGCTGCTGTTTGAGCAGCAACTAGTGGTCATACAAACTACTAAGAATCAGCTGTAAATCTGTTAAATTATATGATATAAAGCTGAAATTTCTCAGGTAACTCCAGAATTAAATTGTCTTTAAAATGAGATATGACACGCCATGTAACATTAAGTACTTTTTGCTGTAGAGGGGGGTGCCGTTGTTTTTTGACACCCTGTAGAGAGGGAGAAATAAAAGTGCTGAATAATCTGCTTGGATGTTGTAACAGTTATGTCTTGTAATGCTTAGACTAACCAACTCATATCAAAGTACTGTACTGTGCTTAATCATAAAGCAATATAAAGTGAAACCTGTAAAGTGGAACACCTCTAGAAGTGGGACACCTCTGTAACCTCTGTAAGTGGAACACTTTTCAGAGTCCCAAGACCAACTAACTTAATTTTAAATGAACGTCTATAAATGGAACACCTCCCAAGTGGAACACTTTTTAGAGGAACCAAAGGTGTTACACTTAGACAGGTTTCACTGTACATGTAAATGTACATTATTTGCATGCCCCATCTGTCTGTATTACTTTCAAAAGCAAATACCTTCATAAATGTAAAAAGATTTAACAGTATTAAAGAAAATCATGGATAATAAGTATCCATTTACCAATTGTAGTTTGAAATCCCAACAATAATATAAATGACAAATACAGAAATTTATAGATCAATTTTATTTGAAATGAACAAATGCATAATACTGGTGTTATTTTCAGTTGGGGAATAACAGATGTTGAAGACTGTTGTAGTGGGGCTCAGTTTTTGGCCGACCAAAAGAAAGTAGATCCGGCAAGGCTGTGTATAGATGGAGGTAGTGCAGGTGGTTACACTACACTGGCTTGTCTCGCGTTCCAGGATGTATTCAAAGCAGGTATGTTGTAGCCCATTTTGGGAGGGTGGAGGCTCAGCAGCCTGGGGGTGGTTGCAATGAAGTGTTTGCAGCCTGAACATGGTGGGGAACTAGGGGTAAGGAGTTTTGAAGTCATGAATGAATAGAAATATCTTGAAAGAATGAGTTTATTATAGTAGAATATTTAAATAGTCGTAGAGTCACGATATTGACACAAGGGCCACAATTGTGTTGTGAACATTGTCATTAATAGTGACTTGCTAAAGTCTGTTTTAGGCCACAATAGCTAATAATAATATTATAACTAATTTTTGAATGTAAAATTTTAGCTAGATTTTATGTTTTAATTAAATCATTAATAAACTGTTTGAAAGTGAAATGCAAATTCCTGAAAACTTGTTAGAATATCTTTTATTCAAGTTTTAGAATTACATCATGCTTGTTTCTGAGTTTAATCACATATGTCAATTTTACAAACCATTTTCACCATGCTTTGTTCAATATGTTATCATACAAATATAGGCACTATTACATCATATGATTATATAATTTGTATTGTTATTGCTAGGTGCAAGTCACTATGGTGTAGCAGACTGTGAAGCCTTGGCAGCTGATACCCACAAGTTTGAGAGTCGTTACCTTGACAACCTCATTGGCCCTTACCCTCAGGCCAAAGCAACATACCAGGAACGCTCCCCCATTCATCATATCAAAAACTTCAACTGCCCTTTAGCTTTATTCCAAGGAGATGAAGATAAGGTTGGTCTCTAATGTGTAATGCATTTTCCTAATTTTTACAATTATCAAGGTTGAAAATATTGAATATATTTGACATGAAACTATAAACTGCTAGCTTTGTTCAGAAAACAGTTTCTGAATCACCAAAATTTCCTTTTCAAACATTCGTTCCAGGAACAGCAATTCATAATGGGCCGAGAATCAATAAGAATTTAACTGTCAGAAGAGAAATTGGAAGAAAATCAATTGAAACAAGTGGCCCATTACTTTACAATAATATAAGATCTCCGGCCTAAAAATACTGAATATTGGGTACAAGTTTTCTTTTTCTAGATTGTTCCTCCAAACCAAGCTGAGATGATGTACAATGCTATCAAAGAAAAGGGACTCCCAACTGTCTATGTCTTGTTCCAAGGTAAGGCACAAGGCAAGATATCAGACAATCAAAAACATGAATGAACATCTTTTATAAACATAAACATGCCTAATATAGTCTTATTGTTTGGCTTCAGAACGCCATTCATAAATGATCTTTCATATTTCACAATTATACATTACATGTGATATGCCAGGCTATGATATATTTTCCAGGCTAATTGTTAATGAAATGATTGTATGATGAATACCAAATGATTTATTGTATTTACCCTTTGCATTTGTTCATCTTCGCTTCTTAAAATAGAGCTTTGGTAGTTTATAACTACACTCTGTATGTTGCAGGGTATATTTTCTTAGTCGGCTCCTAAAGATTGTTTCCTTGAAGACTTTATATTGCCTAACATGTTAGAAGCCAGCTAGTTCTTCACTTGACCTCACAATCTGACTTATTTGACAAATCAATACTAACTTATGAATACAAATATTTTCCAGGTGAACAGCATGGATTCCGTAAGGCAGAGAATGTGCAGAAAGCACTTGATGGAGAATTTAACTTTTACTCTCAAGTATTTGGTTTCCAAGCTGCAGATACACACTACCAGGTAGGATATCTACATTCTGCCCAGGATGGGGGCAAAATTACAATTGTTGTGTAAATAGTTAGCATTCTCCAATACATAGATTTTGAAATTGCCACTTTTATACACCATTTACACTTACACAATATTTACAGCCTTCATTCTGTTATAGTGAATAAGATACCCTTTTGAGAAAAATTCTCTGGAGAATGCAGATAAATTTTTAAAAATTCATAACTTGTTATCTTTAAAATTACCTTGACATATTATGCATATAGAGGGAGGGGAGGTTTTTGAGGCCTACACCCAATGGCATTATACTGTACTTGTATAACAATTTAAAATGCAAGACTTGATTCTCAAGTAAAATGTTATCGAGTTATGATAGTTTATGATTAGTCACTAGTCATTGTAAATAGAGCCCTTTCAGTACTGTACATATTGTTAAACCTACTCATTACTTGTACTTTCTATTTTCAGCTTGATGTGGTCAATTTAAAGAAGTGAGTTGAGGGATGAGGAGTTTTACATACTACAATAAACCAATCCAGTAAATGATGCCATCTATTGGTTGTCATACCATTTTTATAGTTTCAGAGCAGAAATAGGATTAACATATTGCCAAATATTAAAAATTTCCTATTTTAATTTTGTTACAAATTGAGCCAATATACCACTTCGTTCATTCAACAAAAGAAGACAGGATTTATTGGAAAGGTCTAATATAGAGATACTCCAGAGACACAAAGGAGAAAGGTTAAAATAAAAGACATTTGTGTGCAACTAAGCTTTGCTTAAACCAGGGATTCCTAGTTTTTTTTTCTTTGCATATATGATCTCCATCTATACGGATTCCAACAAATAATAATAATTACCTTGGACTGTATTTTCATAATTGTTAGCATTAGACACGAGAAATGGACTCGTATTGTGTTCAAACATTGGAAGTTGTCGAAAATGTTTGCTTCTGTGACTCTATTTTCCAAAATAGGGTTGATTTTTGTGAGTATAAGTAAATAATCTTTCGATACTTGTTTGGGGGTACATGTATTTCACATATGTCTTGAAGTTTGAAGATACTATATCCGTTTGCTAAGTTAAAAGTTATAGCTTGTTAGAAAATTGTATTTTTGTGAACACAATTATTTGATGTGAAAAGCTATTTTGTGAAAAATGTATTTTATTATCCAGTATTTTTGTAATGATTTTGTTTTCAAAATCAAAGTAGCTGAATAAAAAATCTACGATTTGCAGAAATAAAAAGGATTTTGTGTGAGATATAAGTGGGATTCTCTTAATACTGATGTATTGGGATTTCATTAGACAAATTCATCCATATGGACCAATATATCAAAACATCTTGGACTTGATTCCTTAAAAGAGCAGAATGGAATCCGAGTGGGATGGGATGGACCATCAGATTACGGATTAACTCTATCACTAAATGCATTTATATGTAATAACAAATGTCAGGTATACTTTGTTTGGCGCTTTATTCAAAACATAAAGAAACAGAATATACATGATGTCGTTCAATGGAAATTTTCCTTAATTAAAGAGGCACTATGCATATTAAAGATTTGTCTTTGAGGTACAACTGAGTACTTATCAATCCATTGAAAATACTGGGGTGAAAAATAGTAAGCTTTATTTTGATAAAGAATACTGAAAAGTATGCATAGAGTCACTTTAATTAATAATACCTCCACAATTCAGCTCTGGTTATTTTCATTTACATGTACAGTAGAACCTGTGTACGTGGAACACCATCGGGACCACAAAACACTGTTCCACTTGTGAGGTGTTCCATGTACAGAGGTGTTCCACTTAAACTGTATAACCAAAATATAGGTGCCATTTATGATTGATTTTACACAAAAGATCGTGCATTTCTACATTTAAAAAATAGAAACCTTTACACTACCTACTATCTGACTATTTCTTATTTCTTAATGGAAAACAAGGTCTAGGAAGATATTTCATTGCCAGTACAAAATGCTATGACATAAACAACAGATGGGAAAATAACCAAATGTTGTTTTAAAAGGAGGTAGTGCACAAGCAGTCATCATCACCATCTTGGTCTAGCTCTAAAATACCTTCAATCCAAAACACATACAGTAGATCAACCATTCTTTTTGTTATTATTTGTTAATGAGTTTAATATATACAGTGAACTCAGATATGCACATATTTGATGTAGTAATGAACTCTCAAATCCTAGTCATGCTGCCATGAAACTGGCATTCTCTCATATCAATAAATCCTTGGGATTTGCAAAATAAATATAAATGTGTGTCATTCTCATCCTAGAATTAACCATGAATTCTATCTAGTTTATGGATAATGTTGCAATACATTTTGTCCTTGTGGTATGACATCATACAAATGTAAGATTAACAATTTTTAAAAACTGCAGTTATTTTTTACAAAACATCAGAAAATGTACACTAAAGGCAAAAAATAATTGTGAAATTAGCAATGATTAGCTTTTTTTTATATTGGCCCCACATGGATCATTTTCAGTCTAATGACTTCATAGCACAAGGACAAAATGAGATTCACAATTTATAGATTCCCAGGAACACATTTTAAGTGCTTCTGGGATGATTTTCCTGTCAGGCAAGACCATGATTTCCAACAAGAAACTAGCTTCTTAAACTAAATATATTACATGTCTCATCACATCTCCTTACAGTGACTGTAGAAAACATGGGCAATGATTGCAATACAAAATGAGAGGCAATATGAATTACAATACAAAATGAGAGGCGATATGAATTACAATACAAAAGGACCAATTTCTCAAAGCAAATTGTTCACGCTTCTCATAACCCCTGGTGGGATGTCACATTTTTCAATTTTGACTTTAAAATAGACTTCCACAAGAATAGTGGACATTCAATAATTAAATCATGGGAACTTTGTACTTTCATGACAACTGTGACATTATGTGTGAAAATGTTTACTCTACAATGAAGACGTAATGTGATGCTATGCTGTATTTACAAGGAACTAAGGGGTCTTTTTACAATGCTGTTTCTATAGAAACCACCTGAATCTACTCTAAGTTCTCATTTTTGGTTGAACAATCTGCTCACTTTAACAAATAGTACAAAAACATTACTTACATTTTAAATACTGATCTCGCTATGCCTACTTAAAATGTACAATAAAGATGTGTCCATAATATACAAACACATTGCTATTTTCTAGGACCAGTACACAAAGTACAAACACTCAACCTGTGTATGCTGAATATTGAAAAATATGTACAGAATTTGAATAATTTCCCACTCATGCCATCAAATTCATTATCACTCGAGTAAATTAATGTACAGTCATATTTTCTCATTCATTCTTCAGAAATAGCATATCTCTCATTCCCCAGTTTATATCTATCTTTATCCTTTCTATGTTTTCCATGATTGTAATGTTCAAACATTGCACTGGTTACATTCTTCATATCACGTGTCTCATTGTTACATTTAGCATTAGACAGCCATGATATAATTCACGTTAGTTTGATGCTTTGGTTTACAAAATTCCATTCAGTTGTAGATATGATATGAGATATAGTACAATAAAATAGAGAGTGAGTTCTCTGTCCTTTTTACCATACAGTACACCAAACATTCCTTTGATGAGGACTGTTGCAATGGATTATTTCAAAACAGTTCATGTTATAACAAACCAAACTACAGATTTTGTAGACTCTATGAAAATAATGTTATTTCTCATCTCCACTGTTTATTGAAGATTTCTGTTATCATGATCATTTTACAAAGTTGTATTAAAAGAATGAGAGATCTGTTCAATAAGCATGCAAATCTTTTAAATGCTTAACATTGTCAGAACAATGATAAGAAAACAAAAAGTAATTGCAAACACATTATGTCAATCATTTTTGGTCAATGTGATTCACAGAACACATCATAACAGAAACTTGAGACATCTTACATCTTGCCCATGTCCACAAGAACTAGGCCTGAACTTTCGTACTTAGTTGTCTGAATATCAGCTAGCTCTGTACAATCATAAATGAAGAGTTGCCTGAATGTCAGCTGGCTCTGTACAGCATGTTTGAGACTAGATATCTCTGAATTGGGATGTAGTGCAGTTTAGCAGTGTAAGCGAGGTCTAGGTGGTGCCACATTGTTGGCATTACCATTTAGTCAATCTTGCATTTCTTGATCTGGTATCTCGTGGGGGTTAATAATACCTAAAAAAAATTTGAATGCAATTTTTACATCGAATGGGAAGGAGGCAATCAATAAGGTCCAATTTTTTTCAATACTGGGTCTTCTTTGAAAACTCCCCACAAAAACTTTAAGTTGATTTCTAAAGACACAATTTGAGGCTTCTGTGTATTAAAAGAACTTCAAGTGAGATAATCATTTTTTAAAAACCTCATAAAGAGCACAGAAAACGACTGCAATGGTGACACATAATATAAAAGGAGCAAATTAATATGTGTATAGATTCAGTACCTGGTACAGCCATCTGTATTTTCCTCTTCTCATCCTGTGCTGTCTTTATAGCTATTTCTCTGTCCTCAAGGAATAAGTCTGTGTTATCCTCCCCTGCAAACTCCTGGAAATACAACAATAATTTATTAGATTTCTACACAATTGGTTGGAAATGTATCGAAACTTAGTAACAGTGCCGAAGGTTGAATAGAGGGGTCCCCAACACAAGCACAGGGTATCAAAGAACAACAAGAAAATGTAGCTTATTTGATGACATAAATGGTTTTCATTATTTGGCGGTGACATCTCAATCCTTATTGGTGGTCCACACATATAGATGCAGCCATACAGTACACAAATATTTCACGTATGATGCAAAGTATAACTAGTATATCTAAGAGACTTACCCTAATCTGCACAAGGAAGTCCCTGAGATGTTCCTTGAAAGCTGGGATGTCCTGGTTAAAACTGAACAGTCCTTTTATGAACACCTCAATCTGCATTCTGAAATTCAGTGAAAGTAGAAAAAATCAGCCACACTTTATACATCCAAAACTGGATTTCTTCATTCCAAAAGAGTTCTATCATGGACAAACAGTAAACACATGCATTGGATATACAGGGTGTTCCAAAAGTAACAGGACTGGTGCTGGCATTTTGTTGAATATGCACCAATCGTCTTCAAAATTTTACATAATGTACTTTCATGTATCGTTACTAAGACTGCAAAGTTTCTACAAAATATGTGAAACCTGGGTAGAGTTATGGTTGCTATAGTAACATGACATCACAATACCCGGGGCAACATTCCACGCAAAGTTACAGAGACATTAAGCATTTTGTTCATTCCATATCCCTTGTACCATCAAAGTTGAAATGCAACAACTGGTGGGAATTACATTTGTTTTACATCATTTGATATTCCTATGTATCCTCTACTTTGAAACAGAGGCTCCTCTTTGGTCAGTACAAGAGTAGTACTTTTGTATCCATGACCCAAACACATGAGTGAACCCATTTGAGGGCATGTCACGCAGGGTCGATTGGACAATTTGCAGAACGTCATTCTCATCTTTAAAGGTCTTACAGCACTGATTAGCATTCCGTTCTCAATATAAGTAAAAATTAGATATTGCATGATCAGAGGAGTATGGTTTTAGACCTCAAGACCTAGTTCCTCTATAGCTGCATGGTCTTTAATGCCAACCTGCGGGCAGGTGCGCTATCAAGGTAGATGAATGGCTTCAAATTGGGTCTTTTCAAAAACTCAATCGTGAATTGTTCAGACTGTTATACACTGTGATATATTCCCGGAAATTGAATAAATGTTACTATCATTATGAAATTATACTTGAATCTGAGTTGTATAGCAACACCTTTACAACAAAGCAACTAATAAAATAAACAAGAAATGTTGTATTATAATAGGTGAATTAGATACGTTCTTCAGTAGTACAAAAATGTTAGATATCACATTTTCAGGAAAAAAAGTTGCCCCGGGTATTGGAATGTCATGTTACTATAGTAACCATAACTCTAACCGAATTTCATCATTTTTTCTGAAACTTTAGAATTTAAGTTGCAATACTTCAAAGTAAAAGTTGTGAAAATTTGAAGACCCTTGGTGCAAAAATGACAAAATGCCAGCACCAGTCCTGTTACTTTTGGAACACCCTGTATTTCATTGGGTAAAGTGCTTCTATTAAAGTAGTGGATTTCTCATTTCTAAAATCGATGTATCAGGTTATTGATGTATAATGGCAGCAAGTAACTGATAGTTTCTTGATATAATATGAATCATCTTCAGAAAAAAGTTAAATTAAATGAAAATGCTTACTCATTTAGATGTGGGAAAGCAGCCTTGAGGAGGTTGGCCAGGAACTGTTGCACATATTGTAAGTTCTGCGCTGCAGGCATGTCTGGAGGACTGAGCTGTATTGTGATCTTATTGGATTCTAGCAAACTGAACATATACCCTAAGATAGTTGCATGCATGGTCAAACCTGAAAGCAATCATTATGCATATTTATATATCATGGCTCATATGGTTTTGATTTTAATTATTGCCCTTTGAGTTTCTTAACAAATAACTTATACAGAGAAGCCTAAAATAATCATTAACCTCTGGACTACCTGGACTGACGAGATTTCTCGTCACCTCAAAAATGACCTTGAAACTGAGTGATGAAAATTTTTTCACTAAAATTCCTCTTGTTTGAACAATTTTCATCCAATTTACACAAAAATTGTTTTAAAATGTGCAGAAATGATCTCTGCCATCTAATTTTACTAAGTTAAACATCTAAAGAAAAATTCTCTGGTTTCAACCGATTTTGAGCCTGGGATTCAAGAGGTTAAAATATTTTCCCTGCACTTTTTTTGCTACTTTTCAAAAATTTTTGGTTCTGCCTAACAAGAGAATCCCTGTATTTGATGTGACATACCTGCTGTGTGAGAACTATCAGTAACAACTGAGAAAACATGCTGCAAGATATCAGTATAGTAGGTCTGGTAGAAACTTTGAGCACTACTCTCTTCCTGGCCAACATTTTGTAGTAAGGCATATAGAATGTTTAATCCTGTGTCTGCTACATTTCTCATGGTGTGCTTAAACGCCCAGATAATAGAGTCCAATACTAGCTTGAACTGTTCTGCTTTGATTTCCAAGAAAGCTACAACCAAACATGTACTAATTAGCTTTAAATATTCATAATCAATCCAATGGCCAAAATGAATAAAATGAAGATCCACTTTGTTTGTAAAACAACTGATAGGAGTTTATAAGATAATATCGAACATCTTTTGAATAAAAAATCTAAAGTATCTGTACATTCACAAACTGAGTTATTTAAACATATGGAAACAGGAATATAGAATTATGACAACAGAAACAACTGCTTAAATGTTACCTGGAAAACAGTGAAGGTTGATAGCCTGTAACAATAGGAAGAAGTTGGTCCTCTGTTCTGGGTACTCCTCAAAGTCTTTGTTTATCATTTCTAATGTACACTCAAACACTGCATCAAATATCTGTGGAATACCCTTTGTTATGTGACCCTGAAATAATCAAACACTATCATTGCGGGGTACTACGTTGCCATGAAAGTCAAATTCAACAGTCAATGTCATAAACAGAATGGTGGGAGCACTATACTGCTCAGTGCTCAGCATTGAGTTGAAAATTTGTTTTGAGTTTGTATAAAAGGGCGTTCAAAGTTCCTATTTTTATAACACAACCACATTTGAATTTTAGTAATATAATATAAAGAACTTTTAAAAATAACTTAGGCAATTAGCTTGTGTTAAAGAAGTTCAAATGTGTCATTTTCTCACCTCAAGTTTGTTGACAATAGTTGCCATGGTGCTCAAGACCTCTGGTTCCCTAGCAGCTGGGATGTTTCTCTTGTAGTCCATTAACACTGGGTCTAATAGTGGCGGTAGGAAATTCTCTGCAACCTGGAAAGTTTGGACAAAATTAAGATGCAAGGCAACTCAACATATGTGGGGAGTAGAAAGTACAAATGAGTCTATTTCTCTTGTAGTCAATTAACACTGGATCTAACAGTAGTGGTAGGAAATTCTCTGCAACTTGGAAAATTTGGACATAATTAAGATGCAAGGCGACTCTACATATGTGGGGAGTAGCAAGTACAAATGAGTCTATTTCTCTTGTAGTCAATTAACACTTGACATCATGTGAAAGATTGGACATAATTAATACACAAATGCAAGGCAACTCTACCTTGGTAGAGGTATATTTTGAAGTATTTTTGTTTTTGTAATTAACAATCAATAATAAAGGGCATGTCAAAATAGATTTATTATGGTTCCAAATTCAACATAATTTTGCACATAAGAGTAATCAATCAGGATTATCTCAAGTTAGATCATTTCCTAATCGTTCATAAATAATTCTGTAACTTATCTAACTAAAATATCCAATTTACCATTTGTGGATCTGTCGACCTGCTAACCCATCCAGAGATCAACTTCAGGGTTTCCTTTTTCACAGTTCGCATACTTTTTATGAGAGGTTGTTTGACAACTTGTTCCCCATTACGTGTTATAGCACTGCTTACATTTTCGGACATCACCCTGTACACGTTCAACATGTCGAGGTAGATACGCCCAAGCTGGAATCATGAAGAATGGTGTAACATTAGAACCACATTGAATAACATTCTAATGATATATATCATCATAATCAAAGTTGGAATATTTGTTGATTCAATTAACAGAGGCTGTCATCAAATAAGATACAAGTCAACATGCAAAATGTGACCACCTGCCATTGTTACAGACACCGAACCCCAACTGCTGCCACAAAAAAGTTGGAGACTATTACAATATGTCAACACTTGTGGTGGTGACATAGATAATAGGGTACAAAGTTTTCAATTTAAAGGTCATTGACATAGTTTCAATTAGGGACATAAATCCCACTAACCTGTACTACATAAGGATGACCTAGAGCTTTACAAGCCCTGACATTAGTCTTGAGAATATTAGCAAGCTGTTTCACAGAATCTGGATCTTTAAGGACATCAACTGTCTGTGTGGCTTGGTTGATTATTCGGTCCCAGACCTGGTTTGGTAGGGACATGTATTTTTCTATGAGGTGTTCTTGAGGTGCTTGGTCTGTTTGTGCACTAATGATGAGACCAACTGCCTCATAGAACGTGTGCACCTAAAACAATAGAAGATTTCACATGTTATAAAAACATGCAACTTATTTTTGTAAGTTATGTAAAACTGTTCATCTGTATATACCAGTAGTCAGTAAAATTGTCCATATGATGAAATAAAAATTTATTTATTTAGAATTAATTATAAGTTCAATTTGATGGATATTTCAAGATTATTAATAAATAAATGACATAGAATACAATATGCCAGTAGAAATTTTCCATAAGATGAAATAAATAAATTATACGAGGGGTGATCACTAAGAAAGAATAAAAAATGGCAAAAATAGAGCCAACGGTCCAGAAATTCCTGATCACCCCTCGTATAAAGAATCATTTTTATACAACACTTTACAATTGCTGGACATATTTACCTGTTGGGGCTGGAGGTCACAGATGATTGCATTGATGCCATTCAGGATTTCCTCTATAAACGGCATAACTTCACCAACCTGAACCTGGACAAAATGCCGTCGACATTTTTGTGCTATTTTTATAAATGTGTCGCAAGCCATGTCTTGTACACCATCGTGAGTTTCTGAAAATATCAAACGGATCAAAATTAGTAAAACAGTTAATTTCACATGTTCACATTTTCATGTATAAAGGATTCAGTCCAAATCACTTCTAATAATGGTAAGGGGTACATGACAAGGAGAGTGATAATATTTATAGGACCATAGTCTTATTACAATTGCGATTCATTCAAAAGATCTCATTCAATGTTATTTTATTTCCTTCATTTCCTGTTTTCTCTTAAGTAACTGTTGGCTATTCATCAAATAAACTTTCTGGAAAAATAGTACTGATGAAACCTACCATGCATGAATTCAAATAGTTTATTGACGACTGTTTTGAGGAATCTCCAATGTGCCCTCATGAATCGTGGGTACTGTCCAACAACATACATAATATTTGAGGCAACGATGGCCTTATTATCCTTGCCACGTTTCTGCTCACAAAGTCCAAGAAGATCTTTGATTACTGTCACTAAGAATCGCTTCTCATCTTCCTCGTGCATAGCACCACTTATAGATCCTATAGCCCAACATAACTGGAAAAAGGGGCAAATTGAAAGTCCAAACCACTGGGTTGTATTGTAGTTAAACGCAATGTTATCAAAATGTGATATGTGAAAGTTTAAACGGAAGCATGAAAGGCATGAAAGTTCTGTGGCATCCCAAATATGGGACTAAAAAGTGTTCATGTTCTAGGACAAGTCATCACACATACAGGTTTTTAGCGCAGCTTGTGATATGGAGAACTTACTGTGTTTAGATTCTTCCAAGACCATTCTGTACCATTCACTTGATTATGTAGTTTTTCTGTCATTATGGTCTCTGTGTCTACATAGTCCAAATGCGTCAGGTAAACTACAAAAATTGGAGAGAAAAATTGGTATATAAAAGTTTAATATTGAAAGTTTATTGGACTATATTCAAATATATCCAAAATTGAAAATAACAGTCAAATGTTACATTGCATTGCTCTAATATAGTGTCCAAGTTCTGAATTTCTTATTTGAATATGAACATTGTTTCCTAATCTTTTCAGAATTTTTTTTGCTTTTCATATCTTATATTATTTTCCAAGCCAAGGATTGATATCAATTTTGCAGAGGATTCAATTTCAATGCTGCCATACCTAAGGTTTCCCTCATATTTTTATACATGTTGATGCTGTCAGTGTCTTTCATAAACTCTCTCACTACCTCTCCCTGGTCGTTCTCTACAACTAACACTTCTTCAGGCTTTGCCATACGTGAGATCATAATACGACGGATCTAAAATACGGAATAACACGTGAGCTAATGAAGATAAAGTGAGACAATACTGAATTGTGGTTTGAGAGCATTGGATCAACCAGAATTGATACTTAAATGATTTAATTCATTCATTTTTCAGATTTATTGCCAATGGTCCAATATAACAATGTAGACAAGCCCCAAAATCCTGAACCAAGAGTTACAAATATGATCATCTTTCACTGCTGCCTGACCCAAAATGTCTTATCTTAATAACATTTTCATTTTTAAACAGAAAAATAAAACTCCCTCACAAACACGTCCCTGGATGACTAACCTTTGATAGTACAGGGTTATAGAGTTTCCGCCTGACTGGCATCTCCGAGGCTGTCTTGCCAATAAGGAGTGGGGATGACATAGTAGTAGAGAAGGGACTCTCTCGATATAAATCTGCTGCCAATGTATTCCAATACTCCAAACAGATCTTGAATATTTCAGTTTCCTCAACTTCAGAGATTAGAATTAAATAATGAAGGGACTGAAATGAAAATTCAAATTCATAAAATTTAATTCAGAAGCGTGGCAAAATCGAAAATATGATTGTGATATTATTTATAGATGTATGCTAATGTTAAACCAGCGGGTCTAGGTGAAAAAAGAATCAAAGCATTTTAAACAATAAATGTCACCAAATAATGCTTGCAAAAGTCACAAAAAATGGTGACTGAAATAATAGGTCACCACCTTTTGGTAACATCACAAAAAACATTTTCCATACAGTCATGAGGAATTCTGTTTCTATGTAAGAAATAATTACGATTTCAATTAATAATAATAAAAAACTCAAGAGAGAAAACATACCTCTAAAAGCTGCTCATGGAGTTCTACATTGTTCTCTATAAGCTGGCCATGCTCCTTCAGGAATGTACACAAGAACAGACTGAGGTTCTGTATGAACTTCTGCTCCTCATCCTGTCCAGAGCTATACTTCACCTGCACATTTGTATTGAGAGGGAGCATCTGTTTTAACTGGGTCAAGGTCAGAGTGAACAGTTGCACAAAGGCATCCTCATATTGTGACACTTGAACGCCACCTAAAACAAACATACACACATTTGTTATGCCAGAGGTTTGCTTGAACTGGAAATATAACAATCCGAGGTTATTTGATTATTTGTATATCAATATATAGCAAATTAGGTACACATGCATGATGTTTGAGGTTAAGACAGAACTGTGGTCTCATATAATACATTAAATAGAGTCCAGATAGCTATTAGGGAAACAACAGTTACAACACAGGTATAATTTCCAGGGCTTGTTGCAAAAAATCCACCAGGATAAGTATTTTGTTATGATAAGTATGTAACTTTTTTCTATATACTATATTTATCTCATTTTGTGTAAGACACTTGAACCTTGAACACTTCAACATCATCTATGCTACAAAACTACAATAGTTCCCATGTAAAAATCAGTTAAAATTGGAAGACAACTAATCCTAAAAGATTCTCACATCTTCAATCACCCAAATCCATTAATACAGTTAATCTTGAAATACACCCATCCAATCTTCAAACATAATTCTTTTTTTTCAGAAGGAACACATTGTAACTTATTTTCAATGAATGCTATTGATATATACACAGATATACACTCTTATGGGTATCCAGAGCCAACCCTGTTTATTAATATTTGACAATTATACTACAAAAAACATGTAAAAAAATAAAATAATAATTTTTTTGTGAGTTGTCATGCTATTTCTACAAAACAGTTCTCATAGTTTACTGAGAGAACATCAGGGAAAGGAACTGTAACAAGCATTACAATCACTCTCAGATATTTGAGTAATGAGCCTAAGATAGTTACTAAAAATATTTTAGATGTTAATAGTACTACTCGTATATGGCCTATCAATATAAGGTTATATGTTTATTTTATTATTGATAAGATATAATAAACAAACTGAGACAAGAGGGAAATTTTCATGACTGTGGACACCTGGCTTTTTGAAGGAGGTACAATGTTCCCATGGTGCAGTGTCTATTAAAGCAATTAGCTATAACATATTTAAGTTATCATTAATGAGACCATATTTGGAAACATCAAGGACCAAACTAGATAATAAACTGGGTTGGTGGGAAATTCTAGTTTAAACCATGTTTCTGGTTCTAACCAGTGGATTCCAACCCAGCAGGATGGAAGATATCCTACAAGTAGGTTTAATCACTGGACCCAACAATAAGGGGTCATTTCAAATAATTTCAGATAAATGTGTTGGCTTACGGACAACTCATCCCCTAGACAACTCATCCCTGGACAACTCATCCCCTAGACAACTCATCCCCTGGACATCTCATCCCCTGGACAACTCATCCCCTGGACATCTCATCCCCTAGACAATTCATCCCCTGGACAACTCATCCCCAAGACAACTCATCCCCTAGACAACTCATCCTTTATCACATGAAGCCAAACGTTTTTTTGGAAAATAAATATTTATTAAATACACGTTGAATCATTCTAAATATTATTTTTCACTTTATTGACACAAATAAAATGGTCAAACAGTGCCATTAAAACTTTCATATTTTGTCCTTATATTACATGACTTAATATTTCATGACAAAAAATAAAGTTTTCTCTCTGCATAATTTTGAAACATGAACATCAGAAACTTCATCTGTGACTGCTGTGAATAAATAATCTTTGCATTAAAGAATATTTGAACTATGAACAACACAGTCACATATAATGACACCAAAGGAGCCTTTGACATCAAAGGAGCTTCTTCAATCAATGTTAACATAATATTGAAATTGTATATTAAAAGTTAAATTAAAGGTAAATATTTACAAAACAAATTACAGATTAATTGGTTGATAATCTCCTTGACAATACCATAGTAGTACCATGATATATCATAGTTTTTTAAACAATTTTCCAGATTTCCCTCAAGAAAATCTTTGTTCACTTGTCAGTCAGAAGACAACAGAATCATGCTTTAATACCTTACTATTGTTATGTAAATGGAAAGAGTGAGAAGTGCAGATCTTAACCATTTTTGAAGTTCTGTTTAGATAACAAAAGTGAGGTATTAAATAGAGGATCGTGTTAATCATTTGAATAATATATAAATTAATAATATTAGATTAAATTACTCAAACATGCCAAAGGATGGGTCGTCCAGGGGATGAGTTGTCCAGGGGATGAGTTGTCTAGGGGATGAGTTGTCTAGGGGATGAGTTGTCCAGGGGATGAGTTGTCTAGGGGATGAGTAGTCTAGGGGATGAGTTGTCCAGGGGATGAGTTGTCTAGGGGATGAGTTGTCCAGGGATGAGTTGTCTAGGGGATGAGTTGTCCGGTTACCAATGTGTTAAGCCAATGGTAAAACCCAAAAGCTAAATGTCATTTGAATATTAAAAGATCAAGGAATGCAGGCCATTTTTGTCAAAAAATATGAACTATTTGCTTTTCAAGTTATGTGGAGGTCTTGATAACATTTGACAAGTGAGTGGTTGCAAAAGCTCACCATGTGAGCTAATAATAATAGCAACACCCCAGTGAGTGCTGTATTGGCATATAAAAGGTATCCATAAGATAAAACGTCGTCATTCTTCCAATTTTGAGTGATATCAATTCATTTTCAAATTGCAAGATCACTTAAAAATAATGGGAACTTACCTATTTCAGTTAGGCACTTTAGTGTAACATTTCTGAACATAGGGACATTGAGGAACTGAAAGAAGAAAAAGACATTCAATGTAAGACTTTAAAATTATGTGAGACTGGGAAGAAATTGAAATGTAATCACTGTTTGTCTTATATGCATAATAATTTGTAATTAAAGATATAATCCTTGTATATTAAATAACAGACACATTTGTGCTCAGCTCCAAGTAACGAAACTCGGGAAGAGGCTACCCCAAAGGCACAATTAAGAAGCAACCTCTAGCTCAGATAGCAAAGAAATTACCTTGTATATGAGAGTTGTGATGAGTTTGGTCTCAAATATGTAGCCTAGAGGTATCCAGTTGAGGAAGCGTAGTAAGGTTTCCAGTGTAGATCCCACCAGAGGTGCATTCTGTGAGTTATCCTGCAATCAATTAGAATCATTGTTATTTTATGTAATGATTATATATTCACATATACAAGTAGTGGGGTGAAGGGCTGTGTTCAGTTAATTATCATGGCAGTTTAGAGATCTGTGAGGCTGAAAGGGGGGAGGGTGTAGGGTGTAGGGGTGCTGTAACCATGACATAAATGCAAAGATCTTTGAGGAATGAGGGTGGGGTAGGGGTGTTGTTACCATGACATAATGACACATTTGAAAGATCTTTAATGAATGAGGGTGGGCTAACGGGGTTGTTACTATGAGGGTGTGGTAGAGGGGAGGGTAGGGATGTTGCTACTCACCATGACATACTGGCTGTTGAAAAATCGCTGAGGAATGAGGGTGGGGTAAAAGGGGAGGATAGGGGTGTTGTTACTCATGTTGTTACTCATGGCCATGACATAATGGCACATTTGAAAGATCTATGAGGAATGAGGGTGTGGTAAAAGGGGAGGATAGGGGTGTTATTACTCACCATGACATACTGGCACAGTTGAAAAATCTTTAAGGAATGAGGGTATGGTAAAAGGGGAGGATAGGGGTGTTGTTACTCACCATGACATACTGGCACAGTTGAAAGATCTGTGAGAATAAGTGTGGGGTTAAGGGGGAGGGTAGGGTTGTTGTTACTCACCATGGAATACTGGCACAGTTGGAAATCTTTGAGGAATGAAGGTATGGTAAAAGGGGAGGATAGGGGTGTTGTTACTCACCATGACATACTGGCACAGTTGAAAGATCTGTGAGAATAAGGGTGGGGTTAAGGGGGAGGGTAGGGTTGTTGTTACTCACCATGGCATACTGGCACAGTTGGAAATCTTTGAGGAATGAGGGTATGGTAAAAGGGGAGGATAGGGGTGTTGTTACTCACCATGACATACTGGCACAGTTGAAAGATCTGTGAGAATAAGGGTGGGGTTAAGGGGGAGGGTAGGGTTGTTGTTACTCACCATGACATACTGGCACAGTTGAAAGATCTGTGAGAACTGGCTACACATACTGTCTTTGAGATGCTTGGCCTTTGCTTGGGTCATATTACCACTGGAGAAGTCAAACACCTCTTCACTAAAAATTGAGTAAAAACATATTCAATTGTTTTTTGTATTTTTTTTTTAAATAAATCTTTATTTTCACATATTATTTTTTACAGGTTATTAATGTTGTTTACTGTAGAAGGAGAGAGAGAGATTGTGGCGTTTAATGAAAATTAAAGTATGATCTGCTAAATGTTTTATATAAACGACATTACCCATTTGTACACTGTCTTAGTAGTATAGTATTCAAGTTGATATTTAATATCACCAATTATACAGTAGTTTCTTACCTTAGGAGTTTAAGAATAATCATATTATTCTGACAGAGGGATTCATTAGTTTTGCTGGCACCAACTATATCACTGATGAATGAAGGCCAATTCCGCGGCCACTCATACTTTAATATCTACAAAAATACAATTATAAAACAATACAAATATCTACAATATTTAAGAATGGTAAATATAATTGTTTTTTATTTTATACTTCATAAGATAACCAGAAGGAACCAAAATATGAGGGGTTATCATAAAGTTCTCATAATATCTCTCAAATTTCATTATTTTCAATATATTCTAATGAAATTTTCAGTGATAATATGAGAACTTTATGATAATCCCTCGTACATTGATAAATTAACTTTTCCAATATCATATGTTCTAATATGATCTAATATAATATTTACCTGTACTAATATCATATTAAGTTTTCCCAAATAGACCTTTTCTTTCTCCAGCACATCAGCATCTGATGATGTTTTAATGATCAGGCCAACAATGTATTTTTTAATACCTACAACAAACATGATTATCATTAATCTCAGTTGACAACAGAATATTATTGTTGTATATATATTGGAGTTAATTGCAACAGCTGAAAAAACTGAAATACATATCAATATTTAAATCAAGAATTTACAGTTTGTCTATAATTGTACTCGCTGGATTAATAAAATAAATCAATGAAGTCTTTTGAATAAGTTACATTGCCATTAATAAGATGGTTTTCTTTTTTATTTCATTAAGAATGCTTCAAAATAATAATGAAAGGTATATTTCTTTTCAAATGAACAAAATAAGGAATGAAATGATTTACTCCAGAACTATTTTCACACAATTAATTTTGTTTTCAAAGCATGTGACCTATCTCTCAGAATATTTTTGTCAAACCCACTTTCAAGTGTACAGCGATAGGGTAGCTACATGTCAGAATTACATCCAAGGAAACACTCCTTTCGGTCTATTGTTATTATGACATCGAAATCTGGATGGTAATTGGTAACAACAACGAAGAGTTTCTTTGTTAACAATATATCAACGAATGCCCCACCTCAACAGTCAAGATTAGATCCTAAATTCTGCCATGATACATGATGTCATAATAAAAAGAACAATTGATTTACTTGTCTGTAATGGTGTATGTATGACAAGTAAGTTTCATAATCGTAATAAAGACTGGCATTCTATGATTTATGGCAAAGAACCTCAGATTCTATTTTGGTCATTGCCAGACCTCAATCGTTTTCGTTTCACAATTTCGCACTTGGATTAGAATAAAATCTTCAATCGCATATTTTACCATAAATTATACAACGTCTATCTTTATTCCTTTAAATAAGTTAAGTTTACTTTAGAAGATTGATAGATCAAAACAATTTATGGGGAAAACAATGGAACTATCCTAACACCTGGCCATGAATATATATATTTTCAATGACACACAAACAGTTTGTGGCAAACTGTATTTGTAGGGTTGAGAAATACATTTAGTTGAAGATAGGTCAAAACCTTGAGGGAGAATTTAACAGAGAGGAATACAAAATGTGCTCCTGCATGGGGGCCAAGTCAAATGTCAGTGTTTTCTATTACATGAAAATGATTTAAAACCTGTTACCCTGTGACATAGAATGACTTTTTTGGTGATTGCCCATTTAATTTTGACAAAAAATACTTCATTCTAGAAAAGGCATTCATTAAACATTTGATATTTGGCCACACCCACAACAGAGAGCACCAATAGGTATTTCACCATTTGCTCGACTCATACCAAACGTGAAACATATTTCTGGAGTTCCTTCAAGAAAGAGCTACATTCTAATATTACATATATTACATATATTACATACATACATATATATTCTACCAAACCTGTACCTGTAACATGGGGTTAGTATAGGACCAGGGGAGGGCTGGCCACTGACTGGTTCATTCCCCTAGATACAAAACACATGCACATCAACATTTACCAAGTAGATAGATGTACAATATAACATCCCCGTTAACTTGTTAGCATGACTCCTTTTTACTGCACAACCTTACCATTTCATAAAATTGTGAGCGAATTTCGTTCTCTGAAAATTCAGGATTAAAAAGGAGTTATCGTAACAACTTGGGGATGGACACTTCAAAGCACTAGATATCACAGTCTTCTTTAGTGCCAGTGATATAATTTGAGTTACACTTTGCAAAATTAATCAAAGGACTTAAGTGTGACTATTTCAAACAATAGCAAACTTGGTAATTCTTATTGAATTTATTCATTTCTCCGTAAAATGTAACATGCAATTCAGTGTTCACAATTAACGTATTAGATCTGATCAGACCTATAACATCTGGTTATTTTTTGTTATTTTTCAAAAATGGCAAAAACATTTTCTGAGATAACAGTAACATCTTAGTGCAAAGAAGTAAAAATAATATTTCATCTCTCAATCCATCCATTTTTAATACCCAAATTTATATTTAAGCAAAGCTGCAAGCCCATGGAAACAAAAATGGGGTATGAAAAACCGAAAAATTGATAATCAGATAAGGTAGCGAGAACCAACCACAATGAAGAAAAAATGAAAGACTTTAAATTTAATATTGTGATTGATTCAAGTAAAGACATTTATATGATGAAAAAATGATGAGATGTTAAAATATTCTAATGTAAGCATGCCTGCATTTTAAAATGCACCCTTAAGATTCATATGTTAAGTTGCCAACAAAGTAGTTAGATATTCCAAGTGTTTAAATTTGAGAATTTGCTAAACAGCTCCAGAAATATAATAAAAATACCTGATGGCTAAATACTGTGCAGAAGTGATTGAAATGTGAGACTAGAAAAACAGCAACTCCCGGAGCAACAAACATATCCCACTAAACAAAGCATAAGCTTAAAAAAATACATCATTTTAAACATTATATAATTGAAATAATCAGACGCTAGTATGGTCTCCTTTTGGCACAACTGCAAAATGGCAGCCATTTTGAATTCAGCTTCCATTTTGAAAATTCCTTCTCCATCAACTGGAGAGATGGATGCATTCTCTTTATCCCTATTGAACTTTGTTTAGTGGGATAAAATGGCCATCATTCAGAAAAAGTTTTGTGTTATTAAAGGGATGCATTCTATTATGCAACTCCACTCCATGGTTCAGTTCTATTGATATTGAAACCAGTCATTGGAATAATCTGATATTCTTTCATGCATGTAGCCATAGGGTAGGCAAACTAGTTTTTACTTTCTAGAGGCTTGAGGTTGCTAACATTGGGGGCCTAGAGCCCCTGGCTTCAGGCATGACTTCCATAAATGGCAAATTTTGCAATAATTTTATTAATTTTGGCATTCGAGTATTCCATGACTGGTTATGTATTCGTTTTTAAAAGAAACTTCTTGCATAAAACCCTTGTAAAACCTGTTCAAACTGAACAAAAAATAAAATAGTCAAATGTTCCAAAAAATAATCTCAAGGTAATGTACATGTATTTGATTATCCTAAAATTTATAACTAACAAAGCACTGAACCATAGAGTGTCTCAAAACAATTCTAATTGGAGCAGAAAAAATTTCCCAAAATATTTCCAAACCTTCACATTGTTCCCTTGGCAACACTTTCCATCGTGTTTTGATGACTGTTTCCAATATTTGAAGTGCATAATATTTAGTTTGTTGGTTATTTGAGAACTCTAAAATGGTATCAACTCGTGTCCAAGCATCTGGGTGCTCCTTCAAAGTGGTGAGCACCTCCTGAGCCATCCGCTGCTAAAATAAAACAACACTTTGAACTAAATGTATTGTACTGTTATACTATTATTGTATTAAATTGTATATTTATTGCCTCATTTATGTGAGAGAATACATTTAAGTATAAATATAGTTTACATATAAAATATAATATACAAGGATAAGATAAAATTATGTGATAAAAAGTTGTCGTTTTGGAAAATATAAAAATAAAGTTTTCATTTCATTTGGCATTCATTCGAATCAACACAATAAACTCCATAATTAAGACAAATAGATGTAGTAATAAATATCACACTTTTTAATGAAAAATTCATATTGGCTAAAAACCGAATTAGATCTTGACGCTCATCTGCTATTTGTACCTATAAAAATTTCAAGTTGAACAGGTTAGTTTATTATCTGGAATTTTGATGACAGGATTTATATGGGGCCCCTTATATGGCACTTGACTGTACAGACAAATGCCTTTAAGCACAAGACAATTATAATATAGCACATTGAAAAAGTGTGATAAAAAATAGTTTCTACAATGGTTAAAAGAATTTCTACAAAAATTAAAATACCTTCACATATCTTTAATCAATCTAAGGAATGCCAAAATTTGCACTTTGCTATCTTTTTAGTATTTACCTAGCAAATAATACAATAAAATACTGTTGAACTAGCCAAGTGAACTCGTAAGGTAATTGCTATTACTGATTATAACATCAGCAGATAAACATACTTGATCATTCAAGACTAAACCAGTTTCTGAAACATTCCTGTCCTCACTGAAGATAAGGTAAAACTTGTTGAAATTAAGTGTGAATTGCACTAAATAATTGTAAATGTAGCTCAGTTAATAAATAAGGCTAAGCATATAATTTATTTTATTTTTGTTTTTTTATTTTTGTTATTTACATCATATATTACCTGAGTGCCCTCTCCTTGGTACATACATCCTACAATGTTGTCTAATAGCGTGATATCTAACTTTTGACTGAAGTCGAGTAATTTAGTCGCCTCATCTGACAGTGTCATCTCTTAAGATTACCTACAAATTGATAAACATTTACAAATACAGATTTTTATAAAAAGTACAAGCATAACAATAATGCAAGTTTATGCTTTACATTTATATACTATATGTGAATTACTTTTTAATTGACAAAAAAATTAATTCATCTAACTCAAGTCTACACTGTATCAGTAAAACCACTAAAGTTTTATCATGCGAGGTAAAAAATATGGGAAAATCTCCAGCCGAAAATCTGATTTTGATCAATCTGCCTATTTTAATATCATTTTATTCTTATTATGAGAGTCTCAAATACTGTATTAAAATAAGTTTTTATGACAATGAAGTGAGTCAAATCTTGTTTACAATCAGATTGGGTAAATGTTTTTAAATCCCATTCTGAAACATTTGACTGAAAAGCATATTATAAATCAAAATATAAATTCTTGTTCATAGTGTAAATGAAAACCTTTTTGAGGGGAATAGGGGTAACTAAAAGTTCAGGAAAACAGAAAAATGTTCTACAGTACTCCCTGTATTTTTGTGTGTTACTTACTTTTGTGCAATTTGTGAAGGTGGGAAAATTGTGAAAAATAATAAATTAATGAAAAAAAAAACACTTTCAACCTGACAAACTAGATTTACTAATTGTAAATCTCTTCCAATTAGGCAGGGATGTTTACTTTATAATCGATTATTGTTTGAACCATGGGGTGGTACTTTTAAAACTTCAAGAGGCCAAGGGCAGAAGGGTAACTAACGTATACGAAGCTTGAGGATTCTAAGAATGATGAAATCTAACTTGTGATATCCGCAAGAATTACGCAAAATTGTGATTTTTCAAAATTTATGAAATATTTTATAGATCCAAAAAAGCATAATAAATTAGTCCTGATTTTTTCCTTCCACTACTTTTCCAGAAACAGCAAAACGTACAACAACGTCAAAATTGTTGCCTAATAGGCCAAGATTGCTTGACAGCTATTTCTTAGTAGATTGATAAAAAACACATTTTAGTCCAGTGACTTTTCCATTCATCTTGCATTTTAAAAAGTTTGGTGAAAATCTGTCCCTTGAAACTGCCCAAATTATGTAAAACACTGTTTTTCATTCAAATGACTTTTAGGGAGTTTCAAATTTCCAGCAAAATTCAGTTACTCAGATGCGAGTAGGTAGTTACCAGTTTCACCACCAGGTGGCGGATACAGGGGAAATAACATGGCAGGGTATTCCCAACACAAGGAAAGATACTTCATTATTTGTGATTTTACAACATGGGGTCTATGGGGAATCTCCCCGACCTACTCCTTGTTACAGTGTTAAAAAGGCAAGAACTTAACTTCGACATATAAGTGTTACCTGACGAATGGGACCCTCACGTGCCTTTCAAATGGTAGTAAACAAACTCCAATGTAACTACATCAGCTTATCTTTCCGTCAGATCAACAATAAGTACAGTTATACAAGAAATGTAAACGTACTGTCATTAGACATTGGGCCATGCTTAAAGTATTCACATACCAAATATGAACAAAATCGATCCACTACTTTTTGACTTACAGTAAAAAATGCAAAATGACGTGCAAAGGCAGCCATTTTTCAAGATGGCTGCCATGTATTTCTTCTTTTTTTACATTCTAGCTTAAACAATGTCCTATATAACTACTATATGCAGTACCTAAATTACTGATAAATTGGCACTAAAATGGCGGCCATTTTGAAAATCGGCTTTCGAGCAGAACTTCTACCCCCATAGGGTATATAATGTGTACAAAATATAAACAAAATCAGGGCAACAGTATTTGAGTCATCACCCAGACGGACAGACGGACGGAGGCGTTCCCTATATCCCACCGAACTTCGTTCGATGGGATAATTAACGGTTTTGTGGGGCGTTTTGGTTTCGACACACCCCGGAGAGTTAGTACCCCTTGACATATAAATTCCAAATATGACATCAGTTTGACTGAATTTTGAATTTCTAATGATGAAAATCAAGATTATTTCTACTCACATCTAGTCTATTGGCATATTTCGACCGATGTTGGTCTGAAATGTGAAAATGAGAATTTTGTGAAATTGTGTAAATGCTGTTTTATGGGAGTTAAAAGTGAAAATGCTCAGATTGTACCAAAAACGTCTTCGAAAAAATTCAAATAGGAGCATAGCGATAGCATAGCCCCCCCTCCAACCAAGATGTACTGCCTCCAACCACACAATCATTTGCTGAGCCACCTATATTTTCTGGGAAAACACACGCCTCATTTTTAAACTAATTAGACTCCAGATTGAAAATCTGGAGTCTATTGCTTTTGCCTGTTTTCTTATTATTCCTCTTTTTCTTTCTTTCTTTCTTTCTTTCTTCCTCCTAACACATTTTCTCTCCAACTATAACATCTTACTTAATCCAACCTACATGGTTGACTAGGGAATGTATCTGGCTTTCTGGGAAATTAGGTCAAATTTTTATCTAGGTCATAGGTCAAGAACTAGGTCAAATCTTGAATTTTCACTAATTCACCACTTTTCTCAGTCCTCTTTCAATATTTTCGCTCCGGGTTTTTTTCATCATGTTCCTTGGAAAAAACGCTAATTCCGTAGGGCAAATCGTTTTTTGATTACTCTTACCGATTTTGAGATATTGCGTCCGAAAAGTAGGTCAGAACAAAAAGTTCTCCAGATTCAACATATGAGTTATGAAATAAGTGTAGAATGATCTCAGGAATCCGAATCTGCAAACCAAATTTGGATCGGACTTCCGGTTCGGAAGTTATGGCGTTTTGAAAGCTCAAAAATCGCTAAATTTGGTGCCTATGTTAAGTCAATGGGAAAAAAGACTTTTTCGAAGTGTAAAATACAAGATATAGACTGAGTACAGCTTAACATAATGAATGCTTATAAAAGAAGGGGACCTCAAAAGCTACACAGCTTCAAAATTTGGACACCAAAATGCCTAGGTCAAAATCTAGGTCAAATTCATAGTTTTTCCTTATTTTTACGATTCTGACAATACACTTTAATAATTTACTTCAAAATTTTGTATACAGGTAGAAAAGAGTGTGCTTATAGTGTTAGCCTTTTGCCGTCAGAAAGTATTTTGACCCACTTTTGAGATATGGTGTCCGAAAAGTAGGTCAAAATAAAAGGTTCTCCAAATTTAACATATGAGCTATGAATTAAGAGCAAAATTTTCCCAGGAATCAGAATCTGCAAACCAAATTTCAATCCGACTTTCGGTTTGGAAGTGTTTGCGTTTTGAAAGCTCAAAAATCGCTAAATTTAGTGCCCCATGTTATGTCAATGAGAAAAAAGATTTTTTTGAAGTGTAAAATGCCAGATATAAACTGAGTACAGCTTAAAATTCTGAAAGCCTATAAAAGAAGGGGACCTCGAAGGCTATCTAGCTTTAAAATTTGGACAAGAAAATGCCTAGGTCAAAATCTAGGTCAAATTCATAGTTTTTCCTTATTTTTGCGATTCTGACATTACACTTTAATGATTTGCTTCGAAATTTTGTATACAGGTAGCAAAGAGTGTGCTTATAGTGTAAGCCTTCTGCCGTCAGAAAGTATTTTGACCCACTTTTGAGATATGATGTCTGAAAAGTAGGTCAAAATAAAAAGTTCTCCAAATTTGACGTATGAGTTATGAATTAAGGGTAGAATTTTTTCAGGAATCAGAATCTTTAAACCAAATTTCGATCCAACTTCTGATTAGATAGTTACAGCGGTTTGAAGTCTCGAAAAGTCGATATGATGATATCCCCATGTTAAGCCAATGTAGTCGAAGATAACATCTTAAGAGACTAAATGTCTATATTCTAGCTGACTCAGCTTATTCTGAATGACTCAGCTTACAAGTATTTGGATGACTCAGCTTAAAAAAAGTCTGAAATCTGGAGTCTTAAATTGAACTTGTTCAATTTACATGTCTAGTATTATATTTCTTTTTGATCTACATCTATCATTATACTAATTAAAGCTCTTTATAGAGCAACACAATTAGTTTTGGAAGTCATCCAAGCTAAAAATCTAAAATGGCAGTATGTACAATTAAAATACTGTCTAAAAACAGGTCTCGTGTCATGAGCTAACCCTGCATACTAGATACCAGGGCATCACGGAAGGCAGTACTGTCTTCTATCATCCTGGTTGTGGAAGGAAGGTTGTTCCAATCTGTTATTGTTCTGGGAAAGAAGCTATTCTTGTAGGTATCAGTTCTGGCAAAGGGAGGGATGAATTGTTGGGCTCTTCTGCCAGTTCTGTTAGATTTCTCGATGTAGGGGGGAATGGGTATTGCTATTTCATTATGAAGGGCTTTATGGAATAGGGTGAGTCTCTTGGTTTGTCTTCGGTTCTCAAGCGGTTTCCATTCCAAATCTTTGTAAATGTTGGTGATGGTTCCTGGCTCCCTAGAGTACTGTTTGGTCACAAACCTTGCTGCCTGACGCTGAACCATCTCTACTCGTGCTTTGTCTTTCTTCTGGTAAGGGTCCCAAACTGAAGAAGAGTATTCTAAGTGGGGCCTGACCAGAGAATTATAAGCCGTGGCTTTGATGTTGCGTGGGCAGCTGTGGAGGTTTCGCCTCAGGAAGCCAAGGGAACGGTTGGCTTTGTTCACTATGTTGTTGATGTGAGTGGTCCACTTCATGTTGGATTCTAGTTCCACACCAAGGTAGGGGTTATGGGGTACATCCTGTAGTACTTGGCCTTTCATGATGTATGCGGCAGTTCTTGGCTCGCGTTTTCTGTGTACTCTCAATGTGTAGCATTTTTTGGCATTGAAGTCCATCTGCCACCGTTCAGCCCACTGTTGTAGTTTGGTGAGGTCATTCTGCAGTTCAGCTTCATCTGCCGCTGACTTGATGGTTCGGTAGAGTACACAGTCATCGGCAAACAGTCTCACAGATGATGTGAGTCCATCGCCAATGTCATTGATATACAGGAGAAACATCAAAGGACCAAGCACAGTGCCTTGTGGGACTCCAGATGTTACCTTGGCTGGTTTAGATATTTCCCCATTTACAACTACCTTCTGTGTTCTGCTAGTTAGCCATTCTGTGATCCAGGTCTTGGTCTTGTCCCTGATGCCGTAATACTCTAACTTCACAAGCAACCGTTGATGGGCTACGGTATCAAAAGCCTTGCTAAAGTCGAGTATCAGGACATCAGATTGACAACCAAAATCCAGTGATCTCACAAGATCTTCTACAGTGAGGACCAGCTGGGATTCACAGGAGTGCTTACCTCTGAAGCCATGTTGGTAATGATGATTTGTTATTTTAGATTTTTTCAACAAAAATGTGATGAAAATAATATCAAAGGCTTTCAATGAATAACAACAAAGAAAAAGGCAGAGTCACAATTTATATGACTAATTCGACCCAAACCAATATTACATTAGAGATGTAAAAGTGATGTCAGTCATTCCAGACATTGTTTTTTGAAATTTCATACAAGATTTACAATTAGACCTACCACCCCTATAAGACAAGTATTTCAAAGAATGGAACCACCCAACTGATGAAGATACATATTGAACTCGTCTATAATAGGGGTGGTAAAGAAATAATTAAACATGCTTGAAATAAAGATACGTTATTTAGAAATCATAAAATTACTACAAATCGTGTAAACGCTTCAGTACATGAACATCGACAAAGAAATATTCTCATATCTGCTATTTTTATCCAAATATTACATTTGTTGTTATTTTCAGAGAGCAGACAACAAACATGGCGGCGCCCATGCAGAATGTGAAAATACTGTTTCTAGCTGTTTCCTACACCTCTTACAACTAAATATGGTGACTTTGAATTGAGAATACGAGACACTTACCCCTTTTAACTGGAAGAAAGGATTTTGAAATGCATTTGAGGTTCCAAGCAGTGAAAAAGCAGTTTCTATGTGACCGGTTGGAACTGGTACTGAACCGCCATTTTCGTTAAACATCGGTAAATTCCGTCATGGAAAAATCCATGAAGAAAATTCTCAGTATTGTGTGTTCGAGACTAATACATGCTAGCATAAGTAGCTGATAATAAAACCAATTGCTCTTTTTCATTTATATTGAAGTTACAGTTGCCAAATACCTTGGATTAAGAAATACGACTATTCGATTATTTCCGTAACTTTATTATGGTCGATAATATTTTATGGAAACAGATGAGGGTTGGCATGGTTCAGTGGTTGCGTCTATTACTCAGGTGCTGGTTTATCTAATGATGACCAACTCTCTTATTAATCCTCTAAATTCCGGTCAGTCGTTGAATTTAAGTATTAAAAGGGTTCATTCTGCTGAGAATAACTTGTTAATAAGACGTTAATGTGGGGGCGATGTCTGGCTCCATGAATGTTTGGCCAAAAAATAGTATAAGCCCTTTGCGTAGTGATTTAAAATTACTATTTTGTAAACAAAGGCCTATTTTAAACCACGCATGGATTGCTAACTTCAGAAACGATTATTGTAATAATCTCAATGCCTCCCTGTATGTAAAATAGATGATCAAAATGGAACTTATTTTAATTTGAATACTCAAGCTTCCGATATTCCATAACGTAGTGTTGGTACTATATATGATATGGTAAATCGGTTCATTCAAAATAATAGTTTTTCAGAGATCCAGACCATAATTTTTTACTTTGTTTTTGACCGGGAATTTCAAGGTTTGTTCATTCATTTTGTTTCTAATTATGGCCTGTGTCTAAGCCAGCAGTAGTGGTCATCCGCTAGACCTCGGCTCTTCTAGATTATAAGTTCTAAAATTGTGTTTCAAATTGTATTTCAATTTTAGATCTATGCCCTTCACCTTCAGGCAGAATTTGGCAGGGACTGTTCATGTGTTGTCAGCTGAGAGGGGGGGGGGGGTTCTTATTTTGTGTGTTTACATGCTTTCACTTCTGTTGGTCAATATTTGACGGGCAGCCCACAGAACACCATCCTTACTCTATTCTATTGAAAGAAGAAAACTTCTACAAAAAAACTGAATAAGAGAAATCAATAGATCTAAAGATGAATAAGAGAGATCAATAGATCTAAACATGACTATGAGGCAGCCCTCGGGGGGGCAGCTCCTAGTCTAGCTATCAGGGCGAAGTTTGGTCTAACATCTTCTTCCTTATTCCTATTTTATTTGATTGGGGCCTTTCCATATGGCAATATTCATCAAGGGCTCTATGTATTCATCAACCAGTAGAACTGACTAATCGTTAAGAATCTATAATTCTACACAAGGAGTGCCACTTATAGATTTTTCAAATTCCTTCCAAGTCGACGGCGAAACAACTAGCGGGTGAAATTGAAACTAATTTTTCTGGCTGCTCGAATCGATAAAATCTCTGATAGTGCAAGTCTTTTTATGAAAACGTTTCCTATACCACTTGACGATTATAAGAAAGCATTAAAAGTCGAATCCAAAGCGTAATCTGATATAAAAGTGAAAAATATTGTGCGGACATTTAGATACAATTTTAAAAGCTAAAACACATTCAAAGCATTCATTTTACGATAGGCCCAGGATCAGTGGATGCGACTCGGCAGTCCACGTTGCTTCTTGATATTTGTCATGTTCCCATAAGGTTGGACCATGGGCTCTATCAGATGGATATAGTCCTGAGTAAGGACATTAGCGGTTACCGTTAGTGATTTGGTTTTCTGAATAAAAAGTCATTTTCTCCTTCCCTACCCCATTGGAGCGCCATCTATAGTTTGGGAAGTGAATCGGGACTAAATATTTATAGGGTAGGTCCTAATTTATCTGAAAACATGTCAGAGTTCAGTGGGAAATCTCATTTTAAGCTGGCGGCGGAGTGATTTTGACCTTGGTGATTTTACCAGAATTCTCCAGGAGGAGTGAGTAGCTCCCATAATTCTTTCATATTCTATCGTATTCGGGGATTCCCCATTACATCATCTCTTGCATCATCTCCAATCAAATTGCAGGATTCGATCACGTGAACAATCATGAGCACGTGCTCCCTCAGTGCTGCGCATGCGCAGAGTTAAATTTGAAATCCTGGGAATGGCGTTAACATCAGTTCAACATCATCATTTCAAACCTACGGTAATACTATTGAAGTTACTCGATCCATACTTGTAGAGAATACTCATAAAACTACAGTGAACATTTGGAGATCCATTTCAATGGCAATTTGAGGCCTGTTTATAAAATTTGTTTTCGAACGTGCTAATATGATAGGGCATCTTTGGGAAATCTCCCCCCCTGAGAATTCTCTGAGAAATCTGACGATAGAGGGGGTTAGTGTCTTCAAGTTTATTTATTTCAAAAATTCGGTGGACAACCCATGGTAAGATTGTTATAGCAGGCTAGGCGAGTCTCTCCCGAACACTGTGGTATGCTGCACTAGGCTTGGATACTAATCGTTAATAAGATACAGGGTAAAATGTTATAATGGCCACCTATGGGAAACTCTACTGTGATCTTCAACCTATTAGAAGGCGCTTTTTGGGGCATTTTGAAGGTTTTATCCCTTTTTGAGGTTTTTTAGTTCATTGAGAAGCCTAATAGCGCATATCATATTAAAGGGCTGTATCTTAGCTGAACAATGCTACCAAAATCGTGACATTTTGAAGCAATTTTGGTGTTTTGGGGGCGAGGCCACTGTGCCAAGTACCTCGAATTCCATTCTCCCGTGCCATTCAATTGTTTTCGGGGCAGTTTTGAATGAACCTTTGTTTCTTCCTACCAATATGACGTCATAAGATGCAATTGAACGCCTTGGCATGGATATCACTTGAAAGATAGTAGAAATCGCTTTCCAATGATACCCCATATGGCCATGTTCACCTCAGTTGGGTGTACTCAATCTGTGATGCAATCTGTAAGGTGTACCCCTACCCCGAAGAAATTTCAAGAAATCTCAAAATCAAATATCCTGAATTTTGCTAAAAGGACCTGTGTCTATAAGGATTGACTTTTCCTCCGTGCTTTTTCTCAAATATAGGATTGTTATATACCATTGTGATCGGGATAATGCCTACAATGCTAATATAACCATGTTGGAAGAAAACAAACTAATTCAGTTTACTATTAGGATATAGTCCTGAGTAAGGACATTAGCGGTTACCGTTAGTGATTTGGTTTTCTGAATAAAAAGTCATTTTCTCCTTCCCTACCCCATTGGAGCGCCATCTAGCGTTTGGGAAGTGAATCGGGACTAAATATTTATAGGGTAGGTCCTAATTTATCTGAAAACATGTCAGAGTTCAGTGGGAAATCTCATTTTAAGCTGGCGGCGGAGTGATTTTGACCTTGGTGATTTTACCAGAATTCTCCAGGAGGAGTGAGTAGCTCCCATAATTCTTTCATATTCTATCGTATTCGGGGATTCCCCATTACATCATCTCTTGCATCATCTCCAATCAAATTGCAGGATTCGATCACGTGAACAATCATGAGCACGTGCTCCCTCAGTGCTGCGCATGCGCAGAGTTAAATTTGAAATCCTGGGAATGGCGTTAACATCAGTTCAACATCATCATTTCAAACCTACGGTAATACTATTGAAGTTACTCGATCCATACTTGTAGAGAATACTCATAAAACTACAGTGAACATTTGGAGATCCATTTCAATGGCAATTTGAGGCCTGTTTATAAAATTTGTTTTCGAACGTGCTAATATGATAGGGCATCTTTGGGAAATCTCCCCCCCTGAGAATTCTCTGAGAAATCTGACGATAGAGGGGGTTAGTGTCTTCAAGTTTATTTATTTCAAAAATTCGGTGGACAACCCATGGTAAGATTGTTATAGCAGGCTAGGCGAGTCTCTCCCGAACACTGTGGTATGCTGCACTAGGCTTGGATACTAATCGTTAATAAGATACAGGGTAAAATGTTATAATGGCCACCTATGGGAAACTCTACTGTGATCTTCAACCTATTCGAAGGCGCTTTTTGGGGCATTTTGAAGGTTTTATCCCTTTTTGAGGTTTTTTAGTTCATTGAGAAGCCTAATAGCGCATATCATATTAAAGGGCTGTATCTTAGCTGAACAATGCTACCAAAATCATGACATTTTGAAGCAATTTTGGTGTTTTGGGGGCGAGGCCACTGTGCCAAGTACCTCGAATTCCATTCTCCCGTGCCATTCAATTGTTTTCGGGGCAGTTTTGAATGAACCTTTGTTTCTTCCTACCAATATGACGTCATAAGATGCAATTGAACGCCTTGGCATGGATATCACTTGAAAGATAGTAGAAATCGCTTTCCAATGATACCCCATATGGCCATGTTCACCTCAGTTGGGTGTACTCAATCTGTGATGCAATCTGTAAGGTGTACCCCTACCCCAAAGAAATTTCAAGAAATCTCAAAATCAAATATCCTGAATTTTGCTAAAAGGACCTGTGTCTATAAGGATTGACTTTTCCTCCGTGCTTTTTCTCAAATATAGGATTGTTATATACCATTGTGATCGGGATAATGCCTACAATGCTAATATAACCATGTTGGAAGAAAACAAACTAATTCAGTTTACTATTAGGATATAGTCCTGAGTAAGGACATTAGCGGTTACCGTTAGTGATTTGGTTTTCTGAATAAAAAGTCATTTTCTCCTTCCCTACCCCATTGGAGCGCCATCTAGCGTTTGGGAAGTGAATCGGGACTAAATATTTATAGGGTAGGTCCTAATTTATCTGAAAACATGTCAGAGTTCAGTGGGAAATCTCATTTTAAGCTGGCGGCGGAGTGATTTTGACCTTGGTGATTTTACCAGAATTCTCCAGGAGGAGTGAGTAGCTCCCATAATTCTTTCATATTCTATCGTATTCGGGGATTCCCCATTACATCATCTCTTGCATCATCTCCAATCAAATTGCAGGATTCGATCACGTGAACAATCATGAGCACGTGCTCCCTCAGTGCTGCGCATGCGCAGAGTTAAATTTGAAATCCTGGGAATGGCGTTAACATCAGTTCAACATCATCATTTCAAACCTACGGTAATACTATTGAAGTTACTCGATCCATACTTGTAGAGAATACTCATAAAACTACAGTGAACATTTGGAGATCCATTTCAATGGCAATTTGAGGCCTGTTTATAAAATTTGTTTTCGAACGTGCTAATATGATAGGGCATCTTTGGGAAATCTCCCCCCCTGAGAATTCTCTGAGAAATCTGACGATAGAGGGGGTTAGTGTCTTCAAGTTTATTTATTTCAAAAATTCGGTGGACAACCCATGGTAAGATTGTTATAGCAGGCTAGGCGAGTCTCTCCCGAACACTGTGGTATGCTGCACTAGGCTTGGATACTAATCGTTTATAAGATACAGGGTAAAATGTTATAATGGCCACCTATGGGAAACTCTACTGTGATCTTCAACCGATGGTAGAGCCCATGGTTGGACCTAGATGGTCGATGCCATGGTGTGTTCGGTTCTGCTTTTTAACAGATTGTTAATTGTTGGAAATTACCATTTCGTAAATGCGCATTAGCTAAAATAACATAGATCAAGAAAATGTCTGCTGCAGAAAAACGCTGATGAGTGAGAAAGATATAAGCATCAGATAAGCAATGATACAATTAACGAGTTGTCAGAGCCAAACAGAAACATAGTTTCTACGAATCAGTCATTTATTGAATCCAGAATGAGGCTCATGATGTCACATTTAAAGGGACACTACAACTTTTGTTTTTTTAGTTTTTACATTATATATAATGTAATGGCACCTATCCTAACAGGTGCATAGCTACCCTTCCTTCAGGGGGGTATGATTGTGATGAAGCGTTCGCACCCGCCCCCTGGCAACGCCAGTATGCCTATATATTAAATACATGGTAACCATAGCAGCTTGTTTTGTTTTACATTCTCATGATCATAGCAGAATATGAATATTGTGAAAGAACAAAATTACAGAACCAAGACCCAAACGGAGGGATTCAAAAAATGAATCGAAAATTTTGAAACCATCTGGTGAACAGTTTTCCCTCTCAGTTGCATGACTTATGTTACTGTGTAGTCAAAAAATATTGTGCTCTAAAGTTTCTGGCACTTTGCATGTGGCACAGCTAGTAGCTTGAATAGTAAAAGTGTAATTTTGCACTGACTTAAAAAAATATTATGATTTAATAACAAAAGTGGCTGGAAAATATGTTTGTTCTTTTTCAGAATTCAAAATAAAATGGAAGAACAGCAAATACTAGGAGTTAGGAGATCCTCTCGAAAATCTGCAAAAGCCTATCAAGCAGGTCGTTACAAGTTCTCTCACAGTTTGGAAGACACAATCCAAAAGGTGCATGTGGCTAGTAAAACAGTGAAGAAGACAACAACATTGAGACCTAAATTAAAGCATTCAGTATCAGAACCATATAAACACCCAATAAGTGATTCCAACATTAGTGATAATAACACCCAGCTCGTTCATCATCAAATCCCTTCAGACATTGAACAATTTAAAGATCCTAGCGTAGATGAAGCTATATTAGCCGACTATGACGAAGCTCAATCATCTAAGTGTTATAACTCAAATCCTGAACTATCAAGTGCTTATTCAATTGACACACTTAATGAAAATGATAGAGTGAAAGACCAAAGTGATGCTGCATACATCAATGATGCATCTCAACTCGATACTGATGATGCAAGGCACAGTGAAATGGAAATAACTACCACTAATGCCCTTGACACACATAATGAAGGTGATAACTCAATCTGTAATGTGAATGCCCATTCAGACAATATGGCACAATTACATGTTGTTCCTCAGGAAGAATCAGAAGAAATACTCCGCAGGTCAGTGTCAGATCCGAATGAACAAAACCCATCTGTTGATCAGAACATGGAAAATACATGTAGAATTAGAATATCTAACTATCCAGACAATACAACCACAAACAATGGTGAAGCTACTAATCAAGTTCACGAAATAGATTCTGGGCCTTCTGATATTCGAGTAAAGTTCCCTCAGAATCAGGATGAACAAATTGAAGTGCTTACGACACAGGAAGGAGAGCTCGTATGTGTGATGCCCGATGTACACAACAATCAACAAATCTTAATGAACTGTCCTCAAGGAACTCCAGTTTTAGTATTATCAAACAACCTCGAAAAGGGTACAGTTGAAGCAAGTGTGCTGATTGATAGACCAGACTTTGCCCAGTTATTGGCCTTTCAAAGTGGGATGCCTGCCACATTACCTGAACTTGGAATTTTGGGAGGACAGGCTCCAAGCACACCTAGCCAAAGTGTCACCCAAGCAAAACAGAAAAATACTGGTAAGATAAAATGAAATTAAATTAAATCTGCATATTCAATATTCTGACTTCACTGCTTATTTAGTGTTATCAGATATGAGAAAGGCGAGGCTCCTCACCAACATTGCGATTAAAATCCAATCGCTTTACAATTATTTCTTCTGCTTTGTTTTATTTGCTTTGCCTATTTTCGATCATGGCTATATGTCACTGACTTCAATGTAACTGAAACAATATCAATCCTAGCACCAGGGGGCCATCGACAGAAACTTCATGAAGTTACAAATCTAAGTCCTATTATAATAATTATGTTTGACATCATATCCATAGTTTCATCCTTAGTTTCATCAATTTATTTAGAAATTCTTAAATCAACAAAGTTTCTGCGATTAAATGACTACTAGATTTCCTGTTCAACTTTGCCTATCTTGGTTGCAATATTGTATGTTACTTAAAGCAGATATGAAATGGTATTTTTAACCTAAAGGAATCAATATAATTTTTTGATAGATGTATTTGGACATGTTTTCTCATCAGTAGTGTGAAAACTATTTCACTCTAACGATCGTTATAGCTGCTTAATAAGCAATATTCGAATTGGTTGTGACGTTATTGGCCCCCACGTGATCTCTCACTGGTCCCCACGTGGCCCGTTATGGTCCATTAGATCATGACGTCATAATGCCAAAATATTTTGTTATTTGTTTACACAACAATCCTATGGTTGCCGTGACGTTGTGATTACTATGGAACCAATAAACCAAAGCTATATTTTGTATATGACGTTACTAATCACGTGGGGGCCAATTTGATTAGTCACTTAGTTTTATTTCGTTATCTATGACCGTTAGCAGTTATCTAACATTTATTTTATAATGGCTGTCGCAAGACCTCTATGGTGGGCTTACAATGGAGAAAACCGCATTTTTGTAGCTGCAAGTTGAGAAAAGCTATTTCAGTTGTCCTTTAATCAACTAAATCAACTACATGTATAGATTTAAACATGTTAAAGGACTTCCGTTTTATATGTTATTTCAGCTACAAAATACTACCTCTGTGATATAGAGGGATGTAACAAAGGCTTCACTACTATGGCTTATCTCAAGTATCATAAAGTGACTCATAATGGAGAGAAGCCACTTAAGTGTTCATATGAAGACTGTAATAGGACATTCGCATGGCACACGCATCTCAGATATCACCAATTAACCCATACGTAGGTATTTCCAGTTTGAGTTTTTCATTTTATAGCGTTTGATTTATTGAGAAAAATAATTAAACATAGAGAATACTTGTACTGAAATAAATACATGTATAGACAGATATCCCATGTTCAGTACTTGTGCATGTACATGTGTATTATTCTATATTTGAAGACAAGAGAGATTGTTTCATTGCTTGGAGCCTGGATGTAAGAGATCATTCTACACCCATCAAAGATTAGATGTACACAGTAGAGTTCATACAGGGTATAAGCCTTTCATTTGTGGGGAGACTGGGTGCGGCAAGGCATTCACAACTGCAGGGAATTTGAAAAATCACCGCAGAATCCATTCAGGTATTGATTGAAAATATTGATTTGAAATATATTTATCCCTTAAACATGTTTTTGCTATAATATTTCCTGGTCAAAACATCCTTTCTTCCAAAAAATTAATTATGTTTCGATGTCACCACCATATGACATATTGTCATAATTTCCAACATTTTTGTGGATGGCCATCCTGGTTGGTGTTCGGCATCTGTAACAAATGGCAGGTGGGGACATTTTGTATGTTAAGATCCTATTGAGCATGTGACTTGATTTATTCATAGAGCTTTTGCACTTTTCATAATACATGTATGAGTAATTACATTTACAATTCTTTTAAAAACTTATTTAATTGTTAGGTGAAAGGCCATATGTGTGTGAACACAAATCCTGCAACAGACGATTCTGTGAACAATCAAGCCTTAAGAAACACATGTTAACTCATACAGGTAGCTAATTGCAAAGATTCACCAAACATTCCTTACAATTTTCTGTGAATTAAAATCGAACAAGTGGAATTAGTGAGTTATTCGAGTGAAAAGTACTGATTCAGTGGAATTCTTACATTTATTTGAGACAAAGTTGTTTTCACTTAGATCGCCCAACTGATTTTTTGCAATGTATTTGACATGTAATTTGGGTAAAAAAGGTTTTGTTTATCTGGCTAAATGTTATCAGAAATGAAACGAGCAAAGCTGCAAAATGACTAAGATAGTATCATTAACAAATGTAAAAGACAATAAATGACCTTTTGTTCACCTTAACAAAACATTTTTTTGTTATTTCAGGGGAAAAGCCCTACAGCTGTAATATCTGTGGGAAAGCATTCTCACAAAGCGGTTCAAGAAACACACATGTAAAAGCTCATAGACGTCAGGATGTAACCAAGGAGACAAATATTCTTGATGATAATGATTTGGTTATCAATGCTAGAGGGGAGATCATACAATACCGTATGAAATTACAACATATCGTTATAGGAATTGGAAGGGATGGGGAGGGTAAACTGTCAGAACCAATCTTCAGAATACATCCAAAGTTTTTCTTACAATTCTAATTTTTTGGAACATTTGACGAATATAGAGGTTATTGGAGATTCCAGATGCAGAAATGTCTATTTAAAATTCAAAGGAATTGAGAAATAGAACTTTTTAAATAAAATTTTGTCAGGCAGCCTTAAAATCAAGGATCATCCTTTTAAAATAAAGTCAAAATGGAAACTTACTCAAAGCTTGTCTCTGTCCCTTCTACTTCTAAGTCGAGCAAAATCGAATTAAATGTTGACATAAAAATATTTCAACTGGTGAAGTTGATGAAAACAGAAAATTTAAAATCTTGTTTTCTTTGGGAATATACACTTTTTAAAATGTCACCCACTCATATATTGTATATTTGTTTGTATTGTATTTAAAAGGAAAAACACATAAACATTCTTGTGATGAGTGTAAAATTAGTTCATTTTTCAACTCCATTAGCTTCAATAATTTTATCTGCGAGCTTTTTAAGACCAATGAAAAAAGCAAGACATCACTTGTTAACCAGGTTGATAAAAATATTGGCTTTCTTAGTTCAGAAAGGCAGTGATTTTCAATAATTTTGTCATTTCTAGAAAACAAATATTAATTATATTAAAAATTTGTTTTTGATTTTTTAGAGAATGGGTATCACGACACTGAGACATCTGTTCTTCCTCACCCTGTTGTTGATAACTTTGTTACCGTAGTGACTCAGCCACCAGATGGCTCTAGCTCTGACAGACAAGGGAATCAGAAAATTGTCTGCGGATCTCTTCCACCTGAAGGTAAAGGGTATTTGTAGTCAGCAATATTTATGGCTGAGACATGCCAAACTCAATCCCTTGTGGCAGTTGGAATGCATAGCATTTTTAATCTGACAAGATGTTATTACCCGACTACTATACTGCTAAGTAAGAAATTCAGGCAAAAAGTCAAAATCTAATCTAAACATTCGAGAGAAAAGTTAAGGGGTATATCATAACAAAACAAGAACACAAATGTGTACAAAATGTCCCCACCTATGGGTGATCCCATCAAATGATTATCCTAAAAATGAGTAGACGAGACTTTACCGACACAATTTGAGAACGGAATATCAAAAATGGCCACCTTAAAATTTACCCAGAATGCCAAAAAACTAATCTCTTCTAGATTTTCATACTAAGAATCATCCTTGAAAATTTGAAATTGATCCCTCACACAGTTAACCAGAAAACATGTAAACAAGGCTTTACAAACAAGATTTTAGGACAGAAAATCCAAAATGGCTGCCTTGACATTTACCCAGAATGCCCAAAAACTAATCAGATCTAGATTTTCATACTAAGAATCATCCCTAAAAATTTGAAATTGATCTACCAAATGGTTCACCTAAAAGCGCGTAGACAAGACTTTACAGACAAGATTTGAGGATTGAAAATCCAAAATGGCTGCCTTGACATTTACCCAGAATGCCAAAAAACTAATCAGATCTAGATTTTCATACTAAGAATCATCCCTGAAAATTTGAAATTGATCTACCACACGGTTCACCTAAAAATGCGTAGACAAGACTTTACGGGCAAGATTTTAAGATGGAAAATCCAAAATGGCTGCCTTGACATTTATCCAGAATGCCAAAAAACTAATCAGATCTAGATTTTCATACTAAGAATCATCCCTGAAAATTTGAAATTGATCTACCAAACGGTTCAGCTGAAAATACGAAGACAAGACTTTACAGACAAGATTTTAGGACGGAAAATCCAAAATGGCCGACAATAAAAAAGTGATTATGAGTTTTTGCTGATTTCTTTTTACAAAATTATCACATATAACTACTGTTAACAATAACATAGGCTTTTACAACAAAGTACACCTGAAATTATTTATAAAGTTACAAAATAGTTAAAGTATGAAAACTGAAAAACACCGTTCAATATGATACAAAGTATTATCGCGCGCTAACTTTTCTTAAAACATTGAAAATGGCTGACATGACTGAGCTAACAGGTCCAAAACCTAATCAGATCTAGAATGAAGTGAGCTGAACAAGATGTTAAAGTTTCAAAAGCAACTGTGAAGCCATTTTTCTTAAAGTTTGCAGACAAGGATTTTAGCATTTGACTTCAAAATGGCCGACAGGAAGTAGGCATTGATTCAAATTTTTTTCATCCACATCTAGATGCACTCATAAGTTATCCCTGAAAATTTGAAGGTGATATCTGTAGCAGTTTTGGAGAAAACTGCCGGACGTACGGACGGACGGACAGACAGACAGACAGACAGACGGACATACGGACAGACGGACAGACAGACGCGCCTAGGCCGACAATATGGCCCCACACTATGTGGTGGAGACGCGCCTAGGCCGACAATATGGCCCCACACTATGTGGTGGGGACATAATAAAAAAACGCATTGACTCCTGCTTGAAATAGAACTACTGTATTTGAGCTCAATTAAGTTCAGTTTAAAAAAATCCATACCTCCTTCTTCAGAAAAAGAGATAGAAGTATTCTGGATCTTGGAGATCTGTGATCGCAGAATGTGATTTACTGGGCACAATTTTCTCTGTATTTTCTTATGATTTCATGAAAAATGTCCTCATTTCAATACACATGTGTGCTATTTTCATATTCATTCTAATGGACATGATTTTATCCATGAACAGGTGGTGGTATTAAAGCATAAAATTGTTTTACGCTACATTGCAGGTTTATTGAACAGTGAGGAGAGAAGCAACAAGATTTCTCTAATTCCCGGCAGCAATCCAGGTGAAAATGTTGTTGTTTTAACCCAGCCTCAAGAAATGGTTGCTATGACAACTGATTACCATGACAACCAACAAAACACTCAAGAAATGATTGTATATAACTCGGATCTATTAAACGCTGAACTAAACCATGAGGAAATTAATAGTAATATTGACGATCAGATTCAGGGGGAAAATCCAAACATGACACAATCGTCAGGTTCACAATCAGAGAAAAACGTTGTTAGTATGGATCCAATGATGAGTGATGACGATACTGAACAATCTCACATTGAAGAACCCCACAGTCCAGATAAACTCACCATATGTGAATAGACGCTACAGTCTGGATAAATATGCAATGCATGTATCTGCTACATAATATTTATATTATATATGCAAATGAATAATTTACTTGTGAAACCTATGAATTTTGGAAAATATCGCAATTGGCCCCAAATGATTAAGCAGATGATTAAGATCTAGTTAGCAACCTTCTCCAAAACTGTAGCAATTTTAGAATATTTTGGGAACATAATTTATAATGTTAAATCTATTTTCTAAAAGTTCCATCAAAGATATTTACATTTATGTGATCATTTTTATAAGAATTTCTACATTTCTACACTTTGAATCGATTAGATGTTTGAGATGCTAAAGAATACAATGGTAGGTCAATTTTACATACTGTTTGCAATTTTGTTATCCTTGTCTTTAATTCTGCCTCTTAACAAAAACTGAATGTTCAGTTGTTTTGATTTAACAAAAACTGAATGTTCAATTGTTTTGATTTAACAAAAACTGAATGTTCATTGTTTTGATTCATTGCTGGGAGCAACGAGATAATCTTACAATGTTCGGTATATAAAATACATACATACAAAATAGATGTCATTCTGTAAAAACATTGGCGTTTTGCCATGAAATTTAATTTCATTAATAGTGGCTAACTCAAAAAATGTAAGTAAAGTTTAAAACTAATTGCAAGTTCATTCTTTAAAAGACTAACATTACTGACATTGGCTCATGTGCTTTCTTGTAGGAAATATGTCATTGCTAAGCAATTTGTACTATGTGCTACAATTACAACAACGCTATATATTGGAGTATTACTCATGTTATATGAATTATAAATTGTTAAAAGGGAAAGGTGCAATATCATTTCACACAAATATTCTGTGGATTTGTTGAAATATTCAATAAAATAATTTAATCAAAAATCATATGGATTTTATTGTTTCCTATTATTTATATACATTCAATGTGAGTCAAAAAAGGTAACCCAAACAAATATATGTTTATAAGTCACTCATTCATCATTGGTTTAAAGTCATATTTGGCAAAATTAAACTTTGTTCAATGTCCCTTCAATAAAACAAGTTTCAATGCCGAAACAGGCCAATCTCACTGAACATGAATGTCTACAGTACAACCTTTGAAGCACTGAAACAAGAGGTATGAGTGCAAGATGTTAGCTATTACACAAAATTTTTGTGCTTGTGTAGGGAAAAACCTTGACCGAAACATTCAAGTTTGCCTCCAAACCATTAAATTTTTGGCAATTTTGACTCCGAATGAATTGGAATGGTTTAAAAATGACAATGATTTTATCTGATGCTTTCTTCGTCAAGATCATTCCAATGTATTCTGTTCTATCAATAGTTGTTAAAAGCCCCAAATTACGATAGGAATTAACAAAAACTAAATCATGATTAGCAATAACTTTTCAAAGTCTCACACCTGAAGTCAGCGATCAACTTTCATGGTATTTAGTTTTGGGGGGAGGGGGGGTCAGAGTCAAAACTAGATTTACTTAGTTTCCAATCCGACATCGACCTTTTGATGCCTCCCCTAAACAAGGTTTAATTTTGCCAAGTATGACCTGCAATACTAATAATAAACAGATTGGTTTACTAAGAAGATGTAAACACCTACTCACAATCATGTTTTGCATTCTGTATTTGATCATAATATTTGTCTATGATTAATTGCATATAATGATACGTTGTTTATAGTTATATCATGCATACTTTAATCCATTTTTATGCAGTTCCTGGAAATTTATTGTCAACTTAACCACTTAATCACTTCAATTTCTCTGAATGATCTATTATTGTTATAATTACATGTATGTACTTTCAGTTTTCCTTGAATTTACTTCATCCTATTTCCATGGTAATACCCTTACAATAATTCCAACCCCAAAATATCTCTGGAAACTTTTGCTCCCTCCCAAGAAATCGTCATCTCTTGCCTTACCTTGAAGAGTTTCCAACTGTGAACTGTTGTGGAAGGACAAATTCATTTTGTGTGAGGAAGAGGTAAATGAAAGTTTCATTAGTTCAAAAAATGTTGATTCTTGGCCAAGCAAAGTACATTTTATTGACGTACATTATGAAATCATAACTAGTTATCAAGGCAACTGCACAAAGTAGCAAATCTCAATGAACACTATATTCATGAATTTGTATATGTCTCAATATTATTTACCATCTACTCTACCCTTGATTAAATTGGCAGATATTCCATTTAGGAGTTTCAAAGGCACAAATCGTAAAGATCTAATGATTAATGTAATCATACTTTGAATACGATATTTAGTATAATGAAGTGGTCTCTAAGTAATAGCGAATTCCTGGTCTCGGCAGCCATTTTGAATTTTCTGAGACACGAATCAGAAAAACAATACCTAATTCTGATCTACTCCACAATTCCTTCAATTTGAGTATAATATAGCCATACTTTGAAGAGATCGGAAAATTATTGCGAAGCTTCGATCGTAGGGATTTATTAAAATCAAGATTTTCAAAATCTTATATGGGGGAGGAGTTCAATCATAACAAAATTGACCTCATTTTTCCATAACTCTAAGCCTTTGGACAACATTTCTTAATGTTCATGATTTCATACTAAATCAAGACTGGAGAACAGATCAAGTATTTGGCATATATTTTTTTTATTTCTTTATTTCAAATTCATGTACTGTATATAAGAATACCTCTCAAAAATGAACATTTCTTTCAATTCCTTTTTGGATATTCCTCACTTAAAACACAGCTCTCCATGTGAACAGTTTTAATCAGTCTCAAAAATGTTCACTAAACTTATAGGGAAGATTAATCTAGTGGCAACCCTGCCTCTGTTGTCCATTGTGATGTTATCACCTCTGGGGTTGTGATGTCATTGCTTGTTGTTGGGCTTGGTTCATAGGCACAATCTGAGCACTTTGTCCTTGGTGCTGTTCTATTTTGCGTGCACACTCCACGAGTGTATTATGCAATTCCTTGGCACAGGCAATTTGAGTCTTTACTGTAGCGAGATATTGAGGGTATGACTGATACTGTGGATTCTCCTGATTTTGTGGGTGGTCTGGGGGTTTGCCAAGTGTGACAGGGATAGGTGTATTCTTGCCACTGTCCATATTCTGGTGGTTGCATTCTATGGCTATTCTCTGAAATGATGAATTGTAGATATGGGAAAGACATCAAGAGACAAGGCATTAACATGACAAAATGTCACCACCTAGTTGCTCACAATATTATTAGTTCAATCTTAATCAGATTTGAATTTCTGAGAACTTGGAGATGATTTTGGAAAAAATTGGTCAATTTGAAGCAAGTTGCAAAAGACCTTCTTTGACCCTGAGAAGGTCATTGAAGGTGAAATCTCAAATCTAAAGTCAGTTTTTAACTTATAAATGATTTTGAAAAAAGTGGTCAATAAGAAGCAAGTTGAAAAAGACCTTTCGACCTTTTTTGACCTTGACATTGAAGGTCAAATCTCAAATCAAAAGTCAGATTTGAACTTCTGATAACTTGTAGATGATTTTGAAAAAATTGGTCAATTCAAAGCAAGTTGAAAAAATACCTTTTTGACCTTTAAAAGGTCACTGAAGGTCAAATCTTAAATATGAAGTCAGATTTGAACTTCTGAAAACTTGTAGATGGTTTTGAAAAAATTGAAGTCAGTCTAAACAGTATTTGTTAAGTTATTGTAAGTTGTAAGAATTTGTTACGGACGCCAACTGCCGACCGCCAACCACAACCCACCAATCACCAACCACCAACCGCCGATCGCCATCACAAAAAACCGGAGACCATAAGAATTTTTGGAGGTGACATAAAAACTGCTCTGGTTATACCATCAACCATGCACATACACACATCATGCATACAGTAAAACCTGTCTAAGTGGAACATCTTTAGTACTTCAAAAACTGTTTCACTTATACAGGTTCATTTAACACTAAGTTACACTAAAAGAGGCATTCTATACATCCATGTTTATGCTTTAGCCAATGTTATTCAGTCAATCCTATTTAATTGTATAATTCACTAAAACGAAACATTTTCAGACTTCTAAAGTTTAGCCCTTATTTAATTATGACGAATTAATGAGTAAGGTTACTTCAAAATTTTTAAGTTTATATCACCAATATTAAGTTGAGAGCACATGTACTTACAAGGTTCAATTCAATTTGGTCACATATGGAATAGAAGTCTTCTAGTTTCTGTTCAAATCTCTGTTTGTTTTTCTGATTTTCTTCACTAACTTTTCTGAAAATATAACACATCAGGCATTTTGAATACCCAGTAAGGTATGGAGAACATATGATAAAAAAATTATGAATTGTCAGTCAGTAACAAAAAAAGCCATCACAGAATGTATTAAGCATCACAGGACTGGTTCTCAATACCACTTTTGGAACACCTCTAGATATACAATGTAAATTGGTTACTTTACAGGAGTAACTGAATATGGATTTTATTCTGAGGGGAAATATGATATGAATTGAAGAATTAACATCATATCAACATGGAAAATGTCATTATTTTTTGAGATTATAACTGACCAGGCCCGTAGCCAGGATTTGCCAAGGGGGGGATTCAGTTTTCGAAAATTTCCTGGGGGGTTCACATTTGACAATTTCGGCCCAAATATGGCTAAAATCACTTGAGAAGTGGTCAAGGCCAGGGGGGGGGGTTGCCCGAACCCTGCGAACCTCCCCCTGGCTACGAACCCTGCTGACTACATGTACAAGTTCATAATCAGCAGTCCAAAAGATTTGAACTCATATCTTGATCATTTCTTGTGATATATTGCAAGCAGTTATTCATTGTAATGTATACATTACAATGAATGACTGCTTGCAATATCTCTGTGTTTTATTGTATTTAAGGTTGATCACTCCACTAATTGTTTACCTAATTAGAATCCAACTTTTTGAAAGTACCTATCAGTATATGTAAGCTTTGACGTAATTTTTGTCTGCTCTTTATAAGGACACATGCAACTTCAAACTGTAATCATCGTTTCAATATTTACTAGGCAATTGAATTCAAATAAAAAGCATCATATTCGCAACACATGAGACTTCTAAATGGTTTGTGTTTTCACATTTGAAACTAAAAGTTAAAAAATCAAGAAAATCTACCACATTGTCGTAATTTAGTGAAGTGATCAACTTTAACAGAGCTACATTGCTTTCGTTACGGTGTGTGAAAAATCAAACAATATCAAATTATTTATTGGTCTACACACTTGATTTTATTATTTTCAAGTACCACATAATAATCCATATAATATAATATATATTAAATAAAACAATCATCAATTAAATTCTAAAGTGCATCCGATCTAAATACCTCATTTTCTAGAGCTCATGTCAAAATGGCTTGGGCCCCTACAAATTAGTTGTCTGTTTAGCATTACAGTAAAACCTGTCTAAGTGGAACACCTTTGGAACCTCTAATAAAAAGTGTTCCACTTGGGAGGTGTTCCATTTATAGAGGTTCATTTAACATTAAGTCAGTTGATCTTGAGACTCTGAAAAGTGTTCTACTAACAGAGGTGTTTCACTTCTAGGTGTTCCACTTTACAGGTTTCACTGTATTTCACTTCTAGAGGTGTTCCACTTTACAGGTTTCACTGTATTTCACTTCTAGAGGTGTTCCACTTTACAGGTTTCACTGTATTTTAGAGGATTTTAGTCTGTTGTTTTTTATTCAATAATTGCAAAAATACATGTTACTTGTAACAATGGAGTTCTGACTAGGTAGGTAATGCTAAACCGACATTGAATTTGTAAGGGCCATATAGTCTCTTTAACCTGGCAAAAAGGAGCTAGGGGGAAATTCAAAAATATTAAATCCATGAAAAATTGATACAAGTACGTCTAAATCATAGCCATGCATTTGGAGGTTTCACCAGATCATTTACAAAATAACATTCTCTATTAACAGTACTAACTAAAGTGCTTTAGTACTACTATCTAGTAACTAGGAAAGAAGCACACCAGCCACCTGATCATAGTTCAATATTTGCCATATTACTTAACTACTGTCTAGTATATAAATGATGGGATTTTCTTGGTCTTGCTATTATTTTTTTATCTAATAGACCATCAGCATCTATATTATCATTGTTTAAACTAATAACTATTCTAGTAAATGTATATTTACAGTAATAAATTTGCATTCCTCATCTAATAAGTTTCATGTTAATTACTGTACATCATTTTTATGGATTTTTCAAGTTCAATATTTAGCACAAGGGTTGTGTTAAGGTATCACCAGGAGAGAAATCAAATATATATCAGCTTAGACCTTTTACATGTAAGCTTGTAAAATTCCTCTCATTAGGTCCACCTTAAACATAGAAAAAAATTAAAGCTTTAACATTAAGTGGATATTTTTGTAGTTCTTTGTTAATCATATTTGAATCATAAAAAACCTGATTCTATGTTTACATTTAGGCAAATACTTCATAACCCTAGATTTTATTTCACACATTGCCATTTGAGAAGACCTCAACTTCTTAACAGTTTTTTTTATTCTAACAATAATTACAAAGCATATGTGGCCATACAGTATATTGCCTTTGGGTTAGGTTTCAGGTCATATATTGCACCATAAATCATATATAAGTACCTATATATTTGAATCAAGATCTAGGATTACACTTGATGGTCTGCATTTATCCATCTAGATTTACAGGCTTCAGTTGGTCACCTCAATGTTGAATGCCTTCGTGGACTCCCATTAATAACTTGGAAGTCAAAGATGAGATACAATATTGTTTTAAACAAATATTACATTGGTTTATATCATAGCAATATTTTCTTTAGCACCATACTTGCTATTATTACACATAGGAAGGCGTGCATCAATATAATGCACAATTAAACAAAGTACATGGTATGTAAAAGTTTAGGAGGTATAGTTCAATTTCTTAAGGCTAGAATCATATCTCTACTGTAATGACCCTACATTCCTGTAGAGTTCAATTACCTTGGTTTTCACAATGTTTCTTTCAATTGCATACCCAAGAACTAAAAACAATTGTTCATCTAATGAGTTATGAGAAAAATGGCTTAGTTGTATACTAATCACTTTCATTTTTTCAGTTCTTTTTCAATTGCCTCTTTAGCAACAGAAACTGCAACCTCAGCTAAAGCATCCAGATTATGTTCAAGCTCGTCATGAGCTTTCAATGCAGCATTTCTAGAAAAAGATTTATCACAATGGCGACATTTAAATGGTTTCTCACCAGAATGGATTCGTTCATGCGTTTTTAATGAGCTAGGTCTTGTAAAGCCATGACCACAAAAGTCACACTTGAAAGGCTTGTGATTCATTTCGTGTTCTTTAAATTTATTTCTGTCATCAAAATGTATATCGCAATATTTGCATGTGAATCCTTTAGACGTATGTATCCTCCGCATGTGCACTTTCAATGCATACCCAGTTGTAAAGTCTTTTTCACAGCATTCACACTTAAAAGGCTTTTTACCGGTATGAATCCTGTCATGCTTAAAGAGAATACTCCGATCACTGAAGCTCTTATCGCAGTGTTTACACTTGAAGGGTTTTTCCCCAGTATGGATCCTTTCATGAACTTTCAACATATTTCCTCTTGTGAATTTTTTGTCACAATATCGACATTCAAATGGCTTCTCTCCAGTGTGCATCCTCTCATGGACTTTAACTGATCCACTTGTTGTGTATCCCTTACCACAGAATTTACATTCAAATAAGTTGACACCTGTATGTATTCTCTCATGGGATATCAAAGTACCAACAGTAGCAAAGCATGTACTGCAATGTTTGCATTTGAATGGCTTCTCTCCAGTATGTATTCGTTCATGAACTTTTAAGCTGTTAGTCCTTGGGAAGCTTTTATCACAATAGCTACACTTAAAAGGCCTTTCTCCTGTATGTGTTTTTTCATGAGCTAATAAATTACCTTTAGTGGTAAACTTTTTCTCACAATACTGGCAGGAAAATGGTTTCTCTCCGGTATGAATCCTTTTATGCTCTTTCATAGCGCAGATAAAATTGAATTTTTTCCCACAGTAATTACACTCATATTTCATGTTGCAATTTGGTCTTATTTTTATTTTGCTGAGTTTCTCACGCTGAGCCTTGGTTTTCTTGCATTTACTGGCCTTTGTTTGGGTGAATGTTGGCAGAATTTCAGGTTCATTTTCATTCATATTGTAACCATCAACAGATTTTTGTTTTGCGTGGCTTTCTGGAAGATCTATATTAGATTGAGTGTCATTACCATTATCACTGTCCTCATGATCAGGATCTTCATCCAAGTCATCTGCATCTTCATCTTTGGCATCATCACAATCAGCACCATTTTCTTCAATTTCTGTAGTATCAGATTCACCACCATCAGTCTTTCTTTCCTTGTCATCATTGTCCAATGCTTGATCATTGTTTGCACACGTGTCATCATTGTGACATATATCTGCATCTTGTTGATTCCCATTATCATCAATTTTGTTTGTATTTAGTTTTTCTGAATGGTCATTTTCATTCCCAAGTTCCTTCAGCTTATGTTGTGTCTGGGAATGATAATATAAACGATTTCTATATTGAGGATTCAGGTACTGTTGAGGATAAAATGGCTTGAGATACAAACTTTCCCCCTGATTATCTTTATAACTCAGATTTTTATATTTAGGATCACTGTTTTGGAGTTCAGAATGTTGTGTATCTCTATATGAGTATTGGTTCTTTTGGTAGTTGGAATCCTGTGTAATTTTGTTTCTTCTACCACCACCAGGATGGTCCTTATCATGACTTGTTGAATCAGGCTCCATTATCTGGAATAGAAATATCCCTTTCAAAAGTTTTCATGTTTCAAATGCTGTTATTTCATGCTTAAATTGCAATTTCATGCACATCTTAGTAGTCAAATTTGATGTACCAGGGTACATCATTTTATGATTTTGCTGATCTGAATAATATGTAAGTTGATCATGCTTTCTTAATTTTCATTAATAAATTAATAGAAAAGTTTTGAAAGGGATGAAGGTATCGTTTCATACCCCTGACGCATAATTATGTCTTCCATAAGAACATAGAAAAAATTTAAAACAAACAGTACTTATATATTTGCAAATGCTCCACATATAGTAAGTACAATATTAAAAAAAATCACACACACTAGTTGATGTTCTGATACTTAAAATGTATATAATTCTTTCATTTCTCCTTATCGGGTACCATCATCCTTTTTTAAACTAATCTCATTATTTCATGTTGATTATAATTAATATGTGAAAAAAAATTCTTATTGATCTTATATGATTTTTGACTAGATTTGTATATTTCGACCTCCCTCCCCTAATGATGGATTGTATAATATATTTACTTTGGTACTCTTACATTAAGACAATTATCAGCTCTTGTTAAAATTCTGTACTTACACTGTACTGTCTATCTGTGAATTTCTGAAGAAAATTTGGGCGGCCACTTTCATTAGATTCTGAAAAAAGATTGAAAGGTATAGAAAATGGTATTCTTGTACATGTAATTCAAATAATTTTTTTTTGCAAAATGACTCCAGACTAATTTAGGTAGTAAATATTATGTTTGGAACCACTTTGGACACCCATCCATCACTCACAATTCTCCTTTTCGCGGTTCGATCTTCAACCGAGGAGACAAGGAAGTCTTTCCTTGTACGAACAAAATATTACCCAAGATGCAATTCACGGGGGAACAAATTCTTACCTCCTTGTTTTTCCCTCATTGGTTTGGCATGTGGATTTTCATACCTATTTTACAATCACTATGTTCAACTAGACAACAGCAACGCCAAAGCGTAGCAAATCCCATCGAACAACCATGGCTGGTATTTTTACAAACAAAGTATATAGCAAAAATGGCAGCCATTTTTCAAAATGGCCGCCTTCTACGAAAAGTGTCATTGGACAGTGTGCCATGCTTATTGTATTCACATACCAAATATGAACAAAATCGCTCCACTACTTTTCGAGTTACAGCAAACATCGTAAAATCACAAGTAAAGGCCGCCATTTTTCAAGATGGCTACCATGGGCTTCTTTGATATCTACATTTCTAGCTTTATTAATGTCCTACATAATTCTTTTACATTTAAAACATATTACTATTACAGTTTTACATATTGCACCTAATTTACTGTAAAATCAGCACTAAAATGGCCGCCATTTTTTAATGTGCAGTCATTTTGAAAATCGCCTTTCGAGCAGGACAAAAAACAATATTTCCGATGGTACGTGTCATTGTTTTAATTAATTTTTTTTGTATAAGAACAAAATTGTGTTATTAGATTGATTTACATGTAGTACTTTCGGTTCGCGCAAATAGCTACGCGAAATGCATCTTGGAAAAAATCGCCCAATCAAATTTTGTCCTTTTGGGGTTTTCTAAGTACATATTTTCCTACCTTCTCAAATAAAGAGTGAACCGCGAAAAGGAGAATATTGTGACTTTTGCTTTGTATCACGTATCATTACATAATGAATCTTGGGACTCCCATACATGATGAAGACAAGAACTGCCATGCCATGTAACAGGACAAAAGTTTACTTGAACTAAGCTTAAATCCATCTTTAGTCTTTACTTTTTTAGGCTAGAATGATTTTTGGTCAATGTTGTTGATTTTTGAGATAAATCTGTCTGAAATCATTGTTCACAAAATGCCAATAAATAGGCTATTTGGGACTCAGGAATCTTCGAGTGTAAGACAATTGTATAGAATTCTTATTCATATATATATACGTACAGCCAATGATTCTTTCAAGGCAGGGATATACAGCTTAAACTTAGAAATAGGATCCACTTCCGACGAACTTTGTTGAGGAACTGCTGCCATTTTACTTTGGGGAAATCCCTTTGACCCCTATGATGACGTCATTTTAAATGAATCTGCCCAAGGCCTCTGTTAGAGAGACATTTCTTATTTGATCCGTCTTATAGATCTATTTGTATTGCACCTAAACAACTTATGCAAAATAGAATGATTCAACTGTCTCACTATTCGAGAAAAATACATGAGCTACCTTTTTTTATTTGACCTTGACCTGGTACCCCGCCATTGTTAGGGAATTCCCATGCGTGAGAAGAAATGCACAAAAATCAAGTCTTTTTATTAAGATATTAGCTTACATGTAGACTTGATCAAAATTATTGAAATAGTAGATCATATCTCACAATGCCACCTACAGTCCAGTCTGGAAAGAGGTCGGATTCCGACCGCAAATCGAGAGGGACCGGCGAAAAAAGGTAGGCATTTTTGAATTTATTTAACTTATTTTTCCACAGATCAGATGCTAATCCATTTGGCATTTCTTTTGTTTTTGGCATTTCATTTTTATTTTCAGTTCAATTTCCTAAATGATATTTATTATAGAATTTGACTTCAACCCATTTTTTGACAAAGATGATCAAAATTGATCATGTAGAGCAATGGGGTGTTAGTCTATATCCATAGACTAAACGAAGTGTCTGGAGTACCTTAAAATTTAAGGCTCTTTAGCCAAAATGCTAAAGAGCCTTAAAATTTAAGGTTATTTAGCTGTGAACATAGTGTTTTGGCTAGAGAGCCTTTGTGTTTATAATCCGTGTTTATATTGTTTTTTATTGAAGTTTTCGTCATCTAAACAATAAAACAACACTCTCGAAAGTTTTTCAACCCAGAATGCCACTTAAAAATTTCACACATGTATATCACTATAGAGTTGCAAAAAATGTTGTCAATCATGTAAAAACACTCTGGTATAGTGGTTAGGGTGCTCGCTTTCCACTTCTGCGGCGTGGGTTCGATTCCCGACCTGAGCACCTTTCATTTTGAATAACAAGCCGGAAGTTTGTTCTCTGAGGTCCGGAAATTATGTACACAATTTTTTCTAGAATTCTTGGGCTTGCTCCATCGCTCAATCATCAATGTTTAATGTAATTAATCACTTGTATTGGCTTTGCTATAGTCACAAGAATACAGGGAATCCCATTTTATGATGGCAAAAGTATGATGAAGACCTGGGGATGAAAAGATCAGCACATCTTGACGCAGTTTATCGTGTATACAGGGACATCAGCCCAGGGACATCACAGAATTCACTTCCAAATCTATTGCCCATTAGATTTCAATGCTGATTTTAGAATTTTTCACGTGACGAGATATTTTTGCATAATATTTTCCTCACAAGTGAGAATTTAAGCACATCGATGAGAGAGCACAAAGAAAATTTACAGTACAAGAGGTGAACTGTCGAGGAAACACTGAGAGGAAACAGCGGCTTATGCAACACAACAACAACATTTTTATCCTAGCCTCCAATCCAGACATTGACAAAATTGAAAAGATACAAAGAAGGGCCACTAAAATGATCACAGGCATGTCCGATCTTTCATATCCAGACAGACTGAAGCAACTGAACCTTTTCTCCATGGCCTACAGGAGGAAAAGAGGAGATTTGATCCAAGTCTACAAGCTCATGAACAATATAGACAACATTGATTACTCCCTATTCTTTACTCTAAACCACAGTACAACAAGAGGTCATAGCCAGAAATTTTACAAGGACAGATCAAATCTTGCACTAAGACAAGGTTTTTTTAGCCAACGGATTGTCAACGAATGGAATAATCTCCCTGAAAAAGCAGTTTCAGCCCAGACACTAGATGACTTCAAGGCAAAGATTGATGCCCACTATTACCCAGACATGAAGTAGAGTACAAGCGAGTAGGATGACCAGTTTACACTCACTAGGTTTTATTTTGGTTCAATGTCAGTTTTTATGAATCACAAGTCCCTAACAAATTACCAGTACAGTTATAAGTCTTTGGGAAATAAAATACCAAAGCAGTTCTTTGAAATTATATGTCTTGAAGGGAGGAACCCACAGGCACACGCCTTAAACTCCTAAAACGATGATGATGATGATGATGATCAATAAATTTCTATATACATCAAAATCTTTACTAAACGGACGTTGCGATTTATAGTGGATAAAATGGTAAAAATAACATTTTTCTGGCTATACTGTATACGTGATTGCCTGGTTTTACACCTTCTCTGGTGAACCAGAGACATATATTTTCGATATATACATGAACGGTCTGTTCAAAATCGATGTTTGACCCTTTAAAAAGCCAAATTTAGACTGAGGATTGAAAAGGTTCTTTTATTTCTCTCGGTAGACCGGAAGTAAATTTATGAATCGAGCAAAAAGTGATAATGCTGATTTCAATGCTGTTTTTAGGATTTTCCATCTGACAAGATATTTTTTCAAAACTTTTTGCAAAAACTTCCGCTCAAAAGTCTGTTATGTATCAACGATTTTAGGCTAGCATCAAAGTCATCAATAAATGTGACTCTCAGACATTTTTACGTGATTGCCTGGTCTTACACCTTCTCTGGTGAACCTATTTTCGATATATGCATAAAAGTCCATTCAAAGTCAACGTTTGAACCTTTAAAAAGCCAAATTTAGACTGAGGATTGAAAAGGTTTTAGAACGTTTATTTTTCCCGGTAGACCGGAAGTAAATTTATGAGTCGAGTAAAAAGTGATAATGATCTGTTTATGAAGTGGGGAAGTCAAAACAGTACTAATAGAAGTCATAGTAAGCATTCAAAGATTATTTAAAACCTCCATTTAAAATTAAATCGACGGCAAAATTGAATTGACTGAAATCTTTATATGTTTTCTTCTTCATCTTCTTTGCGGACCTCAGAGAAGACACTTCCGGTTTAATAATCAGTGATTTTATCGATCAAAAAATATTTATTTTTGAAGAAGAATTTTTGAATTTGTCCGATATCTGCTAGTATGGTATGTATATTTGTGCTGATTTGTTAAATTACAAAATAGGTTGGGTATAGAATATGTCAAAGTCGTTTGATCTTGTCCCAGAAGCAATATTTCATCATTTCTGTCGCCTGGAATTCCTTTAAGGCTCTCTAGCAGAATTGGCTATCAAAATGCTAAAGAGCCTTAAAATTTAAGGCTCTTTAGCCGAAATGCTAAAGAACCTTAAAATTTAAGGCTCTTTAGCATTTTGGCTAGAGAGCCTTAAATTTTAAGGCTCTCCAGGCGCGGCCTAGACTAAATTCCCTGAAAATTCTAAGTTCTTCGCCAGCTAAAATGTCACTTGACTTTTTTGCAAAAAAGCTTCCAAAAAGTAACAGTCGCATTAATTCACATTGTCCTACTTACAAAATGATCCACCGCCTAACTTATGCACCATCGAACTCGGTAATATTATACACGTAACTATTAATTACCGTATATTCCCATAGAAAACTGGGCTTGCTTTTCAACATTTCAAGCGAAAATTCTCTACAGAGCTTTTGTTTTTCTGACGTAATTTCTTCTAAGAAATCGGTGACGTGATAGGTTCAGTTCATCTTATTTCGAAAGTGGTGTCATCTATTTAGAATATTTATTTTCATCTTGTCCAGTCCTATATACAACCTGCCCTTATCCTTTTCGCTTGTAAAACCGCGTAGTAATGTTGAAATTATGGAATGTCTCTGAGAGTGGCGACATGTCTGCATCTCTACCATCTTGCGTTTGACACCCCTCGTTTTGGGCGAGTCCAAGTAAACCGCACATTCGGGTGATTAGAAAATAGACATTTTTCAAGAAAATTCGAGCGGTGAGACAGATTACTCTGGTCAAACTGAGTTTTTGACGAAATTATGAAAGAATCAATAAAAGGTAAGTGATATACACTGTTGCTCATAAATATGGAATATTTTTTAGATATGAACTGTTCGATGGAATTTCACTAAATGAAAACATTTTGATGAAAAGGACGGGTGTCATTTAGAGCCCTTTTTAGCCCCAAAAGATATCTGATAATAATGCATATAATATTGAAGAAAAATCATTTGTGCTTTATAAAAATACAATTTCAGCGAATTTTGACCTTTGATGTTCACACAACAGTCATTTAAAGATCATATACCATTTTTGGTGTTTTTACAAAAAAATCTTTATTTATTGTTGTCTAAGTCAATAATATGTAAATATTAACCAATTTAAATATATTAAAATGTAATATATGAAATACTGAAGAAAAGATACAATTAAAATTATTTTCATGGAAAGCACATAGGGCAATATTGACAAAATGCAAATGCTATTTTGGTAGGTTCTGGGCTAGCAATGGGTACATTTCAACTGTGACTGTAATGGATTACTATTGACTTTTATCAACATCACAGGGCAATATTTAAGCAACTTAAATACAAGGAATATCAAAGATTTCCTCTCATTTCTAAAACAAGGAACAAAAGCATGAATTCAAGGAAAATAAATGATGGCCTGTGTCAATTATATAACATATGAGAAAGTTGTGGCACAGTAAAGGATATGTATAGGATATCATATGATTTCAAATGATTTTATCTTTATCTCCGAGTTGATATCAATATATTGCCAAGTTAGCATAGCGAATTAGCGCAGATATTGATATCAATGAGTTGGATTAACACAATCTCACGAAAATGCATAGGATGTTCTATTTTTCCCATAGTTCACCTCTAAAACTAAACAAAGCATATCAAAACATCATCCATTCATTTATTCATCCCCGTGATGTCATGAAATCACTATGTAACAAAACACATCATATTGGTGTTATTTTCAAATCCCTGCCAAAATGTGATATCTGTGAAATATTTTCCGTATTCCACAGATATCACTTTTTCCACGCATTTGCAAAATATCATAAATATGTTTTTATGTTACCTAACAGAGCGGAACAGAGTTCAACTATGGGATAAAGAATAGAAAATAGGTACATAATTGAATTACCACTCCAAAAATATTAAATATGAGGGTTTAAAGAAAGAATATTGAATATGAGATTCAAAAAGACAAGTGGCCTCATGTCTCACGTTACCCAAACCCCAGATCCTTGATGTCATATACTTGTATACTGTATATCAATGTTATTTACTGGGAGGATTGAATATGGAGTGTTTAGCAATGGTCAATACGATATTTCCAGATAGATATTTTTCCCTAGAAGCGGAACCCAAACTCAGTCATGACATAGAAGCTAACTTTTGCAATTAATAGAAACTTGTTTTTTATTATATTTTTGTGTTCTATATTTGAGATGAAATAATATGAGATTCATTTCTACAAGAGGATGGAACGAATGTGAACTTGTATATTGAACTATACTCCTTTTCTGATTAAAAAGAACAACATTTTATCCAAGCCAATTAAGAAAACCAAGGCCAATGAGTGTAATTTATGCCCAGTTAAACTAACACAATAACAACTTTTTGTCTGGACTCACTTATTATGTAAGAATGAATAGTATTACTGTTTACTGCATTAAATGTCAAGTATACTATCTGTATTTAATTTCAAATGCCTATCTCACTTATCGAAGGTATACAAGAAATGTTATTTTGAAACAAATTCAGCACAACCAAAACCATGTCCACATAATATGACAAATCCAAGATGGCTGCCATGATTTTAGATCCATGCACATGTGAAGAAGTTAGAAATACACATGGTCCACAAGTTCCATCCCCAATAAAATGGGAAGTTTAAGGTTTTCACACATATCAACTCTATTCCTATATACTTTATATTTGTGGTAAGGCTTGTGATCTAGGTAAACTTAGCATGTTCATGTACCTCCTATCTTCTGAAGCTAAAAACAGAAATAGTGACTTCAATTGAGAAAAATGAATCTTATGGGCTCCATATACATTTTGAGTGGCTGTCCGGCTTAAGTTAGATACTACTGATAATCTGAGATTGAAAATTATGTCAAGTTTAGTCCTCAGCCTCTCATAACCGATAACTTCGAGGTAATTGTGTTGTTACTGCAAAAACCTCTATTTCTTCATCACAAATCTACCATCTTTTGCATCTGTCAAAACCCCTCATTTCATGTTAATTTTCAGACTTTTGCTTGTGCCATCATTAAATATATATACTGTAAAACGGGTAATTTTGACACCGGGAAATTTTAGCGATTTTTCAATTTTAGGGGGTTTTAGCGTGGGAAATTTTAGCGAAATGAAGATTAATCTTTAAAAAATCAAATTAGCGAAATGCATTAGAAATTTTATCATTCATGGCAGAAGAATGAATAACGGACATGACAGAGGAATTATCAAAATGTAAGACTTCTATTGCACATGTTATAATACTATTTCACTGATGGATGGCTATTTATCCTTCAGATATTGAAAGAAACATACGATTTAAAAATATTTACCTTTTTCAAATTACAAACCGGAAGTCGAGCACTGAACGAAAAGCTCCTTAAATACTAGTATTCATGTAGTTTCCCGGGAATTTGCAAATTTTAGCGCCCGTTTTATTTTAACCCCGGTTTACTTTAGCGAATTGAATTTTTAGCGAAACTATAGCGATCGCTAACAATCGCTAACAATTACCCCTCGCTAACAATACCCGTTTTACAGTATTCAACTTGTTATTCAGAATATTTGAAGAACTTTTCATGAGGTTTTTTATTTTCCCACTTTTGAAAAAATGACTAAGTCCGAGAATGGCCTCTTAATGGCATGTCCCCTTTGTAATGTGTTCTCATTCCCTCATCAGTTTTGCATATAAAACTGATTGGTATGAAAAGTTAAAACGTTTATGGTTGATTAAACTTGTATTCACTCAGGTGACCCCATGACCTCATGATATTACTAAGTTGAAAGAGGTGTCCAAACCTTCGTTGTAACCATTGTGCACATTTTATAATCATTTAATTTAGCGTTGGGAGAGTTTTTAGAAGGCATGCCCCATAGAATAAGTGAAAAAGAGCATGGCAGGTCATATGGATGGCGCTCTCTAGCATGAAACAAACTGCCATTGCCAGGACCCTAGGGGTGTGTCAGGAACAGTCTCTAAAATTCTGCAGTGGTACCAAAGGCACTGGAATGTAACTCCAGGTCACAGCAATAGTAGCCCTAGAGAGAAAAATGTAAGAAAAGACCACCACCTGCTGCATTTATGTCATCAAAATCGCTTAAAGTCGACCAGTAGTCTACGAGATGAATTGCTGTCTCACCTCAAAACCTGTGTTCCAGAGCTATAGACAACCAGTGATTTCTTTAGAATGGATGCAAGAGCATAAGACCTTTAAAGAAACCACAACTGACTGATCATAACAAAGAAAGGTGCCTTCAATGGGCAGGAAAGCACCAAAACGTTGGACATAATCTTTTGTGTCACAGAAGAAATAAGATGTGTCCTCCTCAAAGTTGATAATTGTGTTCGTTTCTGTCGTAGACCAGGGGAAAGAGACAATAAGGACACTTACTGATGTGGCAGTCCACGAAGGTGACGCAATCTTGGACAAACCTACTGAAAACACTGAAATCTGAATAATTGAAATATTCATTCGCGGACGTCATAGAATGCACTTCCGGTTTTATAATCATTGATTTTTTTTATATCTGCTAAAATATACATACGCTAAGCTCTTGTACTTGTGTTGATTGTTAAATTACAAAAAAGGTAGGATAAAGAATATGTAAAAGTCATTTGATCTTGTCCCAGAAGCAATATTTTGTTATTTTTTTGTCTAAATGTATTCAGAGACCCTCCCATACTACTGATAGTATAGTCTGAGAGCTCTTAAAGTGTTTTAGAAAAAAATCTGACATTAGTCTAAATCAACATTCTTGTCACATTATTTGTGATACACATAAAAACTGGATACAAAAAAGGATAGAAAGTCACATACCTATTTGAAATGCGTAATGTGATTAAATTAGCAAGTATTAAAGTATTTTGAAAAATAAACTAAAAGAAAATTTCCGCTCTCACATGTCTCAAAGTTTGAGATATCAAAGGTCAAACTCTACTTGGTAAAAAGGAGAAAGAATGCAAGTTAAATGTTTGGTTTTCCTTTTTTTGCACAATCTAACTCTGAAGGCGTTCTACTAAGATTTATTGAATCTAATACTTGTTCAAATTCTTGATTCACAACAATTGATTTTTGAATAATGTGATGCCTTAAATTGTTTGATTTCTGGTTTGAATTATTGAATACCTTGAATTATTGAGTTTGTTCATTGCTCAACCAGTTTATATATTAATTGATTGAATTTATTATTTGTTCAACAAGTTTATATAATCAATTGATTTAAGTCCATTGTTTGGTAAGACAGTGATCTTCCCAGCATTAAAGCAAGTAGGCAGAAGAACACCTACCTGAGATTTTGCAAACAGGCTTGCACCCACCTGAAAATTCATTTGCACCCACTTGAAGGTTAGAAAAATATATATTATATATGGCATATTTTGATCAATTTTGGTCTGATTTGTGAAAATGAAAACTTTGCATCAACATGAGAAAACATTCTATGGAGAGTTCTGTAAGCTCTTTGTTGATTTAGTTCATGACATTGATCAGTCAACCATTTGATTGGATGAGTCCATAGTTTGTCGTGCTTTCTCTGCATTTTGCGGAGCTACTTCACCCTCAGTTTGGGCCTGAGACATAGTTGGGGTGTACGTAGGTGGTTCTTGTATAGTTGTATTGTATCCTGGTGCAATGTTAATGGTATAAACTCCTGAAATTATTTGATTAATCATTTCAAATTATCTAATTGCTGAAGTCACATAAAATTGCCTAAAGCTATGAAATTCAAAATATATAATTGCCTGGTTCATAGTTTATTCAACTTTGAATCAGAATTATGCTTATTATTTAAATATTTTAAACATTTACCCGGTTGGTTTGGCACGTGCATTTGTGGTAACGATGCAGCATTGATTGACTGGCCAGGCACAATGATCACATGCTGTCCATTTGTGGTGATAGCTGGCACGCCTTGTTGTTGTCCTTGAGTAAGGATATGGCAAATATTTTGGGTCTCTTGTGCTGTTGGTACCTAGGAATATTTGTACTGAAAACTTAACAAATCTTTTAGCAGTTTCTTGAATTTCTTATATGAATAATGTGATCTTTCTAACTTGTGCTGTACTTGTAATATAATTTTCCAGCTTACGGTAGGTAATACCAGATTCCTGTATGTATCTTGTTCTCGTAACGTAATATCCCTTTATTTACTTTTTATTGACTCCTACTGCAATAGCTTATCAAGATACTGGTTTATTTTTTACATTTGCATTTCCAAATATATCTCAAAAATTATAATTGAAAGAAACTGAAGTCAGGTGCTTGTCAACTTACATTTGCTTTGCTGCAACAACAGACGGCCTTACAGCAGTAAGCAGAGGATATGATACTCAGTACTGCCTGGATTATAGATGTAGCCACCAGTAGTGCATTGATAGCAACTCGGAATTCCTAAATTAAAAGCACAAATAGAAATAATTCGATTAAATTAATTGTATAATTTAGTACTTTCTGAGATTTTGATCTAGCATCAGGATATTTTTAGCCCCGCTAACTACGGGTCAGACTGAAGAATTTCCTAATGAGGTTGATTACTAGAAAGCCCATGAAATGGCCAAAGCTACCAAAAAGACTTTCACTGATTTTGAAGGATTTTAGGATTTCCTCGAAAATGGCTAAAATAGGGAATTTTAAAATTCTGAGAAAATGGAAGAAAGGCCTACCCGGTTTTCGCAATGGTAGTAATTATATTTGATATTATCATAGCATTGATATTCATAGTTCAGCCAGGGAACATCTTGTGCCATTCCTAGTGAAGAGATGACTAGTAGGGTAACACAGGCAACAGATGCCATCAATATGGACAACACCATGAATATGACGATCTAGAATACAATAGCAATACTTAAATTAAACACTCAAACAAAATCCCGACACAATATTTTGAAAAATCATTTTTAGCTATGTTAGTATACAATTCTCAGTTGACAATTGATTCTTTCATAAAATTCTTTTGAAAAACATAAACAAATTGAGTAATTGAAAATAGAATGATTAATGGAAATAACAATCTCACCAGACATTTTGATTTTGATCTTCCTGCAGCAATACCGATTGACCCAGTCAGTATAAAGAACTACAAATAAAAAAGCATTCACAAATAAATATTGTACATGTATAATATGCAATAATGGGGAGATCAATAAGTTCTGAGAAAGGGGCAATTAGATTCATGATTTTGTGAATTTTTATATCAAATTTTTACAGGAAACATATATTTTATGTGTAAATTCTAAAGTTTGCAAATCTTGGATTGAGACCTAATGCCTTAATTGAAGATGTACATGTAATCTTAAATTATTAAAGAATGTTAAAACAGAAAAAGTTGCAGATACTTTTCTATTGGCTATACACTGTACTTACCAAAAGCCCACACCAAATCCCCGTACCAATTCGAAACATTGATGATCTCAATGCAATAGCTGTACCCCCGAGATTGATAGATACGATCCCAAACCCAATCATTATGAATCCTATGATTATTGCTGCTTTCCCATTGAACTGTTCAACTCGACCACCAGGACGCTTGGGTTGAATGGTGTCAATATCTTGTTGTCGCTGATAGCCACCCCTACCTCTTTGTAGTTGAATCTGGTTTTGCATAGTTACGTCCTGAAACATATATTTTATTTTGTGAGTTATCAAAGATATGGCCAATTTGTGTGTCTTGGGTAAACGACTGGTAATTACAAAAATCAACACAATTCTCTACTGAGTGTTCTCCACAGGACTTTTTGTCAAGTGGGTGCAAAATTCTCATTATCACAATTCAGACCAAAATTGGTCAAAATATGCCTATTTTTCATGTTTTTTCTCATTTTCAAGTGGGTGCAAATGGATTTTCAGGTGGGTGCAAGCCTGTTTTTAAAATCTCAGGTGGGTGCTGCGCCTACATGCTTTAATGATGGGGAGATCACTGCCTCTTCTATGATTATGAATTAAATTGAAAACATTGTATTTGAGAAATGAAAAATCCAAAAAAGTAAGAATATAAAGCATGGATTAATGTATTACTCTTACCTTTTACTTCAATGTCTTATAAACAAAGATTTCACCATTAACTGAAATAATGATAGTTACAGTCATGAGATACAGTGTTTAAACAAAGACTATCTCAAGTTTATGACTAGAAGCACTAGAGATATTTCTAAAGTCCAGTTATTCTGTAAATTATACTAGAGATAAAAGTCTTTGAAAGTAACTTTGTTTCAAGAACAGTTCGTACATTTTGCCAAAAAATCAGATTTGTCACACCTATTTACTGCAACCAATGTTTTTAACTTTTGCAGTCTATGTTTTGTACAATTGTATATTTAACTGTATTAATGTGAAATAAAGAGAAAAAACTTTTTTCTGACTATTTCATGATAAGCTTTGATTTGTAAGGTTATTACATGTACTTGTACGAAGAGTAGCTTCTTCTTCTTCAATATTCAAATGAATTTCAAGGAGGATTGGATCCCAGAGTGCAACATCGATATTCTGTCCTATATGGGCATGTCGTGATACAAAATTTGAATTCAAAGAGCCGCCATTTTTGTTCACTTCAACAATTGAATCGTAAATTTTGGTCTTATTTCCTGACGAAAAATTCCAACACTCACAAGAAATGATTGAGATCCTCCTTGAATGAATTTTAGACATTTCTGCATATGAAACCTTGTAAGACTTTTCATATTTGATTAGGTTTAAAGCTGGACTACGCTCCGAAACGCAATATGTTGACATATATTGTTTTTACATTTTCAAGCTCTAATATAAAGTTTATGTAAATAAAAATTGTTTTTTTCTGCGTAATATCAAAGAACAATCATTTAGTTAAAAAAATAAAAAGGCTAGTGCGGGATTCGAACCCGGGCCTCCCGCGTGCTCAGCGAGGATTCTACCTGCTACACTAACGTATTATTATGAAAGGATGAAGTAATTAAACGCTACTTATTTTGAATGCTATGATTCGGAAGTGACGTCACGTTCTTCATTTAGGAACCTTTCCAAAATCATATCGCCGGCACCGATCGAAGCAAATTCAATGAAAAATCTTTGAAATGACACATTTATCGTAAGTATTTCTACACAAGATTTGCCCCATTTGTTCATCATTCTATAATCTTTCATTAAGCTCAAAATGATAAAGTTCACCCCCGACAACCCAAGATTGGGTTTCGGAGCGTAGTCCAGCTTTAAATTCTTTGTTTGGTGATATGAGGATCATAAGGGCATAATTTTTATTATGTCACCACCAAAAGTGGTGACATATTGTTATGGTCTCCGTTTTTTTTGCGACGGCGGTTGGCGTCCGGCGGTTGGCGTCCGGCGGTTGGCGTCCGGCGTCTGTAACAATTTCTTACAACTTCCTATAACTTAACAAATACTGTTTAGACTGACTTCAATTTTTTTCTAAATCATCTACATGTTCTCAGAAGTTCAAATCTGACTTTAGATTTGACATTTGACCTTCAATGACCTTCTCAAGGTCAAAAAGGTCTTTTTTCAACTTGCTTCACATTGACTAAATTTTTTTTCAAAATCATCTACATGTTCTCAGAAATTCAAATCTGACTTTAGATTTGACTTTAGATTTGACATTTGACCTTCAAATCTGACTTTAGATTTGACATTTCACCTTCAATGACCTTCTCAAGGTCAAAAAAGGTCAAAAAGGTCTGTTTTCAACTTGCTTCAAATTGGCTAAAATTTTTTTTCAAAATCATCTACGTGTTCTCAGGAATTCAAATCTGACTTTAGATTTGACTTAAGATTTGACATTTGACCTTCAATGACCTTCTTAAAGTCAAAAAAGGTCAAAAAGGTCTTTTTTCAACTTGCTTCAAATTGACTAAATTTTTTTTTTCAAAATCATCTACATGTTCTCAGAAATTCAAATCTGACTTGAGATTTGACATTTGACCTTCAATGACCTTCTCAATGTCAAAAAAGGTCAAAAAGGTATTTTTTTTATCTTGCTTCAAATTGACTAAATTTTTTTTTCAAAATCATCTACATGTTCTCAGAAATTCAAATATGACTTTAGATTTGACTTTAGATTTGACATTTGACCTTCAATGACCTTCTCAAGGTCAAAAAAGGTCAAAAAGGTCTTTTTTCAACTTGCTTCAAATTGACTAATTTTTTTTTTCAAAATCATCTACATGTTCTCAGAAATTCAAATCTGACTTTAGATTTGACATTTGACCTTTAATGACCTTCTCAAGGTCAAAAAAGGTCAAAAAGGTCTTTTTTCAACTTGCTTCAAATTGACTAATTTTTTTTTCAAAATCATCTACATGTTCTCAGAAGTTCAAATCTGACTTTAGATTTGACATTTGACCTTCAATGACCTTTTGAAGGTCAAAAAGGTCTTTTTTCAACTTGCTTCAAATTTACTTAATTTTTTTTTCAAAATCATCTACATGTTCTCAGAAATTCAAATCTGACTTTAGATTTGACATTTGACCTTTAATGACCTTCTCAAGGTCAAAAAAGGTCAAAAAGGTCTTTTTTCAACTTGCTTCAAATTGACTAATTTTTTTTTCAAAATCATCTACATGTTCTCAGAAGTTCAAATCTGACTTTAGATTTGACATTTGACCTTTAATGACCTTCTCAAGGTCAAAAAAGGTCAAAAAGGTCTTTTTTCAACTTGCTTCAAATTGACTAATTTTTTTTCAAAATCATCTACATGTTCTCAGAAGTTCAAATCTGACTTTAGATTTGACATTTGACCTTTTGAAGGTCAAAAAGGTCTTTTTTCAACTTGCTTCAAATTGACTAATTTTTTTTTCAAAATCATCTACATGTTCTCAGAAATTCAAATCTGACTTTAGATTTGACCTTTAATGACCTTCTCAAGGTCAAAAAAGGTCAAAAAGGTCTTTTTTCAACTTGCTTCAAATTGACTAATTTTTTTTTCAAAATCATCTACATGTTCTCAGAAGTTCAAATCTGACTTTAGATTTGACATTTGACCTTCAATGACCTTTTGAAGGTCAAAAAGGTCTTTTTTCAACTTGCTTCAAATTTACTTAATTTTTTTTTCAAAATCATCTACATGTTCTCAGAAGTTCAAATCTGACTTTACATTTGACCTTCAATGACCTTCTCAATGTCAAAAAAAGTCAAAGAGGTATTTTTTCAACTTGCTTCAAATTGACGAATTTTTTTTTCAAAATCATGTACATGTTCTAAGAAGTTCAAATCAAACCTTCTTAAGGTCAAAAGGTATTTTCCAACTTGCTTTAAATTGACCAAATTGTTTTAGGTGGTGACATTTTGTCATGTTAATGCCTTGTTTTATATTTGTTTTGAAAAGAGATTTGTAGTAGTATTGTAGTAAACTGAAAAAAATGTTTAGATTTAGTGGTCATCTTATATCCATATGTTAGATTTCTTTTTTTTCTTGCCAGGAATTTCTTCTTTTAGCTTATTATTTTTCAAGAACAAGTTGATTCATCATTAGTGTGCCATCCATGTATGTCATATATCGCAATGCTATATGTTGGTATGTTTAAACAATTTACTTCTAACACCAACTTCTAGGAATAGATTAACACTAATTAAGTCACGACATTTGAATGTGTGTTTTACCTATTTCATATATCATATATGTATATTATATATCTTTAATTGACTCAATAATCATATCATATAAATGAAGTACAGTCATTTAGCATGGTTAGATATAATTGTTAACAGTGTCACATTGACATTTATTAATAATTTAACAGCAGATATATGAAAATAAAAACTATAAAAGCATATGACGACTTAATATCATATTGCGCTCATTGTTGATATGGTGATATTTGCATCTGTTTTAATGGTAGATATAAAACACAAACTACTTAATAATATCAACTCAAATATTTATTTGTAAATTGTAGTGTAAATGAGTAGAATTGTTCATATGTTCAACATAATTTCTATTTGTTCCTCAATTAAAGATAAGGTTATGTTCAGAGTTTAATGTTAAGGTTAAGCATTTGGCTTTTTATAGGGACCATGCTCTTAATCTTGGCCAGTTTTTAATAAGCATTTTAGCATAACATTTGTATCTGAATAAATACCTAAGTACAGTGTATATGGTTTGCCACTTCTGTCCTTATTATATACATGTTGGATGTAATTAAAAATGATGTTTATCAACTTTTTTTAGGGTACAAGATGTTAGGTAGGATATTTCAAAATCACAATACAGTAAAACCTGTCTAAGTGGAACACTTTTAGTACCTCTAAAAAGTGTTCTACTTGGGAGGTATTCCGTTTATAGAGGTTAAATTAACAATTAGTCAGTTGATCTTGGGACTCTCGCTGTATATTGCAAATACATGTACACGTAAACCCTGTTTTGACTGGCTACTTACGCAGGTCAGCTACTTTTATAGCAAATTATTCGAGCTAACAATTCCTATGGACATTTTGTTCACCATAGACAGGTCTACTGTATTAAAGCATGACTATTGTATAAAGGGAATAGATAGATATATTAAGTATCCCTGGATAGCAAGTTATGATTATGCATGCATCTTCGACTTTCAAGGTGTTACAACAGTTGGAAGCAACTGAAACCTTGTGAATCAAGATGGTGGTTATGGGGTTGCGGGAAACCTTATATGGTGGTGTGCCATTTTATTATGTTTTATTTTTAGTTGTAGTTGTGGTTGAAACACATCTTGATTATGTCACCACCAGAAGTGGTGACATATTGTTACAGTCTCCAGATTTTTTGTAAACGGTGTTTGGCATCTGTTGCATATTAATGCCTTGTTACAAACTTGTGAAACTGAGTAAAATGTAACCTGAGGTTCTCAACCATCAGAATTCCTACTGTTGCAATTTCCAAGTCATTTTTGCTTGGTATCAGTTTATTTGAAACATAGGAACAAATCCTACGCTAAGGGCTGATGCTGGGTGCTTGGTATCATGATATCATTGTTATAGGACAATAGTTCTTGGTAAAGATCCCTGGATATATATTATTGTTTCCTAGTTATATCACTTTTATGAAATATATTGGTATTTGGTAGTTGACTAGTTGCTTTCAGTACCAATGCATGCCAGGTTGGGGTTCTGTAATACCATAGTGTTGGTGGTAGAAGTTGAAAAAGATTTCCATTCAAAAAATTAGTGTCTCAAATGTTGATGGTTTCTTTTTTGATCATAATCTGGTCAGTCTATAGATGGCTTCTTGTTATATTTCACCTGTCAGATTGCATGTACTGTATCTATAAGGTCATAAATCGCCATACTTAACAACTACACTGTAAACATGTAATTGGTAACATGATGTATGTACATTATATTTCTAGTATATATGTATAACCTAGCTTATAATATACCCATTGCAGGCCCATGTTTTAGTTGAATTGTATTTTAACATTATAAACATTTTCATTCCAGATCGGACTTGGTAATGAAAGTAAAGTATGACAACTCTCTGCCAGATATACCATTCGACCCAAAGTTCATCACATATCCATTTGAACCCAACAGGTAAGAAAAGGGGCTTTTTGTGTGATTTATCAATTGCATATCTGTTGCCTGGTATGTGCTGAATACATATTATAAAATGAGGCTTTGTATAAAAAACCTCCTACCTCATACCCACCTACCCACGTACATTGGACATGATACAGTCTTTGAAGGTTTCAATTTTAAAGATCTTAGTTTATTAAATCTTAGTTTATGATGAATTAAAGATGCATTTGTAATGGCCCTTGATAGCAAGTTGCTACTACAGCCCAGCTGGGTTCGATTCCCACTCAGGGCATCCCACGTAGGTGGGTAGGTGGGTATGAGGTAGGAGGTTTTTATCACACCATCGGTGGGATATAGTCGTCATACTGGTCGTGGTCGTGGTCGTGATCGTGGTCGTGATCATGGTCATGGTCGTGGTCGTGATCGTGATCGTGGTCGTGATCATTACGCTTTTTTGTCATCATCGTTTAAGGAAAACAGCTCATCAGATTTTCTCCAAATTCGCAGAGATGATAGAGCATATGAAGTACTAGAGCTGATTAACTTTTGGGTGGCCATCTTGTTTTCTGGCGGCCATTTTGAAGGTTTTTCGAAAAATCTTGAAATCGCCATTTCAGAAAATCCGCTCATAGGATTTCCTTCAAATTTACACACATGTTAGAGGATATCAAGTACTAGAGCTGATTAACTTTTGGGTGGCCATCTTGTTTTCTGGTGGCCATTTTGAAGGTTTTTCGAAAAATCTTGTCATCGCCATTTCAGGAAAACCACTCATCTGATTTCCTTCAAATTTACACACATGATAGAGGATATCAACTACTAGAGCTGATTAACTTTTGGGCGGCCATCTTGTTTTCTGGTGGCCATTTTGAAGGTTTTTCGAAAAATCTTGTCATCGCCATTTCAGGAAAACCGCTCATCGGATTTCCTTCAAATTTACACAAATGATAGAGGATATCAAGTACTAGAACTGATTAACTTTTGGGCGGCCATCTTGTTTTCTTGTTCTTGAAATTTGTAAACATAATAGGAGAAAAGTTTTCCTGGTTCATAGTGTCTGCCTATTTGATGGTGTGATCTCGTTCACGTCCTGTGCCTTGTTTATACAAAGCCTAAAATGGAAACTGATTTGCATTCCCCAATTGCATGTTTCATGCATTTACTCAGAATTTGAATGGAGTGTCTTTACATGCATTTAATTTATAGTTTTGATAAGTATGTCGGTTTACTTTGAGATGACAATAGATTGATTCAGATTTCCAACAACCACCATTTCTTAAGATTTATTTTTCATTTATTTACAAAAATAGATCATAAAAATGCGAACTCACTTATCTGAATTATCTGAAAAATATTTCTGTTTTAGTAAAAATTGAGGTTACCTGGTCCTCTATTTTTATCGTAATAAATCATAATTATTGTATTTTATACCAAAGCTATATCTCGTCCCCCTAATCGGTTATAGCTACAGTGAAGGTGATTAACTTCTAGATTGTGTGATAACTGTTATTAGTGATATCATAACCATATAGATTATAAGCTAAAGAACACTACAGGGTGTTTCATAATGTATGCACCCCCTCTAAACTCATACATGTAGCATTGCCACCCTATCATGTTATATATCATTTTCTTCCTTATGAAAAGTAACATAGGATTGGAAAGTTCCAGAATCAAGAGGTGTCCCTGAAAAAAGATACAATATATCAAAATATGTGGGTAGAGGGTCATTTATAAGCAGTTTTTTAAGTTTTTTTAGCCAGCCTGGCGATTTGTTCACTTTGTCAACTACCCATTTTTAGTGATGAAGGTGGTACCATGGTTCCTGACCTCCATATATCCCATTGCATGAATCCTGTCTATATATATTTGTGCATAACTGCCTAATGCATACATATGAAACACCCTGTAAAATATTTGTTTTTGCATATGTTATTCTTTTTTCTGTTTGAAGTAATGTTGCTTATCCAGTAGAGCATTGAGAAAATTGCAAATTAAAATATACTATTGCCTGTTAACCCATTTTTGTCAGCATGTAGCTTTATATATCATTTAGATAATATCAAGATATTATGATTGCAGCTGTTATTTATTTATCCGAGTACAATATCTCTCTCAATGTTCTTGATATAAACATTTGTACATTTGAAAAAACATCTGAACTGACTAATATATCAAATAAATTAAATATATGTCATCTTCAATATGAATCTATGTTATTTCAGATTTGTCCAGTACAATCCTACATCATTGGAAAGATCATACAAGCATGACCTTCTCACAGAACATGACCTCGGGGTTGGCATTGATCTCATTAACCCAGACACATACACTCTCGACCCTAATGGTAAGTTTGCTGAGTTTTATACAGCTCTAGTCTTCCCATGATATTGCTGATATATAAGGTCCCGGGAATAAGGTATAAGTCAAGACAAAGTTTATGTAATGCATGAATAAGTATATGTATTTCCTTTCTGTCCTATAACCTAGGTCAGTTATGGAACCTGACATCTGGAAAACTTAACTATTTTATTATTATATTCATATATTGCAGCTTATCTGGATGAGGAAGATGAGAAGCTTTTGGAAGAAGATTTTAATACACCAGCAGATTCTAAGAGGTACACATTTAGACTAATTATATGGTGTCGAACTTAATGCGCTGTTTCAGAGCCCTATATGGTTCTATAGAATTTCAAAATTAATAGGACAGGCATTTTGAATTCAATAAAAAAAATAAAAACAGCATAGAATGCTTACTTGTGTATGAAAAAAATTAAGTATAAATATTTTTGTTTTGTAGGTCTCGTCATCACAATAAAAGTGTGTCATGGCTTAGGAAAACAGAGTACATATCTACAGAGTACAATAGATTTACACAGAGTGCCGACAGATCAGAAGCCAAGTATGTTCTATCACCTGTTGACTGTACTCTTCTTCGTGATTGTTTTTTTAAAAGATTATATAAATTGTAAAAATATGTAGGATCCATTCTTGGCTTGTATTCAGTAGTTGGCATCTGATGAATCCTTGGTCCAATCCAATCTGTTCCTCTCGCAATTTATTTGTACAAATTAAATGGAACCACCATTAATTATGGGTAATTCATTTCATAATGGATGTGGTCACTGGTCAGTCCTATGTGTTTCTTTTTGAAATAGGCATATCAGTAAAATTGTATTGCAAGAATATTTTTACTATGAAGGGTTGGATTCAACATGAAGAAACACTTCAATGAAGAGGACCTTTACAAAGACAGAGAAAGTCAGATTGAGGCCATAGAGAAAACATTCAATGAAACAAAGAAACCAGTAAGTATAGAAGTGTTATCACTTTCAGGCATTCATTTATTTTATATGTTATTTTTCACTGTTGTTTCTACTTGGAAGAGCGTGCCCATAGCTAGGGAAATTGGCCAAAAATCAAGAACTTTTTTCCATCTGACCACTTCCAAGTGATTTCTCGCCAAAGTTGTCAAATGTGAAACCCTTTTGAATTTTTGTGGACCCCCTTGGCAAAAGCTGGCTACAGGCCTGAAGAGTGAGATATTTTTAATTTTACGATCTAAGATTAATTTACTGATGTATTTCTTGATTTAGATACAAGACCACTACAGTAAACCAGGTGTCAAACCAGTTGAGATTCTACCAATATTTCCAGACTTCCAGGTAAATATGTCACTAATTATCATTCATTCTTGTGCAATATATAAAAATATATAAAAAAATATATAAAAAAATATAAATAAATATTTAGATACTGTATTGTGCACACTAGTGAGTTTTAGATTAGTTTCCTATAGATTCCTATAGCATTGTTTTGTTTTTCTAATGCTGCCTTGCATTCTCTTTGTGATTTTGTTAATGTAAATTTCTGTAATTATACATATAGTATTTACAAATAGATACCAAAATGAAAGCAATTTTCTCTTTACTTTTGCTTGACACAAATAGATAGTGACACTAACATAGATTTGACCTCAACCATTTCATCATATGATTAATGTTGTGATTTGATCTCAGATGTGGAAGCACCCGTGTGCCCAGGTTATATTTGACTCTGACCCTGCTCCTGCTGGCCGCTCTCAGCCTGCCCAGATAGAGGAAATGTCTCAAGCCATGATTAGGTATGTATGAAAAACATATGACAGCCTCTCTGTTTGATCAAATCACTGGAAATATTGATGTAATTTACTCAAATGTTAAATGCATTAGTAAAATTGTTTAATTATAAGAGGAAAAAATTCATAGGGATCAAGTCAAGACTAATTAGAATCTATAGTGTTAAAAAGTTACTTCAATTTTGGGGTGCAAACCAATATTTGTAAATTATGTTTCACATTATGTGTCTAGTGAGATCATGTTGTGAAAATATGCTATTCCTCCTCCTGCGTTTTTCATCCATGTTATATACAGGGTGTTTCATATGTATGCACCCCCCTATAAACTCATACATGTAGCATTGCCACTCTTTCATATTATATATCATTTTGTTCCTTACGAAAAGATTCATGGGATTTCAAAGTCTCAGAATCCAGGGGTGTCCCTGAAAAAAATCCGAAGTATCAAAGTACATTTGCACCAACTTGAAAATGAGAAAATCATGAAAAATAGGCATATTTTGACCAAAGGTTTAAATTGTGAAATTAAGAATTTTGCACCCACTTGAGATGAAATCCTGGGGAGAACACTGGTTAATCTCTATGTGTTTGCTATTCAGAGGTATGGTGGATGAAAGTGGAGACCAGTTTGTAGCCTACTTCCTTCCTTCTGAGGAAACCTTGGAGAAACGTGCTAAAGATGCTTCTGAACATGTGGATTACGATCCTGAAACTGAGTAAGTCATATATTTAAAGGTAATAATCTAGTGTTGCAAGTTGCGAAGAAAATGAGAGTTGAGAAGAAAAACGTGTCTTATGATGCCTCTATTTCTGCTAAAATTATTGAAGTAAATTGCATGAATTCACTTCCAAAACAGTCTATTTATGCTTTTATCAACACAAAGACCTAGGTTAGATCATATTGTTGCTATAGCATGACTATGAGTGTAGTCACAAGACTACGAGTGTAGTCAAGATTTTTAATGAGCATTTTAGCATGTAATATAGAATTACATATGCACTGTCATGTATTAAAGATTTACATATACACTGTCATGTATTAAAGAATTACATATGCACTGTCATGTAATAAAGAATAACATATGCACTGCCATGTAATAAAGAAATACATATGCACTGCCATGTAATAAAGAATTACATATGCACTGTCATGTAATAAAGAATAACATATGCACTGTCATGTAATAAAGAATTATATATGCACTGTCATGTAATAAAGCATTACATATGCACTGTCATGTAATAAGGACAAAATGTGATGAATTGTATTTCTGATGAATCAGCCTTCTTTACTTTGTGCTTTAATTTATTATTAATTGGTATTTACAATTTCTGTTTTACATATTTATTCGATCAGGTCATAATGTTTAATTTTCTATTGATTGACTTAAGTGCTGATTTAATCTTTCATTAAACATGTACCAAAGGACATCATAATTTCTAGTCTAATTAATGACATTGAATAAATGACATTAAAGAAGTTGCATAAATTAATCAATATTATAAATCCCCAGGTATAAATCTTTAAAACAAATAAAATGCACACATAATTTTAATATATGATAGCTTCATGTGAACTAAAATGTTCATCAAAATTTCAGGATTCTGGGTTCAAAAATGGCATGACAGCAAAAGTCACACCATGGTTTTTTAGATGTTTTGGCTAAAACACAAGATATTAATATGGTGTATTTGTAAAAAAAAACATGAAATCATTTCAAATTGCACTCAGAGATATCAGAGACATTTGTATTATTTGGGCTATTGGGCATTTCTTTGTTGTTTGTGTTTGTTCTGAAACCCCGCGATCTGTGCATTAAAAAGTGGTAATTGAACTTTTTTGCAATTGGTGGATAAAACAAGGTAATTGTTTTTACTCAGAATCATATCTAAGTATTCATAGAAGTATCACTTTTTCAAATGAATGCCCTTCATGCCTTTATGTGAATTGCCATTTAACAGGAAAAATGGACACATGATAGTTCGGACAAACATCAAATCCTGAATTTCTAGCTGATAAGGTTTTCATTCATGATCGCGGAAAGTGAACATTGATTATACCTGTACTCATTAATGCATTTTTTCTTCAGATACGAGTATTCCTTGGCACGAGAGTACAACTGGAATGTGAAAAATAAACTCTCAAAAGGATATGAAGAAACGTATTTCTTCGTGTTTAAAGATGATGGGGTCCATTATAATGAACTGGAGACTAGGTAAGAACCCTTCAAGTACCAAGTGTTTGTTTTAAATGTTCAAAGATTGTACAGTCAATTGTAGTAATGAAATGAAGAACTGTGATGAACCAGCTAAGCATCCAATTCATGAACAGAGGAGATGTCAAAGTTAATTGACTAAGTCCATAGACTAAAACCTATGTTGACTGCATACATGAATCTGAATAGGTTAAAAGTTGTGATAAAAATGCTTGGGTTGGTGTTACCCTTTTCAAAATAGAATTTCTATCCTGTTCTATAGTATACAGTACAGTATACAGAAAGATAATGTGTTATGTCTTTTTTTCAGAGTTCGACTGAGCAAAAGAAGGAAGATTGGGCCAACAGCTGGCCCACAAAATAAATCCAAGTTGATTGTCAAACATAGAGAAATGAATGACCAAGAAAAGAAGTCTCAGGTACAAACTGAAGTAGAACCTTAAGGTGGGCTAAGCGCATGATGTAATTAGCCAAGTCTATGTTGAGAATGTCCAAGTTAATTACAGATTACTCGTTCAGCTTGGTCTACCTTAAGCACAGCATTTTTTCCAATAATGAAAAAAAATAATAACTTCCAATAACTTTTTAAAAGTGCCATTTACTTGTTTTGCAGGATCACTTGTGTCCATGCGTTGTTTAAGTATATCTTGGGCCTCACATTGTTTGACTGTATCTTTCACCTCACATTGTTTGACTGTATCTTTGACCTCACATTGTTTGACTGTATCTTTGACCTCACATTGTTTGACTGTATTTTGACCCTCACATTGCATAACTGTACATTCTAACCTGCACATTGAATAACTGTATATCCTGACCTGTACATTATATATCTTTATGTTACAGGGTATGAGACTGACTATGCTGGAGCCACCCACAGAGGAGGAGGAAGAAGAGGAAATGCCAGAACTTCAAGCCACACAAGAGGGTCAGTGTCATGAATCAGTCATTATAATCTCTCTGTTTATTATTATTTCACCACCACAAGTGGTGATATATTGTTATGGTATAAGTTGGTCAGCCTTCAGAGGCAGGCATCTGTAACAAATGACAGGTGGTGACAATTTGCATGTAATGTCTTTTCATAGTTTTGCCAGTGGCTTTGAATGTTCAGTTTTATATGGTACTATAGTCTGGACCAAAAAATGTTAGCCATTCTAATTGTTCACTTATAATAAGGGTAACATTTTTTGGCCTGCCCTGTACAAGAGAGAACTGCATTTTAACATTGCTGTTAATGAGGTTAAATGGATAGCACGTATCATTAAACTGACACTGTATTTGCTTGATAATTAATTTGAAAAATCACGAAAACTTATCATATTTGGACAAAATTTGGGGAATTAGTACCCATAAGTTGCGAAAACACTGTGAGTTGGATAATTGGCAGGTGTCATGCGATTGAAGCAAATTTCGAAAAGAATTATGACATTTTCAGGACCTGGCAACCTCAATGAGTCCATCATATTCTTATAATAAGTAAAAAACAGAAGGATGGATCAGTCCACAATACTCTTAATGTCATGAACATGATGGTTACAAAAATTACCTTTATAGATTTTCGTATATTCTTTGTATAATCTTTGTGTCGTTTTAGATGAACTTGCTGGATTTGAAGATGTTGAAAAGATGGATACAGATAATAAAAGTGATAATGAGGAGCACAGGAGGAGCAGATCAAGGAGTCGAAGTAACAGTGGGAGTCGTAGTAGAAGTCGAAGTGGATCTGGAAGTCGCAGTCGAAGTAGAAGTCGAAGTGGAAGTCGAGGACGTAGCAGGAGTCGATCTGGATCCAGAAGTGGAAGTGGATCCAGGTCACGAAGCAATAGTGGATCTAGGCGATCAGGATCAGGAAGTCGGAGTCGATCACGCAGTCGTAGTCGATCACGCAGTCGGAGCCGATCACGTAGTAGGAGTCGATCCCGTAGCGGTAGTAGATCTAGCAGCAGGTCCAGGAGCAATAGTCGTGGGGGTAGTCCCAGTGGGTCAGCTCGTAGTGGGAGCCCCTCGGGTAGTGGGAGTGATTCTGGGAGTGGAGATGAGCAGAACAAAGCAGCTGAGGACATTTTCGGGAGCAGTTCAGATGAGGGCTAAATGTCACTCGATTGATGTCATACTGTTCACACCTCTAATGATTGGTATTAACATTTAAATGCAGGCGTGAGCAAAAACAGGCATGCAATCAACACTAAACTGTATATACATAACGGAAGTTCATTACAGAAGTATAATTTTATACTAAAGTGACTGTGTACATATGTATTTTGAACAGAAATGCAAGAAATGAAGATCATGTTTCACTGATCACACTTGCTAAAACGTTTGCAAATGTGTAAATGACAAATCTGGATGTCTTTGAGTTGCCTCGAGAGACTCTCACCTCTTTACTGAGTGGCATTCAAAGTTATATACAATGAATTCAAAACTTTCAAGTCGACATTATCATCGTATTATATCAACCAATCAGAAACTATGATCTGGATTGTATATATATACAGTGTATATGTTCAAGCTTGAAAATACTAAAGACATTGTGTCTTTTATATATCTCATATCAAAAAGTATAAATAATTAAATTGAATCTGTAACTCAAGAATAAAAATAAAGCTAGAATGTAGATTATTGTTTTTATAATAGCTGTTCATGTGTAGTTTTTTAAGAGCTATTGGATCCTTCCCTCCCCCTCATTCAAAAACGGCCCATCGGATGGAGCTACATGGACTACCACGTAAAATACTAGAATTTCAGTCAAAGAAACAAAAATCTCAGAACCTTAAATCAAATACATTTCAATCCAAAACATAGTAGTGGTTCAAGGTAACGATGAAAACTTCAACTTCAAGAGGATATTATATTGAAACTATTCTTGAACTTTGATAATCTGAATTTAAACTTGGAACCATGATACCACATCAAATCTTCTGGAAATCAAAATTACATCGTTTGAGTAACTATTACTAGTATTTGTAATAATGTAGAACATAAGGACATATTTGTCATTTACGAAAAGGACCATATATCAAAATATAAATACAAAAACTTAGAAAAGGGTTTTAGACCCCTGGGACTCGAAGCTATTAGATGTGAAGGTTCTTCGTCCTTTAGAGTGGTTTCGATATAGAAACATGCTCTGCTAGAAAGAAGCGGATAGAAGGCCATGATTTCTCATGATGAGTAACTGGGTGTTGATGTAGAGAAACGTCGTTTTTGTATAAAACAGTCAATACTCATAACTTTTCATGCTGCTCTTCAACTCTTAAAATGACATAACAAAAACAATGCAATTTATCAATACTTATTTAACATTTGACAGCAAGCAACTAAATACCTTGTTTATGGTCGATATACAAGCAATTATCGATTATAATTACGATGTCATTTCTTTGATCATTAGCCAATTAGACTTACCACACAACTTACCCAAGGGAATGTTTCAATATGGAGATTCACATAAAAAGCAATTGTGGATGCTATCATTAGATGTTTTAGAGTAGCACAAATTGACCCAAAAACAGACAATAAAAATACATATGAACACGATGCCTTATTATGTACCATTTGGTTTCAAGAAAGCCCATGCATTTACTAATTAGATTAGTTCGTAGAATGAGTCTAGATGAACACAATGGACAAGGTACAACAGCGCCTTTGCCTTAGTAGTGAACGTTTTTATATACTCTTCATCTCTCTTCGTTATGCAGACGCTTTACATTGCCCATTTCTTATTTTTCACAAACGATGCAACAACTATTATGGAATAGGTTTTCATGAAACTTTATTTTTTGAAGGTGGTACACTCTTAACTGCGTTCACATTTAAATTCTTTAATGTGTGTTAAGTGCTATTTTCTCCAGGCCTCCATTTGAAAAATACTTAGTGATCACAACTCATCATGATATACCATGACATCTCATTTCTTCTCAGCCCTGAGATGTTTCATGGTGAAACAGAAAGATGCTATGAGTATCAGAACTCTTTCAATACGCATTTTGCATAAATCAAACGGATCGAGAAACAGAATTTTTATTAATCCATTGTTAGATAATAATTCTCTATAAATGACACAAATCCTAGATATTCATAATCAGGACAACGGTAATAGGTAAACGAATTAAACGTTTAACAACGGTGAAAATGATGTGTTCAAACTCTCAACTCTTAAGATCTTAAAGTTATGAACTGATGAGATTGTATCAACTTATCAACCACTTATCACTTTCCTAACATCTTCACGACAGAAATAATTTACCAACTTTGATATGGCCTCTATGGGTCAAAATAGTCGCAAATCAGTGAAATAAAAATGGCACATCTTCTAACAAAAGAGCGACATTGAAAGAAATCGAAGCTCCAAATGGTTCTTTAATTCACTCAAAATAGACCCAAAAGAAGTAGGTAAATGCGTGGTAATGCCTGGATAATGTTAGAGATATTATCCAAGTGTTTCACTCTCCATGTAATAACAGTCACTGTTTTTTTTATTAGGCAATATATTAAAATTGACTCAGAATAACGCTGAATTGATTGATGATATACATCATTAATAACCTTACTCCGGTAGCATAGTGTAAATAACAGGTTAACCGTGAACCTTTATCCCTCTTGGCGTCTGGCTGTAAATAGGAGGGGGGGGGGGGCTAGAAGTAAAATGTTAATCATCTTGTGTTCGTGTGCTGTTTCTTTAGCTCACATGGTAAGCTTTTGCAATCACTCACTTGTCCGTAAGTCTGTCCGTCCGTCCGTCCGTCCGTCCGTCAACAATAGTGGCACGTTTTATAGAATTCCCGTTTTAAGTATTTTTTGTTCAATCTTCAATACCGAAAATTACCCCAATGACTCCCGTTTGAAAAGCTCGTCTAATTTCAAAATGGCCGCCATTTTTATCTCGCAAAATTCGATTGAAGACCATTTAGTAGATATCTTTGGGGGTTCCGACCTTAAATATTGTCTATGAAGTCTTGTCTACATGTTTAGGTCAAACCTCTGGTGACATGATTCTGGTTTGAGGCTAATTTTGTTAGGGTTTGTGTAAAAACCCGGGTGACCGGGTGACCGGGTACTTAACGTTCCTAGCAGGGTTAGGAATTTTTTTTATTTATAACGTTGGATCTGGACGATACATGTACGTTATTTCGACGTCACGTTTTGAGGTTATTTCACATCGTAAAAACGTTTTGACAACGTTAACTTTTAACGTTAAAATAACGTCGGTAATGAACCGATTTAGTGAGAACATATTGACGTCTTTGTAACGTTTCCTTAATTCACAAATATTTTGAAGCCATTTCCACAATGTTGAAATTCAACCATCCATTAAATAACGTCAGATCAATACGTTCCCTGAACCTCATTATTGACGTCACGTTTTGAGGTTATTTCAAATCGAAAAAACGTTTCGACAACGTTAAATTTTAACGTTAATAATACGTCGGAAATGAACCGACTTAGTGAGAACACAAAGTTTTTGTCATGTTTTTTTCCACCAACAAATATTTTGATATTAAAAGCCTGTTTTGACAATGTTGAATTTTAACGTTTGAGTTACGTCACATATGGACCAATGTAGTAAAAAATCAAACGTTCCTGTTTGTTATGTTTTCCACACTAACGAACGGACACGTTACAACAACGTTCTTTTTATACCATCAATAGATGTCTCGTATTTACGTTGCCTCGATGTGTAAAGAACGAAAATATGCAACGTCTTCTAGGAACTTGTATGCTACTTATGAGCAACGTGACATGGACGTCACTGTTTGCTGGATCGATTATTTTAAAAAGTGCTCTGTATAGGGTAAAAATATCGAACACAGTGCACTCGGTAGGCTAAGTCTGTCAAGTCAGTTCGCTACTATAGGCCTATATCGGGGGAAATGTGGAACTTTGAAAGTTGGTAACCCTGCTAGGAACGATAGGTACCGGGTACCCGGTTACCCGGTCACCCGGTTTTTATACACAAACCCATTTTGTTAATTAACAATATAAGAAAGCCTCCTATAGCTCCTGATTCAATACCTCGCCTATTTCAAAAATGACCGCCATTTTTTGTCGTGGTAAATTGTCTATCTGTCAGCAATTTGCAGCACGTTTTAAAACCTGTTGATTGTTCAACATCAATACAGAAAACCCCTTCTGTGAAGTCTTGTCTACAGGTGTCAAGCCAAATCATTTGATGAATTGAGCTGAAATGTTAGGGTTGGAAATGTTTCTTGGTTTAAAACTTTACAAATGATTAGTTTTGGGGCATTTTGGGTAAATTTTAAGGTGACGATTTTGGACTTCTTGTCCAGAAAAGTAGTTACACAACGCCATGTGAGCCCAGTACCCACGGTACTATTTTTGTATTTGTGTGATGATGTCTTTTTGGGTTTGAAATCATTCATTTTGAATGCCTTAAAATGCTACCGTGAACTCAATCATTGCAATGACATCGTAAATTTTAATGTATGCACGTGTATGGTTAAAAGGTAATGCAATTGATGCACCCAGTAGTCTGATTTACCACGTCATGATAAATACAATTGCAGTTTACAGTTTACACTATTTACTTTCCTGAAGCATGTCCGTGGTGAACTTGTACTAGTACGAGGATGATACAATATATGACATTAATAACAATACAAATAATTGTCATTTAATATGTATATTCTGTATTAGATTAATGTATTCATAGAAAATCTAACTTATATCACGTAGCTGGTTTATTTTAATACACACCCCCTCCAATAAGCTTGGAAAACCATGTTTGAAGTTTTATATTCAAAACCTGTAGTATGAAAAGTGCTTCGAAATATGACATGCATGCTATGTTTCAAATTAGCATCTTGACGTGTGAACAGTTTAATTTAACTCCACGAGTTGGGATCGAAAGATTTGTCCGCTATGGTGGAGCATGCTATTATTCATAAGAACACGAAGAAAATTTCAGTTTTACCTCAGATGTTTCGTTAAATGGTAATATTTACATATGTTTTCAGCATAACTCTGAAGAATTAATGAGATCTAGAACTAGTCTTTTAATTTTATTTATAAAAAATAATGTTTACTTTTTTGACCGCTATGGAGGAGCAGTTTCAAATGTGTCGAATCTTTTCTTCACCCTCTGTTTTTTAAACATGTTGAGGGAAGTGTATATACGAATCCGTATCCTGATCCACGATGAATAATAAACCAATCCATCACTAATGTAATAAATAGGCCTATGATCCCATTGGTCAATTGTACCTCAAACTTATTTATGATTTTAATGAATTATCGATATAAAAGCGGGATGAGGGGTATTTTCCACATTTCATTTGGAAGCAACGGAGGTGAGTCTGACTAATTACTTTACAGTCTAAAATACGATTTTATAAATAATTAAACTATTGGCGTTGTTCTTGTATTTTACAAAATGAAACACTTTTGTAATGATTCCTTTAGGATGTGTATAGAAGGTGTGTTTATCACAGTCTCAACTTTACAATGATATTTATCATTTGAATTGCATGTAATAAAAAACCTGGTGTGTTTCAATCAGCATGCCTGTTAATGGTGATTCAATACCATATAAGTAAACAATAGTATTGATACATAATAGTACTATGTTATTGACAACATTACTTTGTTTATTTATTCATTTATTAGATACGTTTAAAATTATTTTTTATCGGCGTAAAGTAAGGGCAAGAAGTATTATGTTCAGTCTTTTATTTTTATCTCCAAAATCAAAACATATTTTGTCCCGACTATATACGTGTTCACGTTGGACTTAGATAACTATTGCTGAGGATTTCATTTATTTGATAGTTTTAGTGAAGACCTTTTAAGTTTTCTGTGATATTTAGTTATTCTTCTTTGTGATATTTATCACGAATATAGATTTTCGGAAAATTCAACATTTCAATTATTTTAATAGGACCATTATTGAAAATAAATTATTTATATCTAGTCTAATCTGTTTAAAAATATTTTCACTTTCTAGTGCATCAGTATGTTGTCCCCATGCACTCATTTCAAGATAGCAAAGAAATAAACAAACATTATTTTATCCTCTGAATGAATTGAAGACTTTACGTACATTTGCATCAAATAGAAAACTAAAATGCTCATTATCATACTTTTCTAGCATAGCATAGATTTATAACTGCATTTCACGTACACATAATGATTTAACTGTATACAAAGCAAAATTGAAAACAGTATACTAACAAACACAATATTTCAAAATATTGCTATAATTTCAATTTCCGTATTTCCGCAAGACATACAATATTCGAAAAATATAGGAATCGTCCTCCTTGCTGAAAATCAGTATGTCTTATTGATTTACATTGGTGGTTCAAGTTTATCATGCATTTACGTTCTACATACACCATACTTCAAGAAACTATGCACATGAAAGTATTATGTTTTTGTTCTCTATCATACATTTCACAACATCACGATAATGTACAATTAAAGTGCAGTCTAGATATATGTGTGTTTTATTTTTATTTTGCACTATTGATTGCAAAATAGGGGACTTATTAATCATTAGTGACATCATTCGTTGTAAGATGAAGCTTGCGATTTAGGGACTGTTTCAATACGATAAACAAGAATTTGTCCTACCTAGAGCACTTCGTGTCTTATTCGTTACTAATAAAGGCGATTGATTGGAGAATGAGTCAAGATGGTCAAAATGGATCACAATCCTGACAATGGACGTGAAGAAAGTTTATTGTGTAGCAAACACGTTTAAAAAATTTAATTCCAGATTCATTTAACGTGTACAGATTCAAGAATTAAGATGCTATTATTAGTGCGTTGCCTCGGTGCGTCCATTCTTCTTCAAACAGTGGCTGTCCTAGCCCAACCAGATGGTTCGAGCTTTGGTAGTAAGTCAACAACCCCTTTCTGCTGTTCTGATACCCTTCACATCTCTGTCTTCAAACTAGCAAGAAAGGAATTTGAAACATTTAAATGTGCTAACTTCATAGACAGATGTTTGATCATTATAACAATTGGAAGGAGGATTGGAAGACGATATTCAAACTCGATCCTCCGTTGCCTGGCGTAGTCTAGATCAATTTGGTAACAATATTACCCATACTTTGAAGAACTGCTAAGGTTGAACCTTACCATAATATTCGTAATGTCCATCTTCCATCGAAATACTTTGTCCAAAGAGAACCTCATAGAAAATATTTTTACTAAATTTGTCAACGCAAGGCAACGGAGGACTTTGAATAATGACTGTCAGTGTCAATCCTATTTGTGTGAATCTTAAATCGGCGCTTGCCTTGCATTTTCAGCCTGTTTGGACCTGACTTTCATGATAGATGTCTCTTGTTCGGTATCACGTGATGACATGATCAGAGGAATAGAATTTGCTAAGGTAGTTGTGGACAATCTGGACAGCAAAATGACGGTTAGTTTTTGTTTTGTTTTATAATTGCCTTGTCTTGAAGTAGAAATATGTTATTTTAGTGTTTTGTTAACTGCAGTCACGTATGAAAAATACAACTTCATGACAACATCTGAAACTATAAAAATCGTTACTGTTGAAGACGCAATTATCCTAATTAACACCACAATGAGGCAATACCCATTTAAAACTACGTACAAACAAAAATAGTAATTTTGCACATTAGGACATCGGCTGTGCAAATGTGTTGTGTATGAGAGAAGTTATTTCACCAAGTCGCTACTCATTCATATTCATTGGGCCCGGGTCATTGGGGATCTTTTGCTCACTTTGTAGATTGATCGAGATACAACATTGCGTGTTGCAGTTGGAGTCTTTGTGGATAAAGTACATAGCATATTTTACCTGAATAAATACACAGAAAACAAAGCAGCCATTATGGATGCTTTAGAAGATGCGAAGAATTACCTCAAACCAGAAGCTATGAAATGTAAAACGCTAACACATTACGCAATTGATGCTCTGAATAATGAGTATTTCAATGTGAATAATGGTGATAGACGGGATAGACTCGACGCCGATTATCGAAATGTAGCAGTTGTTGTCACTGATGCACGCACAAGTTCACGAAAATGGGTGAACAATGGTCATCTAGGAAGATATTTGAAAGACGCAGAAGAAGCTGGAAATGATATCTTTACCGTACTTGTGAAAAATAAGTAAGATTTTTCTGACTAAAGAAATAAGAAAATTTATTTTCTTGAATCAGGGGCAAGACACGTACAGTACTCCAAAACGGACTTTCAAAGTTTCGAACTTAATTGGCAGTATCTTTGAATGTATCATCTATTTCTTGTATTTTTGTATTGCATTGTTTACTTGTCCATCATACTTGATTCAAACAGCTGTTACCAAATTATTAATCATTTGGACAGAATTTTTTTTTTTACTAATTACTGACACACATTTTTATCATTATTTCATTGCTACCACTGCTTCAAAATTACAATTTTGTGATCTTTAAATAGAATGAAAACTTCACATCAAATATGGAATTTATCAGAAATGTTCAAAGTATCATCCAGTCATTGTTTTAGACTAAAGTACCGACAACATAACGAAACTGAATGTATATTCTTATGATTGCGGTTAAACATTTTATGTCCGAGGAATTTGTTTTAACAGTCGTGAAAAGGAACCCTTAGACGAAGCCTTGTTGACAGGAAACGACACCAGCAAGCTGATCGACATTCGAGAGGGAAATGATGAAGCCGAAGCTGTGCGCTTTGCAAGTTTTCTTAAATTTGCATATTCATGCCCAAAATCTGATGTGCCACTGGTATCTGAAGGTTTGTATTAAATGCATCTCTTTTTTACATAGCCTGATCACAATAAAGTTGTCTAAAACAAGTTTTTACAATCTGAATACGAACCATCTAACGATATATACTTTTTTGTTGATGTATTTTTAGTATGCGCTGACATCATCTTTGCTTTGGATGTCTCCTGTAGTATTACGTCCGATGACAAAGATCTGTCCACATATGTAGCAAGTGAAGTATACAAGAAGGTATTCGCTGAGACCAGGAATTATGGAGTTGGAACATCTTTCCTTGTATTTGACAACACCGCTAGAGTAGCTTTCGACAAATATGAAATAATGCCGACAATTGATGACATTGCAACTAAAATACTTGACGTAAATGTCACAAATGATGCGTGTCGAACAAGACCTGCAAGCATGTTTCAAGAAGTGTCTGACAAAGAATTAGATATTGCATTACCAGATTCAAGTACACCTATTTACATGGTCGTGTTATATGATGGCATGACATCTCCATTAAATGAACGAGATCGCTCGATCGAATCTGCCACTGAGTTTAAAAACAAACCTAACACAGAACTGCTTTGCGTTAAACTGGAAAACGATAGGGGTAAAGACGGAAGTAGTGAGTTCAATGCAATCCCTTCATCTGCTAGTCACCTGTTTCCTCAGGATGCGAGCTTTCTAAATGATGCCAATAAAGATAGTGTAGTACAGGGGATTGCTGACCTAATCATATCGGGTCTCAGATGCCCATCTTGAAGGCACAGGATTTTTTTTGTTCGTTCACTTATTACGGATCAAACCTCGTCTAAAGCATTTTGTATAAATCAAACGGATCGAGAAAAACGGGGAATTCGCATTTATTGTTAAATAATGGTTCTCAATAAATGACATAAATCTTAAATATGTTCCTTCTGTTAAACGTTAATACAATGAAAAGGGAAGGGGGCACAAGAATCAAACGTTTAATGGTGAAAATGTCTTGTCTAGTATTGAGCTTCTAGAACCCATCATTAATCTTGCATGAAGTTGCTTTGACCCATCACTAATCTTGTATCAATTCCCTAGGACCCACCATTATCCTTGCATCAAGTCTCTGGTACCATCCGTTAGTCTACTGTTGAGCTAGGACCATTAGTCTTGCACCAAGTTTCTTGGACCCACCATAAGTCTTGCATCACGTCTCTAGGGCCCACAATTAGTCTTGCATCATGTCTCAGGGATCCGCCATTATTCAGTCTTGCATCACGTCTCTAGGATCCGTCATTAGTCTTGCACCACGTCTCTAGGACCCACCATTAGTCTTGCATCACGTCTCTAAGACCCACCATTAGTCTTGCATCACGTCTCTAGGATCCACCATTAGTCTTGCACCAAGTCTCTTGGACCTAAAGTTAGTTTTGCATCATGTCTTTAAGACCCGCCATGAATCTTGAATCAAGCCTCTTTTGGACCCGTCGTTGGTCTAGTATTGAGCCTCTTAGACCCACCATTAGTCTTGCATCACGTCTTTAGGACCCGCCATTATTCAGTCTTGCATCACATCTCTAGGACGCGTCATTAAGCTTGCATCACGTCTCTAGGACCAACCATTAGTCTTGCATCACCTCTCTAGGACCCATCACTAGTTTTGCATTACGTCTCAAGGACCTGCCATTATTCAGTCTTGAATTACGTCTCTAGGACCCGTCATTAGTCTTGCATCATGTCTCAAGGACCCGCCATTATTCAGCCTTGAATCACGTCTCTAGGGACCGTCATTAGTCTTGCATCACGTCTCAAGGCCCCGCCATTATTCAGTCTTGCATCACGTCTCTAGGACCCGTCATTAGTCTTGCATCAATTCTTTAGGACCCGTCATTAGTCTTGCATCACGTCTCTAGGACCCACCATTCGTCTTGCATCACGTCTCTAGGACCCACCATTAGTCTTGCACTACGTCTCTAGGACCCGTCATTAGTCTTGCATCACGGCTGTAGGACCCACTATTAGTCTTGAATCACGTCTCTAAGGTGCAACATTAGTCTTGCATCACGTCTCTAGGGCCTATCATTAGTCTTGCATCACGTCCCTAGGAACAGCCATTAGTCTTGCATCACGTCTCTAGGACCCGTCATTAGTCTTGCATCACGGCTGTAGGACCCACCATTAGTCTTGAATCACGTCTCTAAGGTGCAACATTAGTCTTGCATCACGTCTCTAGGGCCTATCAGTAGTCTTGCATCACGTCTCTAGGAACAGCCATTAGTCTTGCATCACGTCTTTAGGAGCCGTCATTAGTCTTGCACCAAGTCTCTCGGACCTACCATTATTCAATCTTGCATCACGTCTTTTGGCCCCACCATTAGTCGTGCGTCATGTCCCTAGGAGCCGTCGTTAGTCTTGCATCACGTCTAGACCCCTGTGGCTTTAGTTATAGCCAAAACATTGGCATTTGCACGTTGGCGACGTTGCGCCTTTTTTAATAGATCTTTTACCTTAGAAGTCAATTAGTAGTTAATAATAATTAATAATAATAATTCGTAAAAAATCGTAGAAGACCTAACATATTTCCTGCCTATTAATTTAGCAATTCAATAGTAAACTTTCTGTTAAAAAAATTAAAACTCCTAGATTTCTTGAATTTTCTACCGAAAATCAGCTAATCCCCCCTCCATCTAATCCTTCCGATCACCGGGCGTGGAAGACGAGCTTTTAAATCAACTTTCATTCGAAATTGATAACCGATCATAATGGATATGAAAGTCAGACATAGTCAACTTTCCAATGATACCAAATTTTCTAGAATCCGCGATGGTAATATTAAAGTATTTTCCTGCCACCTCTCCTGCATTAGATGGAGCTTTGTCTACACACACCTTAACTTTACCATACATGGATGATGACCAAACGCCTTTCCCCAAAACCCTTACATAAGTCTTGCATCAACTCTCCCCACCCATCATTAGTATTGCATTACAGTTTCGCATCACGGTTTTAAGTCCCACCAAAAGTTCGTCTTTTTTGTCAAACTGATGTGTGTTTGTTGAGCCTATACATGTAGTTTCCAATGTTTAGATACTCATCCCCTAAAATTTTTATATTTTACATTTTCTACACTCTCATCCACTGATGTATGGCCTCTTGAAAATTCTTGAAATTTATTTTTAACATTTGAAATCCTTACTTCAGCGAAACCATGAATAATTTACTTATGGTCCAAACTGTATGCAATACTAGTATAACAGACTATACACAGTTATACATTTTCACATCATATTTTATGGAGTCAAGCTAAGTTTAAACTGGCATATTGAAATATACTTGTCTTAATACTCCTTGTTAAAGGCATAGTCGTGTTAATGTTTACATTATTATAACTATAAAAACAATGATGTAAACTGGGATATGGTCTCTCGATGTTGATTTTCTCGCATCTGTTTCAATAGCAAACCAATAAAACTGAGACAACAAGCATGTAGTTAGCAACACGAAATACTTTTTATAGTTCTGTTTTTCTCATTACTTTCAAAACAGCATCAATGTATTTTTTATATTTTGTAAAAAATAATTCCACGAAAATACCATTAAGTTGCCCACACACACAACGAGATCTTGCAATTTTATACCGTTTAGTGAGAGTTATGGATAAATACTATTCTGGATGTTTCATATACACCCCTCCTCTAAAATCATATATGTAGCATTGTCACTCTATCATGTTTGTTACATAACAACTACAAAGTATCAGAATCCAAGGGGGTCCTTAAAAAGGATACAATATATCAAAGGTTCAGTTAGGGGCAATTTCTGGTCATTTTTGGAAAAATCTAGTTTCCGTTTTGCACATTTTTAGCAGTTGTCATCATGACAGAGTTCAGTCCACATATCTGTGGCAGTTCTCTACAAAGATATATAGAAAGGATTCATGCAGTGGGTTATAGAGAGGCCAGGGACGACCTGGTACCAACTTTATCATTAAAAATGGGTAACAGACTAAGTGAATAGATCCCCGGACCGACTGGGTCCAAAAATGCTTACAAAAATGCTTATAAATTACCCCATACTCGCATACTAGTTTGCTTTATTGTATCTTTCTTTCAGGTACTCTTCTAGGCCTTGATTTTAAAACTTTGCAAACTAATGTAACTTCTCATGAAGAACAAAATGATATAACATGATAGGGTGGCAATGCTACATGTATGAGAGAGAGGGGGTGGTGCATGCATATGAAGCACCCTCTCTGTATATGTACTCGTATGTATTAATCTTACTATAATTCTATTGTTAACTTGACAGAGCTCGAGCCAGCTTCTTTCGATACGTTCATCCTGGCACGGACTTACAAAAACCAGTACAGCTCAGGGAAAAAACAGACACGATCGCACTGGACGAAATGAGTGGAGTTTGTGGTAGAGGTGCCTTGTTCAGTCAAGGGCGTTACAATACCCGGGAATTTATCGGTTCGTGCAGTACTTGTTTGTGATAGCGCCCTCTGTAGGTCACTGTGCTTATAGCCTACAGTAATACGGGGTAGGATATCGGGAATTCGGTCAGTTTCTATCCGTCGATTTCGCTATGAATTGAAGCAAGTGTGACCACTTTATCCACTTAAACAATTTGATAATTGATTAAATCTTTAAACAAAATAGATAAACACGTTATACACTTCCTATCTCCTTAGAAATTAGCATGTATTTATGGATTGTGTTTTCGAACAAGGCTCGACCCATAACCAATAGGGAAATCCTTATGCTAATTAGTATGACGTCATATTTTCCTGGGGAATCCTAGATTTCAAAGCCTCAGTCTGTTATTGTGTCAAATGTAAACGCTCTTTTGCAGACAGAAAATTGACAGATTAGCTTTTAACTTTCAGCTTTGATGTTTAAATATTCTGTATTTCTACCGGACTTCTTGCTGAATATCATATAATGTTATAACTTGATTTGGACCATTGCCTGATTGATCATTCTGAAATTTTGATTGTGATTTATGATTGATTGGCAAGAAAAATAATTCCTATTGTTTTCCAGCGAAGTCAAAATGTTACAGCATGCGTTATAATGTCGAGTTTGCATCATGTTAAATACTGCTAGTGATTAGAAGTCCATGTACAAGCATACACATAAGAGACAAACACCCAGGCTCCAGGCCCTGGATGGAAATATAAAACTATTTAAGGCACAAACTGGTATTAATAGACCGATATGTAGTGTCTGCCATGTATTGAAGGTAAACCAATCTGCATTATTAATGTTTCTTCTATCAATACATGGATTGTGCAATAGAAAAGCAATGGCACAATCAAAAATGTGCATATAAATCGTGAATATCTCTCGGTTCAAAGCTTATTTCCAACAGAATCGTGTCAAAATATGTGTCTGAGTAACAGTTATACATTATAAGATCGCAAACTCTTACCAATTATCAGCCGAATGGCTCATTTTCAACGAAATGTCATTAAGACAACAGCCCTGGGTCGCGCCTGAGACCAAAAACTACTTCAAATATATGGTGTTTAAACTGCTTCTTTATTCGGTACATTAATATTCCATAAATACCAAATAAAACAAACAATTTACCAAACGTTTACCCAATCTATCGAATATTTTTTATTTTATCAAATGTAATAATCTATACAATTTATATTCGCTAAATAGTTTCACTTGTTCTTTGTATTGACATTCACATTTGATATTTATACATGTATTTGTGTGATGCAGTGAATCAATTTGTTTTCCTTAACGCACGTATATTCCAATTAATTATTTGTACAT